GTCACTGGTCAGAACAGTGAACCCAATGATCCTTGACGACAGAGAGAGCAGAAGAGCATCGTCCAAAAATAAAATTTGAAGGTACCAAGCTGTGCTTTATCCGTTCATTCTTTCGTGCGTAACATCACGATGATTCCATATATCCCTCAATGACACGGACTAGCTGCGACGATCATCTTCTGGTAGCATAGTACATGATAGCGGAATTCTGGAGTTAACGGGTCCTTCAATGTCCCAAGTGTCGCAGGAGATCGGCGTCACAAGAGTTAATGCTCCCGTGTTTTCGCCTTGTATCCCGTTACCAAACTGCTGGTGCAGAACGTGCTCCAAAAAGACGCTGTCGTCGAGGCACAACAGACAGCAGAGCCTTCAGGAGCGGCGCATCAGAGGCATGCTATGACCTTCGTAGCCAGTAAAGTAATGCACAGCACAGCTTGGTCGTCCACTGGGGGGGAGCTCATTGGTATACTTTCGAAGAGAAGATCAACCTTTAGCTGGACTTATAATGTGTTTGAGAGTCTGCAGCCAAGAGTGACGGGAGTTGTGCACTAAGGAAATGGACAATTGACATGAATTACTTCGTAGACGCTGTAAAAGGATGTCGTCTCTGAATGCCTATGTACCAGAACCTTGCTGTTTCAAGTTTGGCATTTAGCATGAGGGCAGAGACTGATGGACGAGATATTTCAACGAGATACTATAGAAGCCCCTTAGAGGATAAGAGATATGCAGTGCTGTCAAGAAATATGCTGTTTTGATAGAGGAACAGTAGATGCATTGGATTGTCAAGTGATGTTGGCGGGTATGGTTCTGGCGCTCGACGCGCGGGTGAACTTCGGGACATCGTTTCTCAGCGCATACTGAATATGGCAGTCTCACCTCTCAAGTCTCTAAAACCTGACCTTCTCAACCCATCTCTCTCATTTAATCGCACTGTCTGTGGTCTCCTCTATTTCCACGTTGTTGTCAACTCTCACCACAGTACGAAGGATATAGCCTTCTCGCAAGATAGCATTCGTCCCACCAGGATGGTTCTCCTTACTTCTGAATGAGTAAGTTTGTGGTCTTACCAGCGGCTATCAACGACCGCTGCTAGCCCTGTGCTGGGTCAACAGTTTGAGCGTGCAGGCTGCCTGCACAATGGGATGGTTCCGTCTCGGGACGCTTGTAGCTGTGTGCTGTGTTCCATGTTATGGATTCTGGCACTCGGTGTAGGCTGGATTTCCATTTCAGGATGGTGGACATACTTCCTCGAGACTGAGGCTACACCGCTGGCACCACTGTTTCACAAAAAGACTACTGTCTTTCTTCTTTCTTTGTCGTGCCTCGGTTTCCCGACATGTCATTACTGTAGCGTTTTGCACGAGTGAGCTTTCCATCTCCGACACCGATTCCTGCACTGCGCCCAGCCGTGCGGAAATGGTCGGGCGCCTCGATCTACCTTGAACTGCTGATTGCTGCAATCTCAAAGTATCAAGAAGGTTTGCAAGCCGTCTCGCGTGGCAGCACTGGCATGGCAGCTTTCGCAGATGACGAGGTCCTTCATCTCGACTGGCAGACGTTGAAACGATGAACCCTGGGACGGTCCCAAGGTCACGAATTCCTGGAGCGACGCGGCCTGGTCCGGTACGGCACAGATATTGCTTGCCTTGCCTACTATGCCCTGCCATGCCATGCCACGCCATCCCATCCCATCCCATCCCATCCCATCCCATCCCATACATTTCGGGATCACAAGTAAATAATATCCCTCCTGCTCCGCTCCCTGCGTACACTACACTACTCTACCAACTGCACTGTACTGTACTGTAATGTAATGTACAGTACATTATTATGTCAACATGAGGGGGATCGTTCCTCCACTAATTTGGGGCATCCGTCTCCGTCTCCGTCTCCGTCCCAGGCGAGCTGCAGTGCAGGGAGCTGTCTGCTGTCTGTCCCTTTCAGGACGTCCGGTCAAGCGGTCGCTTCTTCAAGCGCACGCCACACCAAGCCACACAGCGAGACAAGCTGTGGCAACCAGTGAGACAAGGCCTTCTGTCGGACCATGCACACAGGGCAGCAGGTAGCAGGTAGCAAGTTTCCTTCTTTTCTCTGCGGACGCTCTCCGAAGCAACCAGTGGTGTTGAAGCCTGCCTTAGGACGGAAATGATCGGGTAGGATGTGACAAGCAGTGTTTCTTTTTCACTTCATTTCTAGCATCCTGGGGCAGTCGGTCGGTGACAGGAAACCAGAGAAGAGAAGAAGATCAATGGGAGACTTTCCTGTTTTGGAGCGGAAAATCACGGCCTCCGGGATATATTCTTGTTAAAATCCCCTACAGCCCTACCTTTGTTTCTCATGCCAGAGACCCGCCTTAGGCCACGACGCTGAACAACATTGCTGCATTCTTCCCTGCTGCATTGCTCCGGTTTATCTCGCAAGATTGGACCCATTGAGCGAGCCAGGAACAAAGATAAATTGCCTATGACGGGATGGATACGAAGGTTAATAGGTTGGATTCCTCATTTGCAGGCTCTGGCTAGGGACTGCCCTCTCTTGCCTCACCATCCGAGCCCCAGTGCCCATTACCCACATCCACCAGCCACGGTGGTGACGATTTATTTTCACGATGATTTAGCATTCAGCATTTGATTTGACTGGAGACGATCAGGTCCTTTCATACCGGAGCAGGCATTGCTTACGTTTCTCCTTCGTCGGCTGGCGCTGGATAGTGGGATGCTGGCTCGCGGTGGCTGATTGGGCCAGAGCCGGCAGTGTGCCCGATGAAGACGGTGGCCTGGGCGGGGTAGATCTTGTGTGTTTCAAGGCCCTGGCGTTATTCGTAGGGATTAGGGAAGGAGAGGGAAGCGTTGTTTTGGGGGGGGGGGGGGGGGGGGGGGGATGAGGTGATTTGGGCACTGGGCACTGGGCACTGGGCACAACCACAGGGCACAACCACAGGGCGGCTTCCTGCGAACCGTCAAGCGATCAGGTTCAGGATTCCAGTGCGTTAGATCGCCCTAGGCCCGAACCGGGCATCCTGCGAGGATCCTAGGTAGTCGCTACCACTTTTCGAGACCACACTCCATCTTTAGATGCACCTTTCAAGGCTTTTACAGGCTTTCTCTTCTGCGAGCTGTTTTCTCCTCCCAGGGTCTTCAGTACCCTCCATGCTGCCAGCTTCTTGGAGCAGGGAAAAGTGCCCCAATGCCCTGCTGTAGCTTGAGGAACCCCTGCAACCTTTATTTCTCTCACCCTGGGATTCCACTGCTGCGGACTGTACTTGTAGTACGTGTACTGTGGAGGGGCCAGCCTCAGTAAAGGTTCAGCCATGGGTCCTGATCGATCCTGACCTGCCTGAGTACCTGTTACATAGGTCTGGGAAGAGGCTGGATATCACCGAAGAAAACGCAGCCAACAAAGCTCAATAATCAGGAGAGAGGACCAAAGTGGCCCCCGGTCCAGGTACTGTATATGCTCCACCAGATATGGCCGCGAAAGAAGCTCGTCTTGCACTTGTCACTTTCACTCTACTTTAGCTCGGCCGGCGCCTGGTGAGGGGCTTACCGTCCATACTTAGCGACTGACAGGCATACGAGCAGCGGCTACTGTTCTATTTTACCCTGCTCTTGAACTTTCGGAGCCATTGCGAGTGCCAGTGCCACTTTCCAGCCCTCTTCCTGGCCCAAATCCCTTTGCTGACCACTCGCAGCTCTCCGACATTGTCAGCATCATCCACCTCTCATCTCTGAAGCTTCACCTTCTTTGGACCCCAGACGCCACCACGGTACAAAGCTACTTACCCACATCGTCGAATCATGGTTCAGCCCCAGCACCAGGCTCAAGGCCCTTGTCTAGTTTCCTTCACCAATTCCCACTATCCACAATCTAATCCACTGTCCGTCCCCTTCTCTCACTGATAGACCGGCAGACCAGCATCTTCCATCACGCACTACTCACTCTGTGATCATTGCCACCACTGGCATTTCGGGTCGGACCCGCCTTTAATCATTCCAGAGATTGGCCGGCCTGGACTTTATTTTGTTCTCCATGGCCTCCCCAGTCGCTCGAGGGTTAAAGACTTACTTTTCCGTTTCCACTTTGCCTTCCAGCTACTTTCAAACTTTCTGATATAGACGACCGGATCTCGAAATCTATCCGCCACATCGATCGCTGCCTCGGAAGAATCCATGTATGGGTGCAGACTTCCATGTCAGGTTTTGTGATATCAGTCGGTTACCCCTGTTCCCCTTACCCATTCGGCATACGGTGCTCTTCCGTACCCATATCGACCTGGAAACAGTTCTGTTTTGCAGCCTCTACCACCAGCCCTGCCGTTCACTGGCCGATAGTGGAACGTCGTTCCTGTGCTTCGCCCAGTTCTTGTCACATACTGCCGATCCTGCTCTTCTATTCGACAGCCGCAGAACCTTAGCATCGGTCTACATTCGACACATCCACAAAGAAATCGTCCCTGCAGTTAGCCAACCGTCGAAATACCAGATCTAGAAGTATCACTGGCATCCTTCCTTGATTCGTGGATTAAGCTCCACACAACCTCGCGACTGATTGCCATTTCCGAGCCTTGTCTCGTCTGGACTTCTTTCCACTGACAAGGTAACCATACTAAAGTTCTTAACGGCGCACGGTACTTTCTTGGAGATGATTGTACCTATTGTGGGGGGTGCTCTTCGATCTACATAAAAGTGTCTAGTCCCCACCTACCCACTAACACACCAATGCTCCGAGTCTTCTATTCCTCTTTTAAGGTCATCCATACCTCCCATTACCTTATGTTTTGGTTCTTCTAGTTTACATATACTTCTCTCGAGATGTTGCTCACTATCAAACAGCCAGGACATCACGGCTACAAGTCTTTCCATGACTATACTCCGCCAACCCCTCCTTCAACATCTCGTTTCTCACCTACGGTGGCCTCGACAGGACCATCATTTCCTCCAATACCCGTCACCAACAAGTCTCTACCGCCTCTGCCGCAAAGTCAATCATTATCACGGATGTCGACACCCCACCGGGGATTGCCTCCTCCCGGGGCAATGACACTTCCACCACCAACTCAACAACAGCAACCACAACCGCAACCACAGCAGCAACCACCGCTTGCTCAACCACCTCCTTTGAGTCAACCTATGGGACAGCTTCCAGCTCCACCTCAGCAATGGCAAGGTGCAGAGGAATCTATGAGAAATTGGCTAAACGCTAAGGCCGAGGAAGACAAGAGGAAGCAAGAAGAGGAAAAGACACGACAAGAGTCACTTCGACTGGAGCAGCGCAAAATTGAGCAAGACATGCTAAGAACATCTTTATCTGGTGGAATTCCGCCATATATGATCCCTATGGTATTTGCTGGAATGGGAGGAGGAAATCTTCCAAATGCCAGCTTGGAATGGGCACAACACTACATGGCACAAGCACATCATCTTCAGCAACAGCAGCAACTTCAGCAGCAGCAGCTTCTTCCAGCCCAAGCCCAAACTTCTCCAGAACAGCTTCAACGCAGAGATTCTCGTGTTATATCTCAGCCATATGGAGCACAACAACATCCGGCACCATTGACTCTACCGTCTACACCAATTGGACCATCTACCTCGCAACAGAGTGCTGGATTTTTGCCTAGCTATCAGATGTCTCCAGCTCGCCAGAGTACCCAAGGACAGGGGATTATTGCCAGGCCGCCTCAAACGTCTCACTTGCCTAGGCTGAATACGGGAGAAATGCTCGTCCAACAGCCTCCAGCTGGTCAAAGCATGCAGCATCCTCTCCAGCAGACACAGTCTGCTCAACAACAGGAGCAACAGTCCTCCCCCTCCATATATTTCCACCACTGGCAGCCGCCAACAACACAAGCAGGTACCACATCTGGTACCAACCAGCCCTCGACTCCTTCAGGCAAGCATTAATGGTTCCTTTGTTTCACCAGGGCTGCGTTTTAATGTTTTGCGCAGATCATACTTCGTCCCCAAAGAAACGGAAGGCTACAGGACCTCAACAGGCGGCACCCCCACCTACCTCCCAGCCGCAGTATACATCACCTCCATTCTCGGGCTCGTCAGTCTCGAATACTCCATCTAGCCGATATCGTGGGCATTCGCGGCAACGAAGTGACCTGTCTGCACGAGGCTTGGACTCCTATGGACGACCACTCAGTCGCCATCGTCATGAGAACAGCTTCGGCCAGAATATGACCTCACCACCACATTCTCAGGCTCATGGTTCCGAATCACAGGCACAACAAACGCGAGGGCCAGCGGGCTCGGTTGAACCGCGACGTCGGTCAGGGGGCTCGCATCCGGTGTCGTCGATGCTGGAGCAGCCACAACAAAGCCAACCGCAATCGCAATCTCAACACTCCCACCAACAACATGCACAACATATGCAACGAGACCCTCAGTATTCGGCAGGGGCGGAGATGAGGCACGAAGGACGACGTTCAACACCCGAAGAGCGGGGGAGTTCCATCTCTCGAAGGGCCAGCGTTATCAAGCGAGATGAGGGGCGAGATTAGAGACGTTTCAGACAGAGTTTCTCCTACTGGGCCCGCCCCATCCCAGCCCAGCCCAGCTCATCCCATCCCATCCCATCTCATCTCATCAATCTCCCCTCCCTGCCAAGTTCTCTGGAGGATCCCCCGATCCGACCGACGGTCAGACGATATAAGCAATCTGGGATTGCGCCTCCAGGAGCGAACACGAAACGAGACGACAGTACGACCGAAATGAGATTTTGACTTTTTGTGCCTTCAGCATGTTTTCACAGTTCAGCCGGCTTGGATAGCCGAGACGAGATTAACTCTTTACCTAACTTTCTGTTGTGGCGTCATTTCGAAAAGCTTTTTCACTTGGCGATTTATAAGATACCCATTGTATTTTGCATTTTTTTTAATGCCGGGCTTTACTTGGGAGACGGGCTTGACATCCTGCCTTCTGCTTCTGAGGTTGTTCGTCGTCTGCCCTTTCCTTATTTGCTCATCTAGGAGACACCTGCAGGCCCGGACTCCAGGCTTTCATCACAGTACGATTTGTACCATATCTTCTTTCTTCGTGGAGGGCCCGGTCCCGTTGTATCATATCACACCTTTTGTTTAGATGATGGGCTAGATGCCTGGATACCATGTTTCTCTTCCGGGAGTCTCCCTCACCTCGGTAATCTTTTGGCATGAGATTGCCTAAATAAGGACCAAGGAAGGAAGATTGGTATTCTGTATATATTACAAAATTTATTTCTGCCGCGGGAGGAAGATTGATGCTTTGGTTTACCGGGCTGGGAACGGAAGACAGAGAAAAGATGTGGAAGAAAAAGTCATTTTTCGTGGAGGATAGAGTGACCTAGGAGTGGAGGTCTTGGTGAAGACTCTGAGGCATCCTTCATCCTGCAGCTGGGATTTGGAAGGGCAGGGGGGCAAAACAAGAAACCGAGAAATCAAAATCAAAACATATTTCTCGTGATGGCCGTTTAACCTGACGTGCAATGATCCCGCTCCGTCTCTTTATATGCCATCATGCACAGAGACACCCAGTTCGAGATGCTGCTTTGGTTCCATTTCATGCTTCCTCTTGCCTCCTCTCAAATCGAGAATGTATATCAGTCACACACATGTGTGCAAGGACACCCAGTCCGAACAAAACCTCGCACTCCCAGTACCTTCAATCTGACCCTGACCTCGTAACCCCAAACAGCAAAAATGCCCAACTTCGGAGTTCTCGAACCAGGGAGGGACCAAAATTTCCGTCCATATGAAAACCACTCCTCTCCGCTACGCCCAAAGCGGAAACTGGGAGAACGTTTTAGATTGTACTTTTAGCCCTGCGGCAGGCAGGGCAGGGCAGGCCCCTTGCCAGGTGCCAGGTGCCAGATGCCAGATGCCAGATTGCTGCCAGTGTGACTGTGTGAATGCCAAATGTAACGCTGGACCCCACTTGCCTTCGTGGCTGCCAAGAGCGGGCAGACGATCAAACACGCGCCCCGGTCACTCATCACCGTGGTGTGGACAGGGGGGGGTGCACATCACCTCATTACATATTTTCAGATCACAACAGTGATGTATGGAGCAGTAGTGTGACAAGCAAGACATCGTGTTCCGTCTTATGGTATGTTATGTTATCTTATGGTTGTGCACCGTAAAGATGCACGGTACCCTATGGAATAAGAGCCGCTTGTTACAGTAACTGCTGGGATTATACAGTACAGTAGTGCTATGTATGTAAGTAAGGGTCCAGGTTGTGCCTTTTGACTTTCCGAGGTGATGAATTGAACTTTTTTGCCAATTTGAGGTTTGGCAAGGTGGAGCACAGACGTTTCAAACCCCTTTTGATTGCGAATTGCGGTGGGGTTTGGGGAGATGCGATGGGCTGGCTGGGCTGAAGAAACATGGAATGGATCATGGATGGAGCTTGGGATGATGAGATGATGAGATGATGAGATGATGAGATGATGGGACACCAGGGGCGGACGGCAGGCCGGGATGGGCTAGGCACGGTTGTGTGTGCGAGCCCTGCTGCTGCGGAGCTTAATTGATGTGTTATCGGGTGGTGCTTGACTTGGTACTACTGAGCAAGGAAGAGGTTAAGGACCCTTGAGAAGAAGAGTCTGGAAGGAGGGGTGGTGCGTGATATGATTTGATGATTTAGATGAATACTTCAAGGGAAAGAGATAGTGGGATTGGTGGTCCTTTGCTGCGAGATGGGAAGAATAGGTCCTACGGTACTCAGACCATCGTCAGACAATTGTTGGATGACTTGCACCACTCTTGAAGAGTTTTCCCGTGCATGATGATACTTGGAAGCAAACTTTGATCAAGGCAGTAGTCAGATGCGGTACCTAGATGCCTGCAGCGGAACATCCGCTCGCCAAAGCAGTCTCCGTCTGAGAACGAGGCAGAAATCTACAAGGGAGATAGATGTTTTGTTGAAGTACACAATGCCATGGCGCAACGGCAACCAGAAACCCTGTAGAGCTGTTCTATCAGACGATCACCAGCATGCTTACCAAGAATGAGAAAGATCATGTCATTTTAGAAGTCAGAATCAAACCAAACAGGTTTTGCCTCATTTAGCACTTCAGGAATTCAACACTGCAGGAGAGTGTCCACTTCCTTGCATGGAGACTCTCTAAGTACCAGGTAGGTACAGCATGTACTTTCCCTCTCAGCTGTATTCAACACCCATTTCCACTCAGTCCAACCGCTTGGTCGAGACCTCGAGAACTAGCCTAGTGAATTGGAAGTGTGCAAATGTGGAAATATGTAAATTGCTTCTTGGGTCGCGGCTGTAAGGTCGCCGCCAAACAGCCTCAGTTACTCGTAATCAATGACACAACGCCTCCTACCTGCTACCAGCCGCGAGCCGAGTGCCCATTCTTGTACTCGGCAGCGTGACACCGTTAAGGTAATTACCAAGCTGTGACTTCTTGGTAGCTGGTAAATAGATGAAGTGCCAGGTACTCTCTCGTGCATTCCTAGGTAGAGCAATGACACTGCTCTTTAATTAACGAGGCTGCACTGCTGCAGCTGTTGACCGACCAAGGATGCATTTGGAAATTTCGCACTCCACGTCAGACAAGGAAAAGCCACGAGGCTAGACAGTAACCAGTATGATACAGGTTCGTATACGGAAAGAATGCGAGAGAATGCGTGCGGGAGATTGACGTGCACACCTGCTATGGGTTTTCCAATCTGCTTTATGACCAGGATTTAGATTGTTGGTCATGAGGCTGCGAAATGCCCGATTCGTCGAGTGACTGGACGGGTCATGCAGGGGGAGACCAAAGGCATTGGTTGGTTCGTCTGATTGTGCAGCAGCTTGCAGAGGTGCAGCAATATGGAAGCAGGTACGGCAGCAAAAATAAATATGATGGAAGCTGCGGCTATTCCGCAGACGATCAGGTGATCATGGAGTCGAGTCATCATGTTTTCTCGAAGTGGATGCACACAAGCTCGTGCCGCTTTGTGCGATATTGTGTCGTGTGCTGAAATACAAGATGCGAGGAATTGTGCATATCGTATTTTCAAAGTCGGGTTACCGCTTTGGGAAATGTCAACAGTGGTCCCGTAGTGTGCCGAGAGGTCAATACAAGAGGTCAAGAGAGGTGTTAAACCCGTGATTTGCGCAATACATGATTTTTGCGGCCACAAATGGGCGAGTGGGTGAATTATAATAGTAACTGAAGCTTCAATGAAGCGCCGCACTGATACATTAGCAGATGGAGCGCATGCTGACAGGGAAGTGATGTACAGCTTCCAAGCACACTGACGAAAGTGTGATCTGGAAAGTTTAGTGGTGCGGATAAGAAGAGAGCAAAGGGCCGACCTGTTCATCACCTTCTCGCCATCCGAATGCCGATAAACGAAGTACTTCAAGTCCAAGATTTACGTTCTTACCTGGCGCTGACAGAAACCATCTCGACTTTTGGTGTGTCCATAGGCAGGATGGTTGCGAGATCAGGATGGCTACGAGATCAGGATGGCTGCGAGATCAGGATGTTGCAGCAGACCTACTTCTCGGGCCATACCCATGTGATCGAACCACATTCAAGCTGCGCTGGAGAAGACCTTTCTCAGAGAACAGCTTCAGACCCTATTGTACTACGCTAAATTCGAGACATAAGCAATAGACGGACTCAAAGCCGGCCTCGAAAAGTTGCAAAGAGCATACCATCTGACGGTATATGTAACTCCAGTTTATTGTCCTTTTTAGCTAGCTGTCGCTACTATGTAAGGCAGTCTACTACTAATAAATGCGACTCTACGGTAAACAGGTTGCCATCTGATGGTTGACTTGGAAGATACTGCGACCAAATGATAGGTCAACAAGCAAGACATAAGAAATTGGAAAAACCGACTCGATATCGGCGGCCAGGCTCACAAGTACTTGTGTAGTAAAAGCAAGAGGCTCATTCAGGAAAGGAAACCCATAAATGATATTGAGGACATTGCCAAGACAGTACGCAGGCACACAGCAGCCCACTCGGGCGTTACTAAGTCACTCAAAAGGAATTAAATATTTCGTCGAACTTCTTAGATCACAAATTCCATAGAACGTTCGAAAATTCAGTCGCCGAGTACCTTTGAGCACAAACTTCAATTTCCACGTCCATATGGCAAGCCTCATAACACAGCTTGCCTCACCCTAGAAGAGAAGTATCGATTGAACTATCCACACTTTCGTTGTTGTCCATACGCAATTACGAACAGACAGGTAGTTAACCCGGACTTGAAATTGATGTGGCACAGTGACGGCTTCAATTTCTCATCCAATCATGCTCGTCATGTTGACACCGAGGGAAATAACGCAACTGTTAACAGGATAAGAACATCGTCAATTCGATACTCGACAAAGGAAACGATTCAGTATTCGTAGTGGGCCACAAGGCAGCGAGAACTTCGCTGGCACGAACAAGGAAAGGATGGTCGTGATCATCACATAACCTTATTTCCACCTCACTTGAGATGCTGATCCCACCCAAACGAGCCACATGGCTCAGATCTCTCCTCAATCATCCTCTTTACCCCTCTTCGTCTTCACTGCGACTTTCTTGCCAATCCACTTCTCGCTGCCAAGAGCGAGGTCCTCTGCTAGAAAATCGGCCATGGCTTCATACTCCACGAGATAAGGCCCACATGCCACGTAGATGAAGTAGATAAATGGTCCGATAAAAGGGATCGCTTCTATCCACGAGCCTTGCCAATCGGGCAGAGTGGTTGCCTGCGAAAGGAGGTTATGCTGTTGTGGTGCTTCGAGAGGCTGATAGAGACCTTGCTTTGGGTCTCTTGGAGTCATTATTGATACCGCAAGCAACGACCATTTCAGTTATCCTGTAGGAATTGCTTCGATCACATCGTGTGTAGCATCATGCTGGGCAATCGCCAATTTTGGGACGCTGTCAGAGAATAAAAGTCAGCTGAGAATTTGATACCAAGGAATTGCGCCTTACTAATCTTCCAGCAGACAGTCTTTCCCCGGGATTTTCATTATGCCCAGGGCGGATGTGACCCATATCCTCAATGGCCTGCCCCTTTCCTTTCCCACCTCAACAGCTGCATCTGCAATAGCTTTCGCGATCTTTGACAACGTATATTCATGCCATGGCAGCACCTGATTACCTGCTACGTCTACAATGCCCTCGATTTTGTGGTCGATGATTGCCTTCTTCAAGGCCGCAACATCCGTCGCGTCGCCTTCGACGATAGCATTGATTCGATCAAGGAGCTCTATCGAAATCAGAGAGCGCAGCTTCGAAGGATTTCGCACATAGACGGTGAGGATGTGGCCATGTGCAATGAGCGCTGGAGTACATCGAAGCCCCAGACGTCCAGTCCCGCCGAGTAGTAGAACGCGCATTGTGTTGTCTGCTGCAGATCGGTGGCGACAGGTCTTCTTGACAGATCGATCAATTCTTGAGGCAGATTGGCAGTGCCATACCCCGATATTTATGCTCCTCACATCGTATGTGCTGCTGGTATTATATGGTGGCGTCTGAACGCCGAGAGCTTCACTCAGTCGGTGGATGAGCCGGTGCCAAGACCGAAGTTTCATTCTCACCAAAATCCTCACATGAGCATCACTTACAACATTCAAAGAAGTACAGTTTCACCCATTCGGTCTATCAAAAATTAAATAATTCTACTCCAACAATAAACACTTCTACTCTTCCAACAATTATGTAATGCTTCCGTCTGAACATGAGAATTCCATTTCGCATTTCGGCTTTCAAGCTTGTTGTGAGTTACAGCTTTTGTCCAGCATCTCGAGTTTCCTTTGCTTTCTTGTACATGGCTACTATCTCAAATTGCTTGAACATCTCTCCACTTTTTGGATCTCCGGGAGCCAGAGTTTGAGTACCATATATTCCACTGATACCACCATCCCTATCTGCAAACCAGTACAGGTTCGGAAGACCTGTCCAGTACATCGTTCCTCTCCTTCGTCGACTTTCTATGTCCTCCAAGCAGATGGCACCTCCTGGAGCATAGTCAAGTTGCGTACCCATAGGTAGGGTTGCACCATGTATAGCATTGATTTCCTTGAAGGTGCAAAGCGCCATGAATTGTTTCCGAGATCTCTCGCTCAAGCACGGACGGAACAGCTCATCATTCATCTCCTTAGAAAGTAGTTTCCCATCTCCCGCTGTGATGCTGTGCAGAATCTTCTGGTAGTCAACTATACTGCCAAATGCTCCAGCCCCTCCAGAATCGTCGGGAACACCTTCGTCCCTCCACCAGAAAGAGACCCCCTCTACGCCATGCTGAATCTTGGCTGACGGATCGGCAGGACAGCCAAACATAGGATTGATGCCACCCATTCGCTCACCGGTACCAGCTCGGCGTTTTAGCATGTCCGGTCGATCTTCAAGATGGAATGTCATGTTCTTAATGCCGAGTGGTTCCCAGATATACTTCTGCATGTATTTTCCGAGAGACATGCCATTGGTGCGTTCGATCATTACACCTGCCCAGTCTGGACCAGCTGCTTTTACGTCAGTGTTCTGGTATCATAGTAAGTGAAGACTGAGCTCACGAGAATATGCATATGACTCCCCAGGCTCAAACAAAAGCGGCACAGTCCCACGGTAAATCATATCACCAGCACCAAGAGATGGCTGTTCGCCGCGAGATGCTCTCCATCGGGTAAGAGTTGGATCGAAAATATCGTAAGCGATACCCGACGAATGTGTTAGCAGCTGTCTGATAAATGTTAGATCGATCGTATATGATGGAGACTGGGACTTACCTCAAAGTGATTTCCTTCGCAGCTTTCACCAAAATAGGTTTATCTGTTCCTTCTTCAAATCCTTTCAGGATATCAATATCCTTCAGCTCAGGTAGTAAGGGAGTGACGTCTTCATCGAGCGTGAACTGGCCGCGTTCAACACATTGCAAAGCTGCGATGGCAGTCATCAACTTTGTGCAAGAAGCTATCCAAAATGTCGCATCCTCGGTGAGAGATTCGGCTGGGGCGTTTTCTTTGAGAGAACAAGGTCCGAATGCCTTGGCATACTTCAACGAGCCTGTCAAATGTGAGCCTGCAGATCTGTCTTCGAATGCTGCACAACTTCCCTTTTATATCGCTGGCGGCTACAACTGCCGGAGCAATGTCTTTCTCTGCAATCGCAGTGTTGAATTGTTCTTCTATTGATGCCATGATAGCAGGGTTTTGGTAAACAAATGATTTGGAAATTGGTATGAGGGGTCGTTGAAGGGCTCGGGGAGGAACCTATCGAGTTATATGTGAGATTGCTGGCACCCTGTCCTACAAGGTCCAACAAGAAGTGCAACTTGGTGCGAGACTTAAAGAAACCTATGCCAATCGACCCAACAGCTGGGAGAAGCCCTATATCACTTCAAAGAAGACCACTTAAATCTCACGCACAGGATCCGAAATTTAAAGGTACCAGAAAGAGACCTGCCAAAAATAAGAGTAATTTAATGTTTACCTTTGAAGTAAGAACTCGTCGAGCCCAGTTCTCTTTCGGAATAGTACAACCAGGTTCCCCAAGTCAGCAAGAAGGCGGGGTATGATGTTTTGAATGCGGGGGAATTAGGCGTGTGGTAAGCGAGATCCCCCAAAGCAATTAATTCTACAATGATACAGTGCTCAACAAGTCCCTTTTCGATGTTCATTGACTTCATTTTGAGTCTCCTACGAGTCGGTTTGATCAAAGAGCAATTCCTTTGACACTTCAGTACCCAGTTTGGGAAGCTTAACGTGCTTTGTTAGTCTCTACCGCCGGAAGAAACTTGCCCTTTGCAATGCTTTTTGTCTTACCTCATCTCAGCTTATGTTTCCAACATTAAGTCAAGAGTCGAGTTCAGACACCAACGACACTTATGTGTCATGTGCAAAACTGGCTGGATTTTTAACAAACTCTCTTTCCACTCGTTTGTGGCGAAAATCCCGAATCCGAAAAGTAGATGTGCGCGATCGCATCTGCTGCTTGTGGTGAATTTGGCCAAGTTTTCCAAGTGAAGGCGCGTTGAAATAATAGGCTTACTGCAGTGCAGCTTCCGAAATACAGTGCTCGAGCTAAGAGGGACTCTGAAGATGAGATTGAAAGTGGTATTGCCAAAGATCGGGCTCACTCCGATTCAAGTTTGATTTTTTGGATCACGAAGGGGGTAGGCACGAGGAATCAGAATATAACAGTACAGATGTGCAGGGAGAAGAGTTCCATTGAACATATTCAGGGACCAAGCAGCGAGCATAGCCCGCACAATATCCATCCCCATCTAAATCACTCCAACTCTCTCCTTCCACCTCTCAGACAAGGGCAAGAAGGCAATACGGCAAGAAGACAAGATATCAGAGCCCTCAGAGTCTAGAGTACCAATACTGCTCCTCCAACTCCGCGACCTCAGATTCCAAGCGCAACAACATGAACTGGCCTTGCACGATCTGTCTAGCTTTCTTCGAGGTAGCAGAAGATTGTGCTTTGGCGACAGCAAGGAAGTGCTGGTCTAGAACCTCCCGTCTCTCTGCAGCGGTTGTAGCCTCTTCCATCTGGACTTTGCTCACTTGGCTTGCAGCCTCGAGGGTGAGCTCGCTGGTAAGCAAGCGCGTTAGCATTGGCCATCTGTCGGATTCATTTGAAAAATGGCGGATAAGGTGAAGGGTAACTCTTACAGGAGTGCCAATTCGATCTCAGCCGGTGTGAACTTCTTGACTGGCTTGTTGGGATCAAGAGGTGGGTAGGTTCCTTCGAAGGGATTGACACGAGCAGGAGATGAGACTGTCTCTGCAGTGTCAGCAGAGTTTGCAGCTTGGTTAGTAGAAGCCATCTTGGCTGGTGTTGAGGCGGTTTGAGGTGTTTGTGATCGTGCGTCGAGACTATGGTTGTTGAGAGGATGTGAACCAGGTTGGTAAGGGGCACGCTTGTGTCTTCTTAAGTAGAACTCAAGGGCGAGAAGGGCGAGAAGGGTAGAGAACAGTGGGCTGTGACGTGCGATAGCAGTGAATGATAGTGATTTTGCGCCGAGCGTGAGAGTAGTAGAGGTTGAAATTGTGCGGATGCCACTCGCCCTTATGTACGCAGGCAGCCTCGCCGTAGCCAGACATCACAGCAGCGAGAGACGACTGCGTGCTAAGTGACTGCGTTCAGTGGCAAATTCGACAATGGATTCACCAAAATAGGCTTGAATAGAACAGCAATTCTTTATCAAAAGGAAAATTTGCCTCTAAATCTACTGATTGCATATTCTTAATCAAGAGACCTGGCGAAGTAAACACCACGTGATACTCTTCATCCGCTTCACATTGCCCCTAGTACCCCCTCTAAGTATGCGCAAGACGAAGTATTACCACGAAAGTGCGCTATTAAAGAGGGATACACACGTTCAATCTTTTCCCAATTCCAAATTCTTCTACCAAAAGTACAGCGATAAACACAGTTTCCTTTTCTGCCCAGGTAACCCAACCAACCCAACGAATACCTCAACAGCTCTAAAGAATCATATCCTCTGATTCTAATTTCCTACAGGACCGAACTTCTTCCTGTCAACTTCCTCCCTTCCCTATTTCCTGCCCCCACTCAAATAGCAATCAACCCACACCGCTCCTCTACCTCACTAACCAACATCTCCCACTTCAACAACTCCATCCACCCCTGCCATAAATCCCTAACCTCCTTCCCCTTCAACTCATCACCCAATCTCTGCGTCTTCTTCCACTCTTCTTTACTTGCTTCAAGTCGTTGTTCAATGTTGATGGCGCCGGCTACTTCACGGATGCGGTCTGGCTTGGATGGTTGTGAGAGCGTGAATGCTGGGTAAAAAGGAGGGGTATTACTTTTATTGCTCTTGGGTGTGGGTAGGATTGCCGGGGTGGGCGAAGGAAGACTTACAGATCACGCATGGCAGCATCATCTTCCTTGCTTGGGTATGCAGAGAGTCTTGGGTGGAGAGAGAGTCGAGTCATCTGGTTCATGAGAGAATCGGCATCCTTAGTGAACAGGTCGTTCGAGTAGGCGTTGGAATCCATGATGGATTAATGGAGTTGCTGATTCCGAAATTTGGTATCAGCGTGAAGTGTGAGAATCGGGGATGAGATTGGAAGGAGGCAGAGGCGAGGATGGGGTTCAGTATTTAATGTGTCTGTACAAACTTTGCTGCGTTTGCAAACAAATCAGACAATGAAACAGCTTTCATTGCTGCACTTCAGGATAAGCATGTAAGAAGATGCAGGTAAGAAGAAGCAAGTGCTCGGAGCCAATGCTCATTTTTCATGCATAGCTGCCTACCTCTCCTTATGTGCTGTAATTATCCGTTAAGATATGATCAACTGCAAGCTGCAAACACAGCCTAGTCCGGAACCCACGAGAACTTCTTCCAGCGCTTTCAAATTATGAGGCGAGAGGAGATAACCAAAGAAAGAATGGAAAGGATAACGAATAAATTCGGGACAAAGAAAATCTGCACTGTCATCTGTGACACTTGCTACAGAAGAGCAGATGCAAACAACGATATTGCAGAACTCCAAGTTCACGCAGACTGTGAAGACACAACCGTGGAAACTATAAAAACTCCATATATGTATGCTATATCTACCACGCCTAAAAAGTCCAACGCTCGCATCTCATTCCCATCATCGTCATATCAATCGTGTATCTATCTAATCATTCCAAGCACCCATTTCCCTTCGTCCGCGACTACGTCTACTCCGTAGCCTTGTATTTCTTATTAAACTCGTTGACAGCAACACCAATCTTCCTATACAGGAAGTTTCTACTACTCTCCTCAGCAACAGGTATGAAGGGTCCATTTGTCCCGCCTCTCAACGTCAGGCTCAGTCCTGTTCTCTCTTTACTGATTGTCTGGATCTCCTTCAGAGGAACGTCCCACTCCGAAGTAAGCTTCTTACTCTTGATGAGCATGATGCGGCTGTAGGTCAACATTACGACCACGTCCTCGCGTGGAAGCTCGAGATGTGCGATGTACTGCTCGTTGAAGTACTTTCCGTTGTCGAGCTGCTTGAGCCAGAACTGTCCGAGAGCTTCACGTTGAGAGTATGGACGTACGATACCATCTGTGCCGATGAAGCGCGTAAGACGCACACGATCAAGTCCGTCCCCATCGAACACTGTCGTGGTGTTACGTATTCCTTCGCTGACGTTCGATGCAAGATCAAAGACACCAATAGCTGGTTTGGTGACGAATCCAAGTGCTCCCTTTCCGACACCCTTGAAGAACCCAGTGAGACCTTCTTGCTCAGCACCTTCGAGAGGCTTGCGTGCAAGTCCACCGACTCCACTAGCGAGACTGCTTACGAAGGAGTTCGCTCCAGCTGTCACACCATAAAGCGCATGCTTAGGACGATTTCGTGATCTGGTCATTCGGCGACGATCCTGGAATTGCTTGTCCATTGTAGCTTCGGCAAGACCTTTCGCAATGCTACCAGTGACCTTGGAGAAACTGTCTGAGACACCAAATACTGACTTCTTGACAAAGCTTGTGGCACCCTTTGCAATACCGATTCCCAGTTGCTCAGGTCTATCGGACATGATGAACCCCTGGTATGGCTCGTAGAAAATATCTGCGACACCGGAACTCAAATTGTTGAAAAGACCGACGGGATTTCCTAGGAAATCTGCTGAACCAAGAATCTTGTGTACTTGGTACAGTGCTTCTTGTGAGTAGTGATTGGACATGTTCTGCAGCAGGACGGCGGCTGATACTCTTGCGTTCTCCAGCATTAGGGCATTTAGGCGGACAGGAGCATCATTGATATTGCCGATGGCCATTGTGAGGACATTCAGGAAGAACATTAGAGGATTTCGTGACGATGTCTTGTCTTCAACATTGACACGGTCTGTTCGGACGAAGGATAAATCGAGCTGCATAGGTTGAATATTGAGCAGCTCAAAGTACATATCCTGACCAGACTGATCTTGCGTGGGCTCCGGAATGTCCAGGCTCTCGTCGCAGAGTACGCCCTCGTGCGTCTCGGACCAGCTTGCACCAGGCACTTTCGAAAAGTCAAGGAGGGCGTACACGAAATCTTCGTCGATTTCAAGAGTCATTTGCTGTAGCAGGATTGTAGCATACTTGATGTAAAGCACACCATATGAATCATCCTTGACTCGAGTGAACATGACGTGCACTGACGGATGGGACTCTGTCTCTTTGGTGTTCTTTGGGACCACACTCGGGTACAAGATCATGGGGAATATGCCGCCATAAAGTTGATTGTCGATTTGTATCCATTTGATACCGGCGGTGATGGTCTGGAACAGCGGTGATTCAGCGTACTTGAGAGATATATCTCTGAAGGTGACATATGCTAGCTCCTTCAGCTGGGCATTGACCAGAGATATGCCGACGCCAGCCAGCTTGAGCTGTGCTCTGAAGGTCACACCAGTGTCTTGATCCTTGACTTCGAAGCCGCCAGCGACGCTGGTGGATGATTCCGACCGAGATTTCTGCTTGTACAAACTCTTCGAGGCTTTGTAGTTGGACAAGATCAAGGTTTGTGTAGGGCCATCAGCTGCCACGTTCAAGTCGATAATCTTCGCTTCTCTTGAACCTGTTGTACTTTGTGGAGCTGGGACTTTCATCGGAATCAAATTACCAATCTCTGCAAGTTTGATGTGTCGTTCTCTACCGTTGGCATTGATTATAAGCTCTTTATGCTTAGCAGCTGGATAATCCCACGCATATGGCATGATGCTTCTAGGTGGTAGTCGATAGCGGATTGGACGCCACCCAGATCGATCCTCAGTCTCTTCGTCATCAATGTTTGGATTCGCCTGGAAGAACATGAACTCGGTGTCACTCTCGTTCCGCATGGAGAATGGCCAGTTCTTAGTTTCGGAGCTGAGATGGAGGAAAATGGTTGCATTTTCCATCAGAACTTCCACTCGTATGAGCTTCTGGCGCTGCCCGGCCTTTGCAAGTTTGATGTGAGTTGTGCCAAGATCCGAAATATTAAATGGAGATGACCATTGATTGTTCAATCCAGGGAAACATAGAGACAACTGTTTCAGAGAAGTCTTCTGTAAGAAGTGTAACGGTTGCAGCTCCTTTGGCTTGATGGTCATGAGTTCGGAAGAGCCTGGTTCCCGGACGTTGATCTCTTCGTTCATTTGATTCTTGAGCACAAATCGCGGGGCCAAAGTGACGACTTTGGTCATCTTGTACTTGCCCTCACCAGGTTCAATTGTGATTCCAACGTGGATCTCAGTATTCTTTGTGGATGATGGCAAAATAACATCGACAGTTGATCCAATAGCGTCAAAACTCTGCGGCTTGCTCCAATTGGATTCTCCAACCTTGAGAAGAACTCGATTTCGTTGATCATCTGCACCGAAAGCAAACATGTAAGGAAGGGCTTTTCGTCGCTGGGTATCGGCTGGATCAGTGTGAAAATTCTGGCCAGCAGCAGTCTTCGCCTGTTGAAGAAGTGACTTTGCCTTAACGTTGATGTCCAATCCCGTCTTATTTAAGATCACATAGGGACTGAAGACAGTAACTCGGAATGCGCCACCGCTATCAGGGATCTTGAAGTAGTGGAGTCGGAGGTTCAGCGCCAGATTGTCGTTGTCTTTGCAGACCAGCGTCGACTCTCGTCTGAAGTCTTCCTGATTATTTGAGTTGATGATGGCGAACTCGCTTGACTTGAACACTGTGTCTTGCATATCAACACTCAGAAGCAGAAGATGAGAAAGCTCAACGACGTGAACTGGACTAAGACCGCCCTTACGTAGGAAGTTAGTCCAATCTTTCTTCGTGTTCTTGTCATAGATCCGATATTTGAAGTCATAAGGTAGCAGGTTCTCCAGTTCCACAGGTGCAGAAAGGCGGACTCTCATGTAGGGGTAGATGCTAGATTCGTGTTAGTACTCCTAAGAGTGTTCAGAAAACCGTGGTACTTACCTTGTGAGAGGATTTGTCTTGTCAATGGTTGCATGCATCTGGAAATAGAAAGGTGGAGTGCTCTTGTCCTGTTCCCCTTTACAAATCATAGTTCTCGTAGGTCGTTTGAGAAGGTCTTTCCACCATAGTGATTCGGTTGACCACGAGTACCCAAAGCCTTGATCTGGTCTGACAAGTAGGGACTTCAAGAACGCCGCACCCACAGGGGCAGGGCGACTTTCCCCAGGAGCAATCTTTTCGATCTTCAAAAGGTGACCTTCTTGTGCATCAAAAACTCCCAACTCAACTGGAATTTGAGTCTTGTTCTCAACTAAAAGAGGAGAGCGGAAGGTGATGTACTTGACGTTGTCGGCACCCAGTGTGATCTCAACCAGAAGACGATGGAGAATTTGATCCTTGCGAGGTCGGAGGCTGTACAAGTACTCACCCTCTCGATTGACGGCAATCTTGTTGACGCTATCAAAGCCACTTCCCTCAAGTCGTACACCAACTATGCCAGTGTTGTTCTCGGGCGATAGATTCTCACGCATTTTCTCCCAATCTTCAAATCGCCATGGTCCTTCCTCGCCATCCTCCAGCTTGGCTGCCATTGGGCTGTCATCACCTGGAACATCTGCCCAGACATTGATATCGAAACCTGTGTAGTTTCGAATTCTGTAAGGTGCCTCGGCTCCACGGGGCTTGGAGAGCACATCCTCTTCTTGAGTCAGAAACTGAGCAGATTTTGAAGCAAGTGCAATGGTCGCCGAAGTTACTGTGAGCTCGAGAGCTTTCTGAGAGGACAACTCAATAGCCATACGGTTTGAGTTGGCCTCCTTCGACACCTGGAGTCCTAGCTGCCAGGGCTCAATCAGAGGCTCCCAAGCAGATTTTGAGAAGTTGTAAATATTGATAAACATGTCAACGTTGGCTTCCGCAGAGAGATTGCTCGTCCAGTCAGCTGCTGTGGCAGTGAAGCCCTTGATACTAAGATCCAAGATGGGCAATTCATGAAGATCCCCTATCAGAATCACTCTCATGCCATCAAGAGTAGCACTGAGTTCCTCGTGTTTCTGTACCAGTCGATTTACGCCAGACAGCTCATACTGCCTTGAAGGTGCCGTGGTAGCAGCTTTAGTTTTCTTTCCCATCGTCGATGCGCCCTTTCCACTGGCTGTGCGGCGCTTCAAAGTCCTATTATCAGAACCTTTCAGGTGTTTTGACTTCACGTCTGAAGTGGACGGCTTGTGTTCATCATCAACGTCCTGGCCAGATAGCTCAGAGGCTTTGCTGACAATCTGCAGAGCCAGTAGAATATCTCGAAGAGATAAGCGTAACACAAGCGGCTCTACGTCAATGTGGATGCTTGAAAGATTCTCTTTGGAGCTGTCCATCGACATCTGGAGAGAAAAGTCATCGAGGATCCGTAAACGAGAATCTTCGAAACGATCCATACGGCATAGAAACATCCCCATCTTAGAGACCTGCAATGTCAAAGCATGTTGTTGAGACATCAGAATCTGCTTCGTCCCAAGAACAATAGCTTCCGAGCTGGAACTGAGCGGGTTAGCGATCAGAATGATCTGCGCGTCCACGACATTGACTCTGAAGGCAATAGTCATAGGAGATTCCTCAGCTCGAGAAGATGATGGAGAAGGGCTATTTGCCACGGATCTTGAAGACTTCATACGACTGGGCAAGGGTCTTGAGCCAGCAGTAGGTGCGACTGAGTCGTTGTCAGTGTCATCTTGAGACTCGAGCAAGCTTTCGTCGTCTGGTATCATTGGCTCTTCGACGGCCAGACCTCCCGCAACAAATGCTTGGATGGCGAAAAGATAATCCAATGCGAAGATCACTCGAGGGCTATCGATCGCCACAATGGCAATGAGATTGCGCTCCTTTCCGCCTGAGATAGTGACGCTCGCCATGAATTGCTGAACATCCTTGTTTGAGGACGTCATAATTTTGCGGAATTTGTTCGTCGATTTTGTTCTGCTATCCTGTATTGTGAAGGACTGAATTAATAACTCAGATTCTAGAGAACCGTCGGTCATCATCCGAAGCTTGACTTTGGTATCATCGAGAGAGAATTTTGAGAGACTCGACGCTTCTAGATCCCCTACAGGCTCATCCTCCTTTGCCAAGATCAGTTCCAGGCCAATGGTGTGAACATGAAAAGCAAGGTCAAGTTTTGTCCAGCTTTTTGAGTCTACGCCCAGCTCTGGCCCAAGGTCAACTAATTGTTTGTCTCCATTGATTTCGCCGTCAGCATTCTCTGGCTTAGCCTCGATAGTCTTGGCCTTCTTCAAGGTTGCCTTGGGTACATCGTCCATTGCTTGTTGCTCATTCTCCTCTGCGTCAACCGCAAAAGCAGCTGGAACGGATTTGGCCAGCTCCAGCAGGAACTTGAGCTGGGTTTGTGTTATGCGCAGATTGAAGTCGGTCATGTTGCCCTCTATCTCAGTGTCTGGCCGCTTGACACCTTCGATATGCTCGGCGTAGGTCACTTGGAAGCCGAGATCGACTTTATCGATGAGCTCCAATTCTTCGGCTCTGTCCTCTGAGAAGTGGAAGTCTGAGGTCAGGCGAACATTCCTGATACCAGCTGATAGCTTCATGGCGATGATTGCATCCTGTGAATCATCAATAGGCACAAACTTGTTCTCAGCATAGATTTCTCCGAGATAAGCTGTGAGAAGATCTCGTCTAGGCTGTCCGGCCATCATGACTCGAGGAAAAACAACAATTGGAGTTTTGATGTTGATGTCGAATTTCATACGGTTTGCATTCTGCTGTATCTGCGAAGCTTGATTTGCTGCAGCTTGCCTGGCAGCATTAAAAATAGCCTGCATCTTGCCAAACTTAACCAAGAAGTCGATAATCTTTCGGAAAGGCTCCTCCAGGAAGTTCAACTTGATGGATCCTGCGCGGAGATAGATTGAGGAATCGTATCCCGGATACGCATCCCCACTATCAGGGTCGAAGGTCTCGTAACGGAAGTCAGCCAGGTCATCGCCTTGGATGGTGATCAGCTTCCGTAAGTTTGAATCAGAAGATGCGCCTTGGTTGATATCGTCCAATAATGAAAGATCCCCAAGCTTAGCAGCAATTCGTAAGGTCTTGCCCATTACAAAAATACCGACATCTGCAGCGTTGAGTGATAAAGTAGCAAGTCGAATGCCATCATTGTTCAGAATAAGACGGATGCTCTTTAAGTCTACTTTGATACGAATCGACCCAGTGTCTGCTTTTGGTGCTGGAGAGGCAGCCACGGCGTCTTCCTCGTTTTCAGTGTCCATGATTTCTCTGGGCGAAGATTCGGCTGGCTGCGCATCATTATTCGCGAACGTGATGAGGATGAAGTCAAGCAGCGTCAGGAGAGTCTTGCGAGTGACAACGAGGTTGATCGTGGATATAGCCACATCAATATTTATCTCCACACCTTCATATTTGGGCATGAACTCGGGCGACTGGGGTTTGACTTTGATGATTTTGACGTGCACGAGATCTTTGTGATCCTTTGAATCAGCATCGCCAGAAGACACGATTGATTTGAACTCCGCCGATGGATTCTCGACATAGTCATCAACGACCAAGGACTCCAGAGATGTATCAATGATCAGGTCATATGGTCGCACGCATAGGTTGAGTCCAAAATTCTCAGCAACTAGCTCAACTAAAAGCTGGTCTGGTTTCTTGCCTTCTGGATCGCTTCTGTATAACGAGCCCTGAAGACGATCAACATCGAACTTCAGCTCAAAATTACGCTGTTGGACCTTTAGATTTTCGGTTGTATTTCCATTCTCCGCATCTTGGAATACGGCCTCATCGTCAGAGTCTGCGTCTTCTTGTATTATAACAGCTTCTTGCGTAGAAAACTGGAAGGAAGCAGTCGACTTTCGTTTCCGTGCCTTATCTGACTTAGACACAGTGCTTTGAGCACGAGGCCGTTTCGCATCCCTGTCCGTCTCTGTGACAGCTGTCTGGGCAGGTAGCTCATCGTCATCTAGATTTGGAATGGCGACATCGATGATCCTCATCAAACTCTTGTACTTCTTGTCCGATACGGCAACATGTAATACTGGAAGGTTTCCAGAGATTCGTACTTTGGTTAAGTTAGGTGCTTTGGGAATTATCGAGGTTTCCACCATGAAGTCGATGTTAATCTGCTCGACGATATGCATCGATTTTGACTCATCTCTATTGTCGAGCTGAGCCTTTGTTTCCTCGATTGAAGGCCCGATCAAGACTTGAGTAGACGAAAGCTTGACTTGGAACTTGTCGTACATTAAGGACTCGAGCCGTTTGAAGTCCTCGTCAGTGTATGACTGCCTCTGTTTTGCCTGCACGTCTTTCATAGTATCTTTGTCGACTAACTGACTGTTGACACTGATATGACCAGCATCCAAAATCAAGCACATCGTATTTCTTGTAGTTATACTCTCAGGAACAATTATTAGAGGTGCTTGAAGATCCAATTTGGCATTCAAGGTCTTATGCTCTTCCAGAGCAAATTCAAGCCCGGCTCTGGTCTGCTGCCGTAAACTCTCAACAGTCGCACCAGCGCTCTCCATGAGTGCTCCAATGGACTCCATGTGACGCTCTGGAGGCTTGAAAAACTGAATGATTCCAACCAGAAAATGAGGATTCCAAATGATTTCCAGCGGCTTTAATTTACCAGTCAGTGCAAGATCGCTCGCACCGTCCAGTGGGTTCTTCTCAAACTGGAATTGAAAGAAGGGGTCAATGGAGTTCTCTGCCACATCTTCGCTATCGATGTCGATCTTCTTGGTTGGCGTATCGGGTGCATCCTTGACACGAACAATTTGTGTAAAGAGACTGTCGGGCGTGGTGCCATCGTTGACTCTCAGTCCGTTGAGACTGACATCGGCTAGAAATGATTCTGGCCTTTGAAGAAACTTGGCGCGGAAGCCATCAAAGTACAAACTCAGGACCTCAACTACATTGTCGTGCGGATCACGCTTCAAGGTAAAGCTACCAGTGTTCAGGGAGGCGTCGATTTGCATCTTGACAGAATCCTTGGGCAGGTCGACACTTTCCGCTAGAGCAGTCTTCTCATCCCAATCGATGGCATCGTACAGTTCTTTGCGCTGCTCCTCGGACATTGTTGTTTCGGGATCTTCCTCTTCTTCCTGAGGCTTCGAGCCCCACGCCCAAGCAACCCAACCTTGGGACTTCTTCGCCGTTTGAGTCTTCTTAACACCGATATTTTCCTTCTTTAATTGGTTTCTAGCCAGAGACCTCCAGAACCGCATGTCTTCGTAATTCAACTTCCATTCGAGTTTCTCGAGCTCCGTGGCTTCTTCCGCCGGTAATGGAGCCTCTGCCTTCTTCTTTTTCTTGAAGAGTTCAATGTACCGAATTCTGTCATCTCTTCTCTCCTTGAAGAAGGCCCAAGACCAGCGTCGATTACGATCATGGATCTTACTCAGAATGGCATTACCAGCAAACTTAAGCCACGCTCTAGGATCCTCCTTTGGCGTAACACCCTTAGGCTGTAACTTCTTGTATTCTTGGTGGCGAATGAAGTAGTGAAACAAGTCTACCATCATCAGAGCATCACGGTACTGGTCATCGTCTAAAACCAAGCCAATTTCATCAAATATCAGCCCAGCCTTGATGTGTGGTCGGTCGGATTTGCCAGATTTGTCCATCTCGATTTTTGCTTGGCCGCTGACTGGCTTGAGAATGAATTGATGAGATCCAGTATCCGGGTGTTCTCCCTTCACAATCATCTCTCTAAACTTTTCAAGCATTTCATCGTGAGGCACGACGGCTGCTCCAGGAACCTCCGCCTCCCTACCAGTTCCTAGCAGAGGGGTATCAGTATTCCAGTACACAGCCAAAGCACCCAATGTGGCAAGCTTGTGTGTAGGCCCAACTGTATCTTGGATGTATGTGGGCTTCCATTTTCCATCCGTACTGATCGCACTGAATTCTTGAAGGGTCAGACCGAGAGCGAATGGGTGGCCTGGTGCTGATATGGAATCTTCGTATCTGACATGAATATTCTTGACGGTGATCTGGAGATTATCGACTATTTTGGTGACCAAGCTGTCCGTGAAGCTCTGACTCTTCTGTTGTTCCTCTTGGCTCATGCCTTCTTGGTTGCGGTCTTTCAGCATTTCTGCACTGTCTAGCTTCTCAATCTTGACAGCCTGCCTCCTGCGCTCTTCCTCCTCCTCGTCCCATTCTGCATCCTCTTTAGGGGCTGCCAGCACGAACACATCCTCGATGTAGACTTGCACCGGCTGTCCCCGCAGATTTGACCATGGAATCTTCAGTGTGAGCTGTCCCAAATGTCCTTCCACCACATTGATCGGAAGCTTGAGCTGATCCAAAGCCTCCCTTCGTAATTCGAGATCCCGAAGCTTGACATCTCCGGACCAAATTCCTACATTTAGTTGTTTTGGGTCGAAGTTCCTGATGTACATGCCCAAGAAGCGATTAAGCAACGAGGCTACAAGTCCTTCCAACATCTCGAATGATGTCTGCCGTTACCCAGGCGGGGTGCTCGATCAAAATGTGTGCCGAGGCGTCGTCATCTGCATCTGCGAATGCGCAGCAATAGCTATAGGTTGTTGCAGAGTAGGGATTCAGGTCATGGCAGTCGTGAAGATCGACTGTCTTGTCCGTTCAAGGTCAAAGGGGTATCGTGGAGTCGTGACGCGTTGGAGGAAAGAAGGGTCAACCCACTCTGCTTTGCTGTTAGGTACTGTACCAAATCGTAAGTTCCCCGCAAGAAAACAAGCTTCGAGACAGGGAAACTCACTGCAGTGTTTGGGAAGATGCTGACGAAGTTGCAAGTATTATTTGCGCAACAGATGCGAAAGCCACAAACAGTTGTAAAATTATTGAGGATGAGGAGACCTCGCGGATCCTTCTGCCTGCAATTAATCTTTCTCACTTCACTGAGTCGCGCCAGTCAGTTTGGTCTTCCACCCATTCATTCCTTGGCTCTGATCTCCTTGCGCCCCTTCGCTTATTTTTGACTGCTGTTGATCGCCCACGTCATAGGCTTTGCCGTGAGGAGAGAGCTCCCTCCAACTATTTCGGGCAAGCGCTGGCTGAGCTAGAGAGGAGAGGGCGAGCAGTACTCGTACTTGTACCAGTACCACGAGGAGCAACAACCCAGCTTCCTAGCTTTTATCTCCACCCCCTCTCTGCGTCCGAATACCCTCACTTCTACTTCTTTTGTCACACTCCCTCGTGTCTCTGTCCCCTTCACGTCTACTTTGTAGCTTTGCGGGTCGTCAATTGACTTTCTTATCGACCATCCAGCGCATCGAGCGCATCAGCCAGATAGCGGGGAAGCCTCCGCTGCCCATAGCTCCAGCTCTAGCTACCAACCCGTCACGATGTTCCGGTCACCAGCGGCGAGATCATTGCTGAGAAGCTTTACCACAGCTCCTACGGCCAGATCTAGCTACAGTGCAGCTTCATCTCAATTCCGACACACCCCTCCCTTCCGTCAATTGAGCAATAAACGTCCCCAAATCCTGGCCGCTTTGTCTCGCCCGCCAACTGCGACGGTGTTCTACGCAACGAAATCCACCCCTCCTCTCGACAATATTGACACCAAGGCTGAGAAAACGCTTGGAGATAAGGTTATCAAGCCCGATCCAGATGAGGTATCTGCTGGATCATCTGTTCGCCATGTTTTCGAGCAAGGCCAAGCTCCAAAGCAAGAATCTGGTGGGGAGATGACTGCGGGATTGAAGTCAGACCTTGAAACCATCAGAGAAACCTTCTCGCTAGCAGAAGTTCCCAAGGAGTCTTTGTATATTGGCGCAGCTGGTATTCTTCCGTATGCCGCAACTTCTATGTCGACCGTTTTCCTCTCGTATGATATCAACCACGCCCACAGCACTGGAGCTGGCTATCTGTTCAGCCCGGAGACAGCGCACCAACTCCTTGACCTAGTGACCCCAATCCAGATTGGTTGGGGGGCAGTCGTAAGTATTAGAATCTCGCAAACCCTCTCCTTATGCTCATGAAGTCCTAGATCATCTCTTTTCTTGGAGCTATCCATTGGGGAATGGAGTACTCGGGATTCGGTGGCTACCACTCTTACCGCCGATACATGTACGGAGTCATTGCGCCAGCAGTTGCGTGGCCAACTATCTTCATGCCCGTGGAGTACGCCCTTATAACTCAATTCTTGGCTTTCAATTTCCTGTACTTCGCAGATGCAAGAGCCACAGCTCGAGGATGGTTCCCTCCATGGTACTCCATCTACCGATTTGTCCTGACCTTCTTCGTCGGTGCTTCCATCGTCATAAGCTTGGTTGGCAGAGGAAAGATTATTACTGCAGACCACACTCTCAAGAGCCCCGTGGACTACGTCAAAAGCGATAAAGATGCACAGTGGGTGGCGCTTGAGCGTGAGGAGAAGGAGAGACGCAAAGCTCTTGCTGCTGAAGACGAGGAGGAGGATGAAGGAGATGATAGCGAAGAGGGGGATGAGAAGAAGGACGATGAAGAATCCGACGACGGAGAAGATGACAAGGGCGACGAAAAGAAGGATAGCAAGAAGGACGACAAGAAGGGGAAGAAATGAGTCGCGCACTGTATTTCGAGTAAAGCACTGTATATACACCGCCTTTTCCTACAGTCAATATCCAATTTCGTCAAAGCTATCATTTGATAGGACTCGCAATTCTCGTCGTATCATGTGTTTATCAAGCAAAGGGGAAGATCATGGAGGAACAGATTGGCATGACACAACAATCTCTGGCGTCCTTGGGGAGGGCCTCGCCCTAATTATGACCGACATTTACTTTCCTGTATTCAACCGTCAACAATCTCCTAGAGCAAGACAACAAACCATTTTAGCAACGCTTGTAGATCTCGGACCCTCCAGACTCTGGCCCGCCTATGTTTATGAGATTTACGGGGCTTGAGGTCTTTCAAGCTCCAATGTGCCTCCAGTGGTTAAACATCAGATTGGTGTAGCTGCGAGTGCACCAGCAGAGAAGTTTCTACCCAAGTCAAACTGCCAGACTTTGTTTCGCCGCGCATTGTTGGGCATCGTTCCATATTATTTCTCTACTCTTGCCTTAGAACTTTCTTTAGTCTTGCTGGTCCATACAGCTCCGAGATACCTCATTGTCGGTGAATCCAGCCTGCGAGAAACGGTCTTAAGCGCAGCTTACCACTGACTGTGAGCTTGTGTGGATACTCCAACGTACCGAACATTCTCTGTACCAATGCATCTTACTATTACGAACGAAGTGTGTTGACTTGAAAGGTCATGGCAATCAAAAAGACGCAAGGATGACCGAGCACTTCGTCGGGCAAAGGTTAACATGTTAGAATGTTACAAACTCCACCATATTCTAGGAGAGCTTGACTGCCTCCGTCTCGGCTCTGTCAAGAACAGCGCTGGGGTCGATACTATGAACAGCTCAGCACATCCGACATCACAACTATACGACAACCGACACCACTCATCGGCCCTACCTCGAACTCTCTCCTAATCCAGAAGCAAAATCCCAAAGGTCGGCCATCATTTTCTTAGGGCTGACAGTGGCGCACGCTCACCACATCTCACCTTACATCACTCAGCCGAACCGACAAACGAAGGACCAAAACCCAAGCAGCTGGGTCAATAGTTCCTCCGTCCGACTAAATGCATGTATCTCTACCGACCCGACAATGAACCCGAGTCGGCTCAGATGACGAGAGCAACAGCGAGGGCGTCGATTACTTCCTCGGTATTGGGAGGCTTTCGGGCTTCTTATCGAAGGAGACGGGAAGGCTGTGCTGTGACATTTGCTTTGCATCGGCTTGATTTTTAGGTTGTATTATTGATAAATCTCTGAAAATATCGTTTATTTTGTTATGGGCTAGTGCTTAGTTCTGTTCATCTTGTGTCAGATATCCTCAGCAGTTGTGATGATATCTAGTGATGAGAGGCATATTATCGTTTAATATCCGACAAGACATATTTCGTCGAGCTGAGAACTATTCTTAGACTTTTCGGCCGAGGCAGTAGATAGTGCTGTAAAGATAATACAAGGTAGGCAGGTCAGAAGGATAGGTAGTCAAACATCATTCAGTTTATCTTCCGTAGCACAGATATATTGGCTGCTTGCAGAGTCCCCTCAATAACCCCGCAACCCAGCGCATTCCGTCACATTCCCATACACCCCGTTTATATTACTTCCAAGCCTCACCTACCGTATCAAGCTGGCTCACGTACATCATTTTATGTTGGGTGTTTTCATCTTTCGGCATGCAATATATGCTCTGCAACCACACCCTGCACGGGATACCTCATACGGACTCCTAGACTGCACACCCTCTTCCAAGTTATTGACAGGTTTATCAACAACCTCACATGTGCACTTCCTAGATAGAGTTCATAGAAGTTCCCAATAACAAGACTAAGTTGCAAGAAACCCCCACTCAATCCTCGATCGTCATCCGGTCCTCGTGCTCAACCTGTGCCAGTCTCGCCCACGACTTTACATTCACAATCTTACAGCATCAAAAGCATGGTCTTGAACCAAATGAGTAAAGAGAGCGCCACAAACAAGAATAAAAGGGAAGGGATATGCTGCCCACGTCCGATCTCGCCACCTCCACCCCTGTAGCAGATCAGATCCACATCCGCGACATCCACAGATTCCACACATCCAAAAGCTCACAAACTCAAAATCAGTTGTTTGCTCATTCCCCACTATCGCCTCACAACAAGTACACCGTCTTCGAACCTGGCATGGCATGAGGCATGTCATGATTCTGTTTTTGTTCCCAACGAATCCACAAGGCGTGCAAAATCCTAAATCCTGAAATCAAAAATCTAAATCAAAATCCACAAGGCGCGGAAAATATTTCATTTTTGCTTGACAGGTCCACTTCCCACTTTCTCGCTCCGCTTGTTTGGATGCACGGATCGCCGAGAAGTGCGGGCGGAGGCAGTTGGAAGTCTATTTGATGGACCTCAGTCAGGTCGGCTGTCGGGTACGCTGACGCATAGCAGCCTGATGCCAGGGCAGAATGGATGTTCACCGATTTGTTATTATTGTCTTGCTCGAAAATACATCCATGGATAGGAAAGTTCATCAAGTGCGTCTGAAACAGGATTCTTAGTCCCAGATTCACACGGACATAGGTTGGCGAGCCGCGAGAGACAACTGTCTCAACCAGCATAGTCACCCGGCATAACCTTATCGGTCTTATCTGTCATCTTCATCCCAATATGTTAAACAGACTGCTTTCAAAGAAACTTTTCATCCCGCGATACTTTCATATGATTGATTCGTGAGAGTGGGTACAGCATCAACAAATAATCGTCAGTTCTTAGTCGAGCATCATGTGTCCACCGCTTGTCCAGCATCGAGTAAACCTTTCGTCCTATCAGAGCTCAGTCTAGGAGGTAAATGCCGTGGCATTCGGCAGCCGGTGCCAAGGGTCCTAGGACATGCATGAGGTTGTGGATGTGATGTGCTTGTGCAGCAGTGAGGAGCTGAATCACATCACCAGCCGGCAAGGAGGGGGAGACGACGACGACTTTACTGAAACGAAGGCTTGGTTGGTTGATTTGGTGTCGTGTCGGACGATTCTGCTACTTCCACATCTGTGTTTGCATCCATGTGCGGCAGACGGGGAATCAGATCTGGACCTAACCAGCCATCGGACGAGCATGATGCCATGTTGTTCGACACAGTAAGGTAAGTTGTTTGAGGCTGTGGTCTTGTCTGGTCGGTGTCGGCATCAGTCAGTCATGCCAGGCGTGTCAGCACATGCCTCCCTCAAGATCCCAGCTCAAAACCAGCCAGCATCACGAAATCAACCAAACAGAAGCACGAACCGGCAACACCGGGGAAATCTCATGGACCCTGCCTGCGTATGCGTGTGCTCACTCACTGCCCTGTGCGTGCGTTTCTTTGTCCGTAAGATTTTTTCGAAACCCTTATAAAGAAATGGGGCTTTCCCATTTTCATTTTCCTTTCTCATCTCATCATTGAGTCATTGCCGAACGGGGATTCCGCCTCTTACTATTCTGACACGCTGATGCTTGCTTGCTGGATGTTGATTGCTTATCATATCACATCACATCACTGTTGCATCACTAACCAGCGCATCATTAGGAGTTCAGACTGCCAAGCTTCGTCTGTTTACTTCCGCTAGTTGGAGTAGCGTACGGTACTTGAAAGGTTTCGGCTCCGCCAGCATCTGTCAGGAAGGGATCGACAGCCCTACACGACTATTACTACCGTACAAAACCCGAAGTCGGTGACAACATTGCTTCAAGCTCTGCCCTGCTTCTACAGTACTTATACTTCACGTACCTGCCCCGTTGTCGAAAGGCTTGGCCCTAGTTCTGCTTGCAAGACTTTCAAGAAGATCCACACCCAGGACATCAGATACCTTAATCGACATCACGACATCACGTGCGGACTTTGACAACAATAGAACGAATCTTCTTCCTGCGATATCTACTGAGGCATATCATTTCTGTCAATATGTCTTCCTTCACCAGACACCGCCCATGCAACTCCACCATCCAACCCCGCTACCACTCGAATAGCAGCAAGTACTCCACCTCTCCGTCCCCTTCACCAAGTCCCCCACCAACAATCCACCACCGCCGTACTCTCTCCTCCCGCACCAACAGCTCCTCTCGACGAAGCCCACCGCCACCATCACTTCCTGGCCTAGGCCTTCCCGTCTCTTCGTTCGGCTCACCTGAAAACACGAACTCAAACTCAAATTCAAACGCAAATCTGCATACTGAAGGACCAACTATGGCGCCAGCTTTCGTTCCACAGAAAGAAGAATCGGATGCGGAGTGCTGGTCGAGAATGTTGGCCTTGCAGCGAGAGTTTCATTGCTATAACTCTGCGCGGTTGGAGGCTGCGGTCGAGGCCTTGGAAAAGGGCTGGAGGATCGAGGATGTCCCTATTCGTACGTTCTCAAAATTGAATAGAGGATCTGTGATCACCTCGCTAATGACTTCCAGCTTCGAGATTTTGTCTTGATCTTATGAATGAGGAGCTCCAGGCTCAAATCGAATCGACGAATCTCCATTGAAGGAGATGATAGCACGCAATTCTGGTCGGGTTTGGGCGTCAGGGTCTCGGCGTTGGTTCGGATTGGATAGCATTCTGAATCCAGGATGGAGAGGGCGAAAAGTGGATCTGGACAGCCTCACAATGTGTATTGATGATTGACGAGCGGGTATGCGGAGGACAAATTGGGATTCGTCTGGTGTGAAAGCTACCCACGGTAGCTCCGCCATTAGCACTGGCGTTTGGGAGACTCTTTTCTATGTTTCTATGTTTGCAATTAAGATACCTATTTTCTTGTCGTTGGAAAACTAGCGTCGCTAGGGAGCTGCATTTTGCTTATGAGGGCCTGTGCAAGGACGCTGTTGTTGGCGCGAAAAGAAAGTTCATGCTGAGTGTAACCATCGTGCCATGGCGACACGGCTGGCTGGGTGAGATGCGAGGCTCCGACCCTTCCGTGCGTGGAGGTGTTTGGAATGGCAATCGGGTTCCTGGGTTCTCAATCATAGTAATTATCAGAACGATGCTGTGCCTCACTTATAAGCTTGCATATCTGATCTGTGACCGGATTACGGACTTGAGAGTATCCTCTCGAGTTCAACGTTCCTCGCGTAGCCCTCCTTAATTACTCTCCTTCTGCTAGATCACAACCGTGGCGCAAATAAAAAGTATAGTAACAAAACTATACTCTCCAAGACTTCAGCCCACCACGCCCCCATACTTTCCTGCCAATGCCTCTTGACATTCTGACCAGAATTCCAATGATGCTCTAGCGATAATGTATGAGGGGAGTCCACGCCGCTGTAAAATCGAGCCGGGTAGATGAGTTGCTGCCTGGATTGTAAAGAGAGTAAGACTGCAAGCATGATAGCCATAACCACTGATCATGCTGTGGTGAAGAACCCTTCGGCTACTCTGTCGAAATTGTTGGTAGAAGGGCAAAACTCGCTGAATGTCAACGTGCCAACTAAGAGTCCTCAGCTGAACATAGGCTTCAACATGGCTTAAGATGATGGTATCATGAAAGGATCTGGTACAACAGGAAATCTTGGACGGAGAAGTGCATAATAACAGCGAGAGCGGACAAGAGTAGAAAGTTGTCCTAGAACCGCAAGAGGTGATGGAATGTTAGCGATTCCCGGTACTCGAGTTGTTTCTCAACTGATGCGGGAACTCCTCCAGAGGTGGCCCAACACTGCCAACAGGCGATGTGAGAGCGGAGGCATCTCCAAGCGGGGTAAGACAGGAACATGTTGAAAGGTAGCCCAAGTCGCAAGTTCATCAGTGTGAGACCAAGAACGAACCGTACGCAATAAGGTTGATGATTTCGTAAGGGGAATAAAGAAGCAGAGACAGCAAAATGACGGAAGAGAACACGGAGGTCAGTCAGGAAGAGCTGGAAACACGTTTCACACTTCAAAACTTCCAGCGAGAACTATTTGCTTCCGTTCTTACTCCGTCCCAGTCCTAATGTTGATGCGAAGAAGCTCAGCGCGTGATTGTCTTTCCTGTGTTTATGCTCACGTGTCGAATACAACGTTGTCAAGGCGCCTTGGTAATACACAACAGAGGTACGACACACGATGATCCACGTTGCAAGACTCCGGCATCTTATTGTGGTTGTGGAGTTGAAACAAGGGAGAAAGGAGGAGGAAGCTTACTTCGAGCCCTGACCTGATTGGCCAATCTTGAAATGCGTTAGATCACGTGTCTCGCTAAGCTCGCTCTTGTCCATGACGATCTTCAACCTCGCTGCGGCACTTCGTTCAAGTTCCGATCACATCGCAAAAGTGCACAAGTGACGAAATGGTCTTGAGACTTTGAAAATCCCACCCACTCACCCAAGCAAGGATGGCTACCTAATCGTACATGGTAAGTACGGACGACAATCCAGATTCACGTCTCTCGACTTCGCGCGTGCGGCTTCTAGGACGACTGGCTTCCGAGCTCTTACAAGCTTCAACGACAACGTCACAAAATTCCACACAGCATGGGACCACTCCACAATCTGTCACCTGTGAGGCTTTCTGCAGGTACACAGGCCTGCCGCTGTCTAGGGTACACCGCCTCCTGAGCTTTCCAGCATGCTCTGACTTCTTGGCAACGGTACATTGCATTCTGTTATGCATCGGATCAAAGTCCCTCTTGCTTGCGCGAATCAAGTCTTCCGACTGCACTAAATATTGGGCTTTCAGCTCACCTCCCACGGCAATCACATTTGGATTTTCTTTGTGGCTGGCGCCATGCTGTGCCTGAAAGATAGGAATCGTCGCTTCCATGGCTCTCATTATTTGGAAAATATTGCCTGGACTGTGTCATGGTCACCGGATCCTTGAACGATTGGATATGTCCAATTCACAGGCGACACCAACAGCACTAGGTACCACCTCGCCACATGCTCATCTGGTTCGTCGTACTTGTAGTCAGTATGAATCGAGCCATCAAGGTCTCAGACCCGTATTGCTGGGCCTAACAGATCACCTTCGCATTGACTTCATTACGCCATTCGTACTGATCCCATACTTCTCTCAGAATGTGCTCTCTATGCGGTCTAGTTTTGCCCTTTGGGAAAGACTTTTGATAACTCTAAATCCCACAGGATGTTGGCAGGTTCTCTTTCGGAGCCTTTATTTGGCTGCCAGCAGATATATCTTCCGCAAATTTGGCATGGAATAGATGGCCTGAAGTACCGGGCACAGTGGCATTCCTCTTCTTTTCAGACTGGCCAGCACTTACTTGCTATATCAGAATTTCTGGACGAGAACTGATGTTCTGTCATTTGTCCAGTGAAAGGAGCTTTTCGGTAAGAACAGCTTGATTTGAGGTTGCTTGTCGTACAATCCCGCTCAGTACTACAGAGCTATTGAATGACAGGTGGAAAATTCTGAGAGTTTATCAAGTTGCAGAACCACTGCAGTCAGACGTCGAGGGTACGACGAAAGCAATGGCCAAGGTTTATGCTTCTGCTGCTCCTCCCCACCTTCACATGTGGATAGCCGAAGAGCGCCTCGTGGCAACTCATTTGTCCGCCAAAGCAGGTTGCATGACAAGAGAATGTCTGTCTCAAACTCTCAAAACGTTCTGCCCACAAGCCACTGAGTTATCATCGAGACACAGGTGCACCGCGAACACATTGCTGTGTTGGGATATCTTGCTTCAAACGGATTTACCTCGTGCCACCGACTTCCCGCCAATAGCATTATGTACGATTCTGCACCCGAAATTCTCCAAAATAGGAAAGACTGTTACCGAGTTGATCTCAGACTCGGCCAACAAGATCCGCAGCTGTCGAAAGTTGTGAATGGAATCGTCTGCTGCTGCAAATCATAACTGCCTCGTCCATCTCCAACTTCTCCTGGAAAGGGCAGCGATAACACCCCACGACTCGCTGCTTGCTGATGAAAGATTGCAGGGGTATTGATAACCGCCCCGCGGCATCCTCTTGCTAAAAGCCACTACAAGTACACACCACGCCCGGGACCAATCCAGGCTTCCCAAATCAGCGCCTCTGCCCCGAGTTCAAGAAACTTCAGGCCTACCCTTGCAGAAGTTCTGCACTGCTCCTGTAGTTGCTTCTTCTAAGGACTTCACCCCCGATCGAGCAATCGTTTTCATCGTGCACATTTGCTGTATCGACTACTGACTGCTGGTTCCTCCACCAATTGACAGGGGAAAGCTGTCTAGGCGGTCTTCGCCCCATGATTATAACATCCCACGCCATTGCCGCACCCCTCTTCAGACCCTCTTAGTCTGCTCCAGACGCTTATCTCTAAGTTCTGAACTACCAATCACCGAAGCTGGTTCTTGCCATTTCTGAGAATTGGTACAGTAAGGAATATCATGGTGTATCGGCGGGTCTCCTTGGCTACTAATACACAGCACCATGCCAGTGCAAATTCCCACATATATCCCAGCTTCGCCGGACCTGGACCGAGTCGACAAACAGATGGAACCGTTTTCGACACACCTGTTACAATGTGGTGGGACGAAGAACGAATCGACTCAACAGTCAATCGGCAATTTGTGTTGTCAAAACTACGACCAGACGAACAAGCCCGACTAGACCAGCCTCTAGGGTTTGGAGATGGCCTCACCGATGACACCTATATGGAATGGATTGAAATGAAGGCCAAACGGATCTTCTTGATCCTTGTCGATCTTGGGGTTCCTGACCAAATATTTGGAGTTATCGATGATTCTTGGGATGATGATGATCTCCCTGTGCCATTCGATCAGGTTGAGCGACTCCAGTTGACCTACGACAAAGACGAGAAGCTTGAGAAGAAATTTTTCCATCGCCAATTCCTTTACCTCTTGAGAAATGTCCAAAAAGGGGAGCATTTGTACTACGATGATGAGGAAGTAGTGCCTCTAGAATTCACAGAGAAAGTAGGAGCCGTAGCGAGTCTCACGCAGAGTAATATTGACAAAGTCCATCTCCCGGGTCGACCAGACGATGTATTCGTTCGCCGACGGATACCCTTGGGCACCACCCCCGGACGTATGCCCAAAGAAGAGTTTCTATCTGGTGTGGAAGCCATGCGAGCAGTTGAACATGACCATCTGACCTCTCTGTGGGCTTCGTACGTCCACCAAGGCTCAGGATATCTTCTCCTCACTCCAGTAAACGAGAGCTCGTTGAAGTCGTTCTTGAATGTAACCCCTCAGTCTATCAAGATACTAGCCAAGCAAGACCGCCGCATCTTAGTTCTCAATTGGATTCATTGCTTAGCCGATGCAGTCTCCTTCCTGCACAAGAAAGGGCTCTCACACAGACACATCAAACCCTCAAATGTGCTACTCGATGTTGACAATAACATCTTCTTAAGCGACTCTAGCATCTTTGGCACGGAGAAACCCGGCTTCGACAAGGAAACTTACGACTATCAAGCTCCAGAGCAAGCACCCCGGCCAGCTTCAACTGCGCCAGTTTCACGTCCAAGTACTGCCAGACGAACGACAAGTCAAGGAAATTCATTTGGATTCTCAGCTGCCCAGCAAACATTCCTAGCTTCCAATGACCCTTCCTCCATGTACATTTCTTCGACTGGCACCGGCCCGACGCCTTCTACTGGCTCCTCTGTACCAAATGTATATCCTTCTGGGAAGCACGATCCCCAAAAAGCCGATATCTTCTCCCTCGGTACCATTTTCCTCGAGATCATGACTTTCCTGCTGAAGCGCACATCCCGCACTTTCGCTTCCCACCGTTCCAGCAAGAATAAAACAGCTGGAAGGGGTGGCGGCCTGCCTGATTCCTCCTTCCACAAAAACCCTCGCCAGGTTGATAGCTGGATGAGCATCCTTGCCAAGGACGGAAAGAAGAAGGAGGACAGGATCTTCAGGAGTGTAAGCCATATATTGGCTTTGATAGAAAAGATGTTAAATCCGACTCCCGACGAGCGGCCTAGTGCGTATAATGTTCAAGAAAAGTTATACTGTATTCTGATTGAGTTCTGTGGTCTCGGCCCATCGCCCCAATCAAGAGGTAGGATACACTGTACGATACGTGAGGAGGAGAGCAATGATTGGAACTTCGGCTTCGATAAACTGCGACTAGCCTCTCAACGAGCAGCTGCTGAAGCATGCGCGAGTGTCAATCCTGCCTTTATGCATGGAGGTCCATCAGGATCTGTGAGTTACGGGCTCGAGTGGACGCCTTCGGTAGTGTCAAGCGTGGCTTGGGGACCAGGTCCCAGTCCCCCTACATCACCGGTATCACCGATCAGAGACAGAACGTTAGCGAGAGATGGCGACATAATGAGTGTTTCGAGTGGGAATAAGAGTGTAACGGGGCGCAGCTCGGATGGGAAGTCCAGATCTGGGAGCGCGAGTCTGGGAAGTGGTATTCAGAATGGGAAACCGAAACCTAAAGCGAAGGCGTGGCAGGCGCCGGTATATGCTGGTTCGTAATCAGAATATTGCGGGAATCGCATTAATGCTAACGTACTCACTAACAGAGATGAGCTTTGGATGATCGAAGCAATAGGATGCTTTATGATGGCGTTGACCGATGGCTCAGGCAGCCAAACGTCAGAATGACAAAACAATGATTATGACCACGACGAATGAACAAATGGACGAACGAATAATGACAGTACAGTACGGCACAGCCCGGCAAGGATATCCCCGAACTCTCGGCGCAGGAAGGAAAGGATCGTTGTTCTGATATATACTTTGCATTGGGGCTTTGGGGCCTGTATTGATTTTGATTTACTATCTTAGCTTCGCTGGTCCTCTGCTTCTGATCTAATTAGGTAGTCGGCTTAGTCGTGCACTTGGAAAGGACGAATTGAGTGAAAAGTACTGATCGTTGAATTGATGACTGGTTCAGTTTATCAGGTTGGATGGATTGATATCATCTTGGCTGAATCACAAGCAGTGCTTTGGATGGAATTGGATTGGACTATCCTAGCACTACATCGATTACGGTCTCATGGGTCTGTAGTAGTAGTAGCAAACTCTGTCTCATGGAAGACAATTCATGCGCTTGAACATGCTCATTGTATCATGAGGCGACTTCTCTCTTGTTTGCAGTGTCTGGAATGCTTCAATGCCAGAAAATAATTGAAAGCGGCCGAAGCGAAGAGGACTCAACGACAAAGCATCAACAGGTGATGGCTGCGAGGTCATTGATACAGCGAACGCAGCCTGTGGACAGAGTCTCTTGAAGATATTCGTCTCCAAGTATTCATGGCAGTATTCTTCCTTTCAGATGCAATTATTGGAATGGATAAATGTTCGAAAAGAGAAGGCTTCGACATGCACAACAAGGAAAGCACCGATTACGGATGAGGAGGGACTGTGGGAATATGGGAAGTGAGAACAGAGCCCGTTTGAATCCTGTAAGTTGTCGGATGATGTACTTGGATTTGAGAAACAGCTGTTGCAGTTCTGTGTAAGATATCGGCATGATTTAGCTATACAGCTAAGAGGAAAGTACTAGCGGGATAAGCCATGGTATCTGCTGCAAGGATATCAATGGCAATGGGGGGAGCTACACATGCAGATATCTCAATGGTGTCTTATCTATCAATCGGTTCGTATTGTCTATTCTCCAGTTCCATCTAATCGGAGCTATCAGAGAAGAGGCAATCAAGCAAGTCCCTAAATATCCTCAAAGAACGCCATTCTACACTCATACACCATATCTTGCAAAGCAGATTCCCCAAAGCCATTTCTATATGAAGTCGCTCGTACCATCGCTCCGTAGCATACTATGCTCGCTCTCAAAAGTCTCAACATGGTACATAAAACACGCGCACAAAGCAGAAATTGGAAGAATGGCAAACAACGACGTTGAAGAAACAAAGTCAAATTATGTGCCAGAAACAGTGGTGCGCAGTCTTCTGATGCATTAAATTTGAACAACTCGACTGATTTCATCAACCGTATGGATTACAAAGGATAATATTCTCCAACCTTAATCCAGTCGGATTCTGAGGAGCACGTCCCTTCTATCTATTCAGCATTCCTCAGGAGGAGCTCATGAGCTGCCAAGAGAGTTCTTCGCCGCTGCAAGGTAGCTCTTTGGGTCATATTCTGGGGCATATGTTGGAGCTAAACCGCCGAGGAGGACGAATAGTGTGGTGATGAATAGACCGAAGATGACCAATTTGCGGAGGATGGGCTTGTTGGCTCCGAACTCAGCCCATCTGCGAGTACCTTCTGCAATGAATGGTTTCAGCTCCTTCTGTCCCAACTTGTAGTATACCATGCCGCAAAGAGCGATGGTGTATCCGAAAGCTTGTAGCGAGGAGACCTTAGTGCCCCAGATGAGCATGGAAGCGGCGACGAGGAGAATATCCTTGAGGACACCGCAGAGGGTGAGAACGAGGCCTGAGGTCTTGCCAATCTGGAGGACAGAGTTAGAAGAGATAGCAGGTCTGTAGAGTAGAAAGCACTTACCAAGAACACAACAGACATGTTCAAGAAGAATGCGCAGCACGCATTGGCGAGGAAGGTCCAGAGACCCACAGCGTAGATCTCAGTCATTTGGACTTGGGGAACTTCCAAGAAGAGAGCTATCGTGAAATTCATGATGCCACATACTGGGGCAAAATAGTAGAGAGAAACAAGAGGATCCATCTTGAACTCTGCACCATTAAGCAGCCTCTCAACCATGCAAATTCTGACTGCCTCGAATGCGATTCCTCCAACCTGATACAAGAAACCGGTCAAGACGAAATCAATTTCTCCGAAAGAGGCCAAGGCGACACCGATGACGATAAAGGAGACGTTTCCGAGCTTCTTGAGGTCGACTGGGTGGATTTGGAGAACCCATCCAGCAACAAGAACAGCAACTGGGGTGAAAGCCTGCAACGATCTATTAGCAATCATTGCGTGTCAAGTGGTGAATAGATGTGTACCTTGAGCATTTGGATGAAAGAGACGCTCAAGTACAGGTATGTCAAGTTTCCGCAAATCAAGCTCAAACTGAAGAATACTCCAATAGGGACAATAGCTCGGAGGTATACTCGTCCAGTCATCTTAACCGTTTTCCGTCCATCCAAGAGGGTTGTGGTGCGAGCCATGATCTGAGTCATGACGGTTGCGAAGATCAGATGCCATGATGTAAGGAGAATTGGGTACTCTGTGGAAGGATTAGCATAGAGTTTTCGATCATTGACATCCGTTGCGACATACTGAATCCCAAGGTAGATAAAATCCATTTGTTGAATAGGATAACACTGGACGACAAACTGATCCAGACTCTGTGAGGCCAGGGGTTAGCGATTGCCCCCCAAAAAGTTCCGGCGCGGTGCTGGGTATACTGACGCGACATAAACTGCCGGGTGGATGCCGTTTGATGCTGGCGCCTGGGACTTCTCTGCATCTGGATTGACAGTAGGTAGAATAGATGCTGTTGCTGTCCTTGGGGCCTCGCCCGATACGCGAACCTTCTCTTCGCTCATGGTGGCTTTTGGTGTTGTAGAAACCTTTTCTGCGATAGGAAACGAGACCTCGAGTTTCGTCAGGGGTCCGTGTCAATTCGAGTGGTGAGGGTAACGACCGAAAAACAACTTGGACGGGTTGCGTGTATCGCCGACCTCTTTGTAGGACCGGGGAGTGGAGGAAGAGGGAGGGAGAGAGGGAGAGGGGGTTGCGATGAAAGGACAAAGACAACAAAGGGAGCAGAGCGTTGAAAAAGTTGAGTTGCCATCCAGGAGTTTAAGGGCGGCAGGGCCACAAGGCCACAGGGCCCGCAGCCCAGCCAGCCCAGCCAAGCCCACGGGCACGCTGACGAATCGGGCTAGTCATGTCATAAGCGGGCTTTGGCCTGAGGCCGGACTACATTTCGGTTCCGTTCCAACCCTTGATAGATTCCTTGCTTGCGCCCCTGAAATAGATATCAACAGCCTCCCCTGACTGTAGATTTACATGTTCAGAGGTGGGTGGGCACTGGGCAGTGGGTAGTTGGGTGTGTGTTCTACCTGCTTAACCCCAGTCCGCAATCTACTGTCTTGCAAGGTCTAGACTGATGAGTATTTAACTGTATTACTGACCTACTCGAGGAGTTGCAGCCCGACAACTGCTTCATTCAATACCTCCCACCAAGAAGGTCAAGCAGCATAGGATCCCATCATCCCCCTAAGACAGCATCTTCAAGCCTTCTAGCTGCAAATCGTGAGCCGAAGGGCTTCAGATATGCGCAGATCTGTTTCATGATCGATTCTTTCTAATTCTGTAAAGGTCAAGAGGCTCGGCGCTGAAGTTCTCCGATACAGACAGGTGGCCCTAATCTGCTCCTCACCATGTTTGCCAAATGCCACCTCAAGAAGAAGTACACCTGTCGACTAATGCTTCGTTCGAATGCTCACAGAAAGTACTTTGTTTCACCTCGTGTCTTTCCAAGGTGAAGAAACACCAAGGGTAGGATAAATATGTTCAGATGATATAAGGAACCCAAAGCTCACCTCTCTCCTATCCACTTCGACGAAACCAGCGAATTATGTAACTAAGTAATCAAATCATGGCTACAGATAGGCTGTACTGGGCAGATGCTCAGGTACACCTGTCCTCCATGTTGAGAAGGAAGGCTGCATCAACATCCAAACGCTCTCGAAGACTTGTACTACTCTTGCATCATGAAGATGAGGGATGAGCTGACGAGGCTGAAATGAATGTCCCGCTTCATTGTCTCACACCCCACTTCGCCTGTGGAACGACTCGAACCTAATCTCATCTGCTGTTCAGTGGTGGGGGTACCACACTTGACTTTCGACCAGAAGCCAATGAAGATTAGAGACGAAGATCAGACAAATGGAAACAGACGGTAACAAGCATCAAGCCTGTATAACTGGTCGATGCAACGACCCTTTGTAACTGCGAAAGGACTTAAAAAGTCATGTTCGAAATCCAAAAGATAGAAAACGCCAAGATCTTCAGCCTTGTTGATACGATGCTTTTTTCAAGCCGCCACAGCGACATCTGAGACATAAGAAAAGGTCAGCATTACGAAGTCGCCCATGGGCGGAACTGTGTAAAAAAGAGAGAGAACGAGGTGCTTCGTTACAAAACACGAGGTCGATTCGCTTCCTTTGACCCTTTCTCTTCTCAGATGTGCCACTCCAGGACTCCAAAATTAACAATAATGCAAGGACCCAGAAATGAGTTTCAGTTTCGGTCGGGCGAGATGAGGGCAGCGACCAATCGATAAGGCCCTCGATACACGTGAAGCCATTCCGAAATTGAAGATAGCGGCGGTAGGAGTTCAGCCGGGGCCCGCGTTGCTCTTTAACTGGTTAGCCTGGGTCCCCTGTCAGATGCAGCCGTTCGATTTGGCCATCTACCCGCCAACCACCACCAAACGGAATCTATACTTTTTTCTGGACCCTGAATACATACCCCTTTCTGCCTCAACCTCCTCCCTTCGTTCTGCACATAGCGCACATTGACTGCACAGATCATATATCTGTAGCCGGTACCTGCAAGACATCCTTCCCGCTGGTCAAGCTTTGCGATAACCAACAACTTCACCCCGCCATCCCATCACGATAACCTCAACATGGCAGATATGTACGTTAAGTCTCTAGCTGCGCCAGCGCGAAGCCAGCAGCTAGCGCATCATGTCTTTGCTAACTTCTCTTCTAGCAATGTCGATGTTCTCGTTATTGGCGCCGGACCAACTGGTCTTGGTGCTGCAAAGCGTCTCAATCAAATTGTATATTGTCCCTACACCGCTAAAATCAGACCAACAATTGACCTTCCTAGGACGGCCCATCATGGATGATCATTGATTCAAACGAGACGCCTGGTGGTCTTGCATCCACAGATGTCACTCCTGAAGGATTTGTGAGTCTGCCAGTATTCAATTGCAAGGTATGCACTGACTTGCCTAGCTCTACGATGTCGGCGGCCATGTCATCTTCTCCCACTACAAATATTTCGACGACTGCATCGACGAGGCATTGCCTAACGAGGACGACTGGTACACTCACCAACGTGTCTCCTATGTGCGGTGTAAGGAACTATGGGTCCCATACCCATTCCAAAACAACATTTCTATGCTGCCAAAGGAGGAGCAAGTCAAATGCGTGGACGGCTTAATTGATGCTGCACTGGCTGCACGTACGGCCACAGATAAGCCGAAGGACTTTGATGAGTGGATTGTTAGAAATATCGGTGTCGGTATCGCCGACCTCTTTATGAGACCATACAATTTCAAAGTCTGGGCTGTTCCCACCACAAAGGTATGCGACAAGGTCTTGCTTTGTGAAGTGATTGTCTGACGGGCGAATTAGATGCAATGCGCATGGCTCGGAGAGCGCGTTGCAGCCCCAGATGTCAAGAGCGTCGTCAAGAACATCATCTTGAACAAGACCGCTGGAAACTGGGGCCCGAATGCTACTTTCAGATTCCCAGCTCGTGATGGTACTGGTGGTATCTGGATCGCGGTCGCCAACACTTTGCCAAAGGAGAAGACACTTTTCGGCAAGCAAGGAGAAGTTTCTAAGGTCAATGCTGATGCGCACACTGTTACTTTGGCCAACGGCAAGACAATCGGTTATAAGAAATTGATCACAACAATGGCCGTGGACCAACTTGTTGAGCAGATGGAGGATAAAGAACTTGTTTCCCTGAGCAAGGGTCTCTTCTACTCGTCTACTCACGTTATCGGTGTTGGACTTCGTGGAGCTCGTCCTGAGAGAATTGGCGACAAGTGCTGGGTAAGTCCATACTTTCGACAACCTGACTGCCCAAGTGCTAATAGAGACACAGCTTTACTTCCCCGAAGATGACTGCCCATTCTACAGAGCCACCATCTTCTCCAATTACTCTCCATACAACCAGCCAGAAGACTCGGTCAAGTTGCCAACGCAGTACCTCGCCAACGGAAGCAAACCTAAATCTAGCGAGCCACAAGAAGGCCCATACTGGTCTATCATGTTGGAAGTATCCGAGTCCTCCATGAAGCCAGTCAACCACGATACTCTTCTCAAGGAGACGATTCAAGGGCTCATCAATACTGAGATGATCAAGCCCGAGGATGAGATCGTTTCTACTTACCACCGCCGCTTTGACCATGGTTACCCAACTCCCTCGCTTGAGCGTGAGGGTGTTCTCAAGGAACTTCTCCCAAAGCTACAAGCCAAAGATATCTACTCTCGTGGACGCTTTGGAAGCTGGAAGTACGAGGTTGGTAACCAAGATCAGAGTTTTATGCTAGGAGCTGAGGCTGCTGGTCATATTGTATATGGAGCGGTGGAGTTGACGCTCAACTACCCAGATCTCGTCAATGGCCGCAAGAATGATGAACTCAGACTTGGCACACTCATGAAGGGAACTGCTGGAACTACTAAGAGCAATGGTACAAAGGAGATTCCTACCAGAGAGAGGGCATCTTCTAAGGTTCAGACAAGTTCCCATGCCAGGAAGTCGTCCAAGAGCGTCAAGTAGGTACTTTAATTGGCGCCTCGCGTAGATAGCGTGTGATTTTGCTAGACGAGCGAAAATGATGGTTGCTATAGATTGCTACCTAGAGACAACACTTTTATTCTTTTCTCTATATTGCTGGTGTGATAGCTTATGCTTTTGCGGTCTCTTTCCTTTCACTACCAGTTCAAGCAACTTGGTGCTCCTAATCGGCGGCACCGATTTGCGCTTGTTTGAGGAGGCTTGTTTGGGGAGGGAGGTGGGTGGTGGGGTGGTGCTTTCTTCCAAAGTGGAAGGAACGACCGTCGACCACCCAATGTAGCCATAAATTTCCCACCAACTTGTCTTTTCCTCTTCTCTTCCTCCTTTCAACCTTATCCATTCATCATCTACGCCATCTCAACTCGTATATTCAACACGAGATTATTGTAATTCTACTTTACCACCATATCCGTCTTTTAGCAATGGAGGGTTCCTCACGTCCCCGTCGTCAGGTAAGTCGCCTGGAAGAAGGAGATCCCCGTTGAAGTTGCCTCCACCAACCACTGCCACAGTTGACTGGTCGGGACTACCGTGTCCCTGAGGAAGAGCCTTTGGAGTGGGAGGAGGAAGATTCGGACGACGTCCGAAGTGTAAGTCATCCATTGCCTGCTGGCTCATCCATTTCATGATGCGCTGCCACTGACCTATACCTATCTTGACAGGGTGGTGAACCTGAACGAGCCTTCCCTGGTTTCGGAGACTACGACGACAATGATTTGGAGAGCCTCAGCGACTCAGATACTCCCAGCAATGATAGTGAGGATGATGATGAAGAAACCGGAAAGGGCACCAACGACCAGAGTTTCCTTGCGAGCATCCATGACAAATTGACCAGATGGGTACGTTCAATCTTGTGCCATGCCATAGTCCTTACTGATCAATTGGCAGGGTGCGTTCAAGAAAGACTGGATCGGTATGACCGATTTGGAGCGATACCTCCGAGCTGAGCCGCAGAAAGGAATCAAGCATCTCAAACGTCTTGTGGGAAGTCTGCGCCAAGGTGCATCTATTGAAGATTTCGAGAAGCAGATTCCCCCTGCTGAAATCACAAACTTTTACTGGTCGGCGAAGAACGATCTAGAGCGTCTCAAGGGACAGAAAGTCATGCTCGTCATTGGATTCTGCCCTCAGTATGAGATCACTCTTGATGGCAATGCTGCAGAGGTAAGAGAATCGACACTGCCGATTCGTACTGGTCTGGACTTGTCTAACCTTCTTAGATTGCGCCTGGAGAATCTGAGTGCCTTACTCAGCTCATTGTATCTTGGCTGGCCCGTCAATCTGATGGACTGCTACTTGCATGGGACTTCAGACATGACTGCAGAAAGAAGAACAAGCCTGTCCATGGAGGAACAGCATATGCTAAGTGCGCACCCATCGACAAGCTCAAGACGGAGACCGAGCAGCTGAACTACCTTTCATACATTCTTCTACTTGTCGCTGAGAAGCTGTACTCTATTGATATCCAAGGCACAATCTCGTTCTCGGCATGCACCAGTACAGTCACATATTCATGCCACATATAGCTGTCACTAACTCATTTACAGACCAGTTTGTGAGAGTGCTTGATGTCCCTCACATCACACTCCCAGAACATATTTCTCGAATCCGCAAGAACCCAATGCTGGCGGTCAACCTTGTCAGAGGTATGCGTAATAGCGGACTCTATGGAGATCAGCAGGAGGAAGAACTCTACAAGAGTCTGTCGAAGTTCCTATCCTTGGGTGAGTTGTCCAATTTGATAGTATCTAACTTACAGAATGCTGAGTACTCCCTCAGGACCCGGAAGAGAATCTGGCAGGCGGTTGGTCAATTTGCCACCACTTGACCAACTTGGACAGAAATCGGCAGCCCCGATTTCCTTCGAGGAGCTCATGTCATTGGTAACCACAGAGCGCAAGGAGTATGGTCGCACTGCCTCAATCAAGTCTCGCCGCAAGACCAAAGAGCGCGAGGCAAATGACCCGGTCTACGCAGAAAAGAGAAAGAAGGCTGTGAAGGGATATAAGGACAAGGAATATGGCAAAGTCAAGAAGATGCGAGTCGAGGATCCAAAAGCTTATAGGATTCTCCGCGATAAAATGAGCGAAAACCAGCGCAACTGGCGTGCCAAAAAGCCCGGCTACTCAGCCGCCAACAACAATAAAGTCGCGCAGAAGAGGCTCGATGACCCAGAGTTCGATCAGATGTTCAGGGAGCGAAAGAAGCGCATTGATAAAAAGTGCAAAGACAAAATAAGAGCCAAGAAGGCCGATGCAGCTGGAGCCGCAAACGTTATTGATATCGAGGCCAACAAGGCTGGTGTCGCCCATGCTCTCGCTAACGGATCTCCAAAGTCACCAAAGGAACTCCCCACACGAGAGCGCGCAGCTTCCAAGACACAGTCAAGCTCGCACACCCGTAAATCATCGAAGAGCGTCAAGTAGAGACAGAGAGGATATATTTGCATTGATGTTCCTGCTTACTAGATAAAAGCCTGACGATTGAACGATTTGTTGTGGTGTGTGTCCAATTTCCCACAGCTGAGCAAGCAAGTTTCATGGGAGATGGTTAGTATTTGATCGCCGAGGCTGATACGCCCCAGAGATACTGGGGGTAATAGAGGCAGCTTTGCAGGTGTTAGGTTTTTTGTCAAGGATCCACACAACGGGTTGCATGATTGGTCCTTGTAACTGAGATTCAGATTCTATCGACCACGGAATTAGAGAGGTAGAAAGCAAAAGGTTTTCACACACAAGTCTCAAGTCCCATTTCGCTTGTCCAGGTTGATTGCAGTGTTGGGGTGCATTGGGATTTCGATACTTGAAAGTTCTCACTTCGAGTCCTGAGCGTATTTTGGACAATCGGTTACGGGGTCAATTCAAAAGTAGGGACGATTACTAGCTAATCATTTCAGGAAAGTGTCTCTCCCACCGTGGGGGCAAACGTGCTTCGCTTTTAAGAATGCTAGGCGTGATATTCACATGTTTTCTTTCTTTCTTTTGGGATTTTTCCCGACCTCAAGCCGGCCATCTCATCCTGTCGACATCGCCTACCAACTGACGTGTCTTTGTGCCACGCAATCTATGGAGTCAGAGATCAAGACGAATTGATTTTCCAAAGGCTGATGCAGGCGAGTATCTTGTTAAGTAGTAAGATTTTGCTGCTTTCACGCGGTTTAAGATATTCCCTGACTCAGTAGGTAAATGTTCGGCGCTCAGTGGCCCAACACTTGCCTTTGGTTGAGGTGCCAGTTGCCACCACCAAGCAGAAGAATTTTATCTCGGCGCAAACTGGGATGTTTTCTTGCTGCTGCTGTTCGTTGCCTAAAATATATCGTGAAGGATACTTACTTGGAGGATCTGCAAACATTGCTTGCCATCTTGCTCTCGCAAGGTCTTGCCCTGGTCCAGTATGGTCAGGTGTGTGGCTGAAAAGTTTAACCGACCAAGGCGTGATGATGACAGAGGTTAGAGGTTAGGTACCTAAGGCAGCGGCGTCAACAAGACAGGTCTGACTCGGACTTTCAGAAAGAGAGAAGGAAGCTTGAAGGGAGGCAGACTTTGTGCATACCTTATGAGATGAGAATGGGATTTTAACGTAAGATTACAATTGCATGCTTAATGAAGATGCTGTTTATGTTTATGCTACCTAGACACCAGACACGAGACACGTCTCGAGCTCAAAGCAGACGGTTTCTCCGTGCAGGCTGGCCCTATCAGCCCCTGTCGCGAAGGCGACGTCATGGCCCCAGTGTGGCTCGAGTGAGGATCATACTGTATGAAATCGCCCCGACAGATCAGCCTATCAAACTCCCGCCCCAAAGCTACCTACGGAGCAAGGTAACCAGAACCAGACTTTACCTTACTCAGTCCAGACAGGCCAGGACAGGCCAGCGCGAAAACATCCAGACCTCCGCCCTGCGAAGTGTATCGACTCTCGAGTACCTACCAGACAGTAAACACAACATCTCGTGCAGCCCCCTGCTCCCGTCTGTCCTCGAGCCATGAACGCGAAAGAAATGTACTGAGAGCGCCAAAGGCATGATGGATGGAACAGTTGCGACGGGTGACGAGCAGTTAGACCCCCCTCTTCGTCTCTACGAGCGATTGCGACAGGTCGCCGGCTACACTTGGGATGAATCAAAAGACCCCTTCCACTCGAGTTACGACAACTGGTGAGCTCAAAACTGTATTTGCGCTGGCGGGGAAAGCATGCTAACTCAGGGGGTAGGCAAGTCTTTGGCTGGAAAGATGTCGTCCACAGGTCCTACAATAAACCTACGATCTCGCGACCAGACTCCGAAACCAACTCCCCGGCACAGGATACCCAGAGCTCAGGCGGATATCGGAATGCCGCCAGCGAGAGTGGCAGTGAGTCAGCCGCTTCTCACGATGACCTGCCGGAAGCAGCCCGAATCCAGGTTATTGCACGAGTGTCAACACATGCGTTGCGGGAGGAGCGGGCGTATCATATATGCAAGAACTTGATCAAGAAGGTTGATCCGGAGGGTGACCATATCATACGACCTCTGGATATTGTGCGTCTGGCGAGCCAACAAGGAGATAAAGGACCGATCGTCGTCTGCATCTTCGAGAATCCGGGCCCCAATTACCTACACGGTGTTATTGACTATGGAGCGGCATGGTACCGAGGTCGCAAAGTTGGGGACAAGCATGAGGCTTTCAGGGACGAGTTCGAACCTACGGAGATAGTTTCACTGGAAATGTTCCTGGATTTTGCGGTTGCGGCGACGGAGTGCTTAGAGATATTACATCACGGCCAGAGGATAGTGCATGGAGAAATCAGAGGAGATGCATTCCATATGAATCCAGAGACCGGAAAGGTCAGGTTAGTCAATTTTGGTTCTGGACTGAGAACTTTCGAGCATGGGCTCACTTCCACTGGATGGTCCACTCTCTCGAAGGAAGTTGGCGCCAAAACAAAGCTCTGCTACATGAGTCCGGAGCAGACCGGTCGCATGCCTGCAGAGCCTGATAGCAGGACGGATATATACTCGCTCGGAATCATGTTCTGGACTATGCTTACTCAACAGCCTGCGTTTGATGGAGAAACGCCGATGGACATCATTCAAGCAGTCCTTGGCCGACGCCTGCCCACTGTGTCCAGTATCCGACTCGATATACCTGATGTGATCGGGAGAATCATCCAGAAAATGACGGCGAAAATAATCGGGGAGCGATATCATTCTGTCAGCGGACTAAGATATGATCTGATGGAAGTGCGGAATCTGCTAGGCGCCGGAGATTCTAACGCCCTTAAGAACTGGGCTATTGCTACAAAGGATGTTTCCTCGTTCTTCATCCTACCTACGGTCATGATCGGTCGAAGCGAGGAGCATGATCAAGTTGTCAAGATCATCGACAAGGTTTCAAGGCGGCATGAGATGAGTCAGAGACAGGATGTATACAGCTTGTCATCTGGGTCAAGTTTGTCTGAAGGCCGTCTCGAAGTTTTTGAGGCGGCTATTGGAGCGGAAGCTGATGTTCTATTGTCAAGTGATGAAAATACCAGTTCTTACGAAGGGCGGTCGAATTCACTCGGAAACATCGCTTCCTCGCAATCTGCAGAGAACAAATCTCTCAAGAGTGGCTCCGGCCAATTACGGTCTGTAACAGGGTCTCAGCACAACTCCTATGATGGCCACAATATCTCATCGCATAGTAATCAGCCCCGCCCTTGGGAAAAGAACAACTCTCTTTCTCTTCAATCCATGGACAGCGGAAGCATCGCCGGATCAATGTCAGAAGCAGGTGGTCACAGTAGAAGTTCAGAGGGAGCCGGAAGCTTGACAAGTAAACGGAATAGCCAGAAATTCAAACGAAAGGGGCGGTGTGAAGTTATTGGTATCGCTGGAGCTGCTGGTCTGGGAAAGAGCTGCTTGGTACAATCAGTGCAAATCGAGGCTCGTCGAAGAGGCTACTTTGCCAGCTCCAAGTTTGATCAAGCTAAGAAGACGCCATTTGGGCCTGTTCTAAAACTACTGTCAAGTTTGTTCAAGCAGGTTTTCTCAGAAAGCAACACTGATACAGCCTTCCATCAAGGCCTCAAAGCATACGTCAAACCTGCCTGGCCCATGCTTCACAGGGTTCTTGGCCTTCCGGAATTCCTTCTGGGTTCGATGAGTGGCCCCAACCGTAAACACGGCAGCCAATTATCCCAGAGCTACAACAAAAGTCTGCGAGCAGAAATGCGGCGAGATTCTTCCCCATCTTCAAGTTCTCAGGGCAGCCTGTACAATGTATCTCTCGGCTCACAGAACTCCCAAGAATTCCTGCGAGCCGGATCATCAACAAAATCCGTGCGGTTGATGAATACCTTCCTTGACGTTCTCCGTGTCTTTACTCAGCACAAATTCATATGTTTCTGCTTGGACGATCTCCAATTTGCGGATGATGAGTCGATTGATCTCATTGGACAGATTGTTTCTTCTAGAATGAAGATGGTCATCATTGTTACCTATAGACCGGACGAGGTACTTCCAGAACGGATCAAGGGGATCCTGCAACCCCCTAATACAGAGGGTATCAGTTTGAGCCCCCCTAGTCTCTCAGCACTTGGCCATGCTAACATTTCGCTAGAATATATAAAGGGCGGTGGCGTAGGCGTTACTAGAATTATGCTCAAGCCACTCAATGAGGATGACATCAAGAGCTACGTCGCTGCAACTCTCTGTCGATCAGAGTCCTACATCGTACCACTGGCAGCTGTCATCCAAAGCAAGACCGCTGGCAATCCATTTTACATGCGAGAGATGCTGGACAGTTGCCATCGAAAACAATGCATATACTACGACTACAAGGAAAGCGGCTGGTGCTACGATTTAGATAAGATCTTCCACCAGTTCGAGACGAAGAGCTACCACGACACGTTAGACACTGCATTTGTCACTAGCCGCTTGCACGAACTACCGCCTGCTTCAAGGTCGATCCTTTCCTGGGCTTCCTTGATAGGACATTCCTTCTCTTTTGAGCTCGTTCAGAGGTTATTGAGTGGCGAATTCAACTATGACGAGTCGGATCCTGATGCGGATATGACCTGTCCTCCGTTGGCCTCCTATTCAGCGCAAGATGCGATTGAAGGACTTCAAGCTGCTATCCAGGCGTATATCATCGTATCTACGCAGGATGATGATCGATTTCGCTTCGCACATGACCGGTACATGCAAGCAGCGACTGCACTTGGAGACTGCAACACCCCCAAAATGCACTTCATCATTGCCAGAACTCTTCTTAAGTATAGTCCTACCTTGGAGCGAGCACAATCCGACATTTCTGAACACATCGGCGCATCAATAGACATCATAAGAAGAAGAGTTCTGCACCGGCAATCATTCAGAACACTTCTCGCCGACTGTGCACAGTCTGCTGCTGAGCGTGGAGCACGACCGACAGCTGCAAGATACTACAAGCACTGTTTTGCTCTCTTGCAGGATGACCCCTGGACCGATAACCTGCCGGATGTTTACTATGATGAATCTCTCCAATTACACATACGAGCTGCTGAAACGTACTTGTATATGGGCCAGTACCCCGAAGCCAAACGCATATTGGCCAATGTTTTCAGTTATGCCAAGACGCCCGTTGACAAATCGCCAGCTTGGGTCCTGCAGTCTAGGATTTACGCTCAGGAAGGTGATTCTCCCGCTGCTTTCCGAGCTCTAAAGCAGTGTCTGGAAGCGCTTGATATTGCAGTGGATGATGAGCCCAGTTATGAGAAGTGCGATATGGAGTTCGAGCGGCTTTCGCTCAAGATCCAATCTATGCAAGTGGACGATGTGGTCAACAGGTCCATGACAAAAGACTCGAATTTTGCAGCCGTTGGAGCAGTGTTGGTAGAGACGATCTCAGCTGCTTACTGGTATGTGCTGTTGTTTGCACGTGTTAGCTATCTACTAACTTCACCAGGACTGATACCTTGACGTTCTACCAAATGGCATTAGTCATGGTGAATACACAGCTGAACTTGGGAAGTTTCCCACAAGCAGGAATGGCCTACATACACCTCGCGATGATAGCAATTATCCGATTTAACATGATCAAGTTTGCTAGCGACATGGGAAACATTGCACTTGCTCTCTTATCCCGGTGGAGCGATCCTTATACCAATGGCCGCGGCGGGACCATTTACTCGCTCTTCGTCGGGCATCTCCAAGAGAGTCTACAAAGCTCTCTGAGACAGCTTGACGGGGCTCTCGAGTATGTGATTCAAGTTGGAGATCGTGGGTCTACGATTCTCAATTTTGGATTGGTTGGGATGCTCAAGTTCTTTGCTTCGGAGAATCTGACTGAGTTGGAGTCGTTTCTGCATTATGGTTGTGAGGAGGTCCCGAACTGGACTTTCGATACCCGGGGAGGGACTATGGCTAGTAAGTAACACCCATATTCCCCACATCTATATGCGAAATGGACTTCTTGTCTTCCTGAGCGTAGGATCGTCATAGTACTATTGAAGCCATTCTAGAAAGTTTTGCTGACTCTGTACTACTAGTTGCTGTTCGACAAACGTGTCGAGCTTTACAAGGCAAGACTGTCACAAGTGATCCCCACGAAATCATGAGCGACGAGCAGCACAATTCATTATACTACAAATCCTGGCTACGGAGCACAGTGAGCAGCAGCGACCGACCCTTGCTATTCTACGAGGGATTCGAAATTGTACCTCTATGTCTTTATGGGCACTTCGCCAAGGCTATAGAGCTTGGAGACACTTGCTTAGAAAGCATGAGCTCGGTGTGGTCTGCCCGAAATACTCGATTCATCTACTTCATCCACGGACTGTCTTACGCGGGTCTAATGTGGACCAGACTCCGGAATCCCTCGCGCGCTGTTGGGCAAGATACAAATGGGCAAGCCCGATTCGACCAGCCGCCAAGTGAAAGCGATCTAGCAGCTGATGTAGCGGCTTGCCTGCAGCAGATTAAGAGAGACAAGAAGATGATCGAGGATTGGCAGACCGTCAATAATATCAACTACCTTTCCTGGTCGAAATTGCTGGATGCTCAAATCGCTGAAATGGAAGGGAATCATGGCACAGCTTTGAGTGACTACGAGGAGTCCTTGGACCATGCGGCAGCGAATGATTTCCTCTTCGAAGAAGCTCTCGGCAACTACCTTCAAGCCGGGTTTTTCCTCCGAACTGGCTCACGCAGAGCAGCCAAGTCATCATTACGCGAAGCAACGACTCTCTACCGAACATTTGGTGCTGTCGGTGTTGCGAAACATATCGAGGATCAACACAGTCTTCTACTCCAAGGCCCAACGCGGAACGAGAGGACTGTAGATGCTTCGGCTCAGACTGACTTTGCGGGAGACCAGGCAGATGTACAATACACCACTCTGGAAGGAGATGATGACGATATCCGGCAACAAACACGAGCATCAGTCACCGAGACCAAAGGCGACAGAATTGGAGCTTGGCAAGGAGGCTCAGCCCGACCGGACGCAGGGTCAGGTCTTCCGGCACTCGACATGCTAGATCTCACTTCAATTCTCGAGAGCTCCCAAGTCATTTCTAGTGTATTACAAGTCGATCAGCTTCTCAAGACCATGTGTGAGATCATTCTACAGAACTGTGGAGGTCTTGCAACTATGGCAGCGATTGTCGTCGAGGAAGATGATCCCGTCGGCTGGAGTATTGCTGCTAGCGGCGATCCTGAGAAAGGGGCCGTTGCTCATATTCCTGGACTTCCATTGACCGAAACGGCTCTTGTCGCTGAAGGCGTTATCTTGTATTGCACACGATTCCGGGAAACCGTTTTCTTGCCCGATCTCATTCACGATGAGAGGTTCAGCAACGTCACTGAGGCGTGGGCAGCTAGAAATCCGGTGGGCAAGTCTGTGATTGCCATTCCAATTTGCCATGGAGTCAAGCCTTTGTTGGGAGTCTTGTACTTGGAAGGAGAACCGAATGCCTTTACGGACCGCAATTTGACCGTTCTGCAGCTCCTTGTCAACCAGATCGGCATAAGCTACTCCAATGCGTTGACCTTGAAGGAGGTCGAGAAGGTATCTGCGTTCAATAACTCTATGGTTGATGTGCAGAAGAAAGCCCTTGCAAAGGCACTGGAGGCTGAGAAGCAAGCCAATGCTGCAAAAGCCGAAGCACTCCGAAATGTCAAGCTCGCTGAAGAAGCAGCCAAGGCAAAGTCTATCTTCCTGGCGAATGTATCCCATGAGCTTAGAACGCCGCTCAATGGTGTCATCGGCAACTCCGAGCTTCTCAGAGACAGTGAGCTCACCAAAGACCAAGCAGAGATGGCAGATTCAATTCGTGTTTCGGCAGATCTGCTGCTTACTGTGATCAACGACATCCTAGACTTTTCAAAGATGGAGGCAGATAAGATGGAGCTGTATATCGTTGCATTCAAGGCTGATGAGATGATGCGGGAAGTGTTCCGTTCGGTTTCGTACAGCAATCGAGACAAGAAGAATGTCAAGAATGTCGAGATTCTGCAGGATATCAGCCTCCCCAAATGCCTCATATTCGGGGATCCAGTGAGGCTTCACCAAGTTTTGGGCAACCTGGTTTCGAACAGTCTCAAGTTTACCGAAAATGGGTCCATCACGATCGGAGCCAAGACTGATCTTGAGACGTTCGATGAGGTTAGACTGACTTTTTGGGTCAAGGATACCGGAATAGGAATCCCTCCTCAACAGCTGGTGAAGTTGTTCAAGCCATTCAGTCAAGCCGATGCCAGTACAGCTCGGAAATACGGCGGAAGTGGTCTCGGCCTCAGCATCTGTAAGTCTCTCATCGAATCTATGATGGGCGGTAAAATCGAGCTTGAAAGTATCGAAGGCCAAGGAACACTTGCATGGTTCACGGTAACCTTCCCCAAGGCAAAAGAAGCATCGGCAGGGGACTGCCAGAATGGCATAGATCAACACGATCACCTGTCGTCGCGGAATAACGATTCAAATGGCTCTCCAACACCGTACACGCATTTCTCTGATGTTGAACGCGAACAGCTACGTATATGCATAGCAGAGGATAATCCTGTCAATCAGAAGATTGCGGTTCAGTTCATGCATAAGCTGGGATTCAAGCATGTCGATGCTTACGATAACGGGCTTCAAGCGGTTGAAGGACTACGTGCCAAGGCGAAAGAAGGTACACCTTATCATATCACTCTCATGGACGTCCAGATGCCTGTACTCGACGGCTACGAAGCTACCAAACTTTTGAGAAAGGATCCGATTGATGCGGTTCGGGGAGTCTTGGTAATTGCTATGACTGCCTCCGCCATTCAGGGTGACAGGGAGAAATGCTTGGAGTCAGGAATGAACGACTACCTCGCCAAACCCGTGCGATCGAATGTTCTGAAGAAGAAGCTGGATCAATACATTCTTCAGGTATATTCAGCCCCTTGCCAAAATGGTTCTACAGCTGCTAACCTTCCCTAGCCTCCGGTCCCTGCACTTAATCTTGACTCAGAAGCGAAGAAGATTACCAACAAAGTCCTCCGGGAAATGAATGGCTCAAGTACTCCCACCTCCCCGGATACCTCTGGATCTGCCACTCCCGTCACAGCCTCAACATCACCCCTTCCCGAACGAGTCGAGCCGTCCCCAGAACGCGCCTTACCACCTCCTCTCCGCGAGCGCCAACCCCCTGCCAGACTACGGCAACTAAGTCGCACCCGCACAGCGGAGAAGGTACCCACTCTAGGATCCGGAAACATCGATGGTACGCTTGATAAACTCGACACTGCTTCAGCATCATCATCCAAATCGCATCCGCATGACGAAGAACTCTCGCCAAAGAGCATACCGAGAAAACCTATTGGCGGGAAAGAAGATAAAGCGAAGGGCAGAGAAAAAGACCGGGATAGAAAAGCAAAAGCAGATGGTGAGGCTTTAGTTGTGGGCCAGCCGCCGACACCAGCTGACAAGGAGGAGAAGAGGGGGACTTCACCTGGGGTGGCGAGGAAACCTGTCGGTGGTGGGGTAGTGAGTGATAAGGATAAGAGTGGTGGGAAGAAGGGCAGATGAGAAAGAATTGTGCGATGAAACCTAAGCTCTTGGATCGGGAATAAGGATCCACCGGATGGCAGTGGGATAGGAGGCAGGACGGCTGAGATATGAACGACGTTTGCTGTCTTGCTTACTACATATACTCTGTTCGGGGAATCTTGGTTGCGATGGAAATAAGAGAGAAGAGAAGAGAACTTCCTGCTCAGCTACGAATTCTGCTTTCTCATTAGCGTGGGCGTTTGGGTGGGCTGTATTTGCTTGGTTGGTTTGATGATGGTTTGGTCTAATGAATCCTGGTTACGATGCTGTATACGGCTGCGCGTACGCTTGCATGCTTGCATACACGGAATTCTTCTATGGATATAGGTGGGGACGATGGACTTGATTGATACCAGGTTATGATATGTATATTTCAGGCTAGGGAAATGGGATGGAGATTTTGCGAGATCTGGTGGTGGGGAAAGGAAGGAGGTGAATCATATGTGTATAGATGATGGTAGAGCTATTGGTGATATCAATGATACTGTTTATTCAAGATGCAATGATATTCCTACCGCTCCAGCTACCTTCTTCTCCCGTCCAATTGGTTGACCTGAAATAGCTGCCAAGACTGAATACGATGTGCGGCTGAGAGAAGAATTCCTGAACCTCCGAACCCATCAACACGCAGTACTCACGGGTTTAATTAATCAAGCGCTGTTGGAAGAACAGTATTACACAACTTTTGAACAATTTATTTCTCGCCGAATCAATGCTTTGATGGCGGCTGCCTCTTTAAATCCGAAGTTCCTACAAAGACATTCAGCTCCATTCAACCAGGAGTCTTCATCTCTAACTGTTGATGTTAGCAATGAGGATGGTATCCAGCACTTCTAAAGTACCTCTACATCGCTGGACTCGCCTCAAAGCATTCTTATCCACCAAAGTCAACACCATCAAATTCACCCCTCACTCATCTACTCCATCTCCATACATTCTCAAACTTCCCCTCGAGATCCGCCGCCTGATTTACACTCACCTATCAGGCTCACACCCTTTCTCCAAACCATGTAGTAATCCACTCACCGTCTTACTACACTTAAACCGACAACTCCGTTACGAAGTCTCGGCGTTCTTCTTCAGCTTCCAATCCCCCGGCTCATCACAACACAATCACCCCCTAATACCAGCATTCGCATTTCTCAACACCACGAGAGCACTCACATTCTTCCACCTCACAAAATCACACCTCCATCTTCTGAAAAGCTTAACAGTAAGTGTGGCTTTCGATAACACGTTTGCGCTGGAAGGTCTCTGGCGGTTTTTGGTGGAGAGGGGTGTTCGGTTGAGGAGGTTGGAGATCAGGTTGGGTAGCGTGGAGAGTTTTGCGAGAGGCCCACCGGAGGAAACGCTGATACCAAGACATGTTGCGTTGGATGTTTTGGCCAAAGCAAGAGAGAAGATGAGGGAGCTAGAGGTGTGGTTTGATCGGGAGGTTGGAGGTAGTGGTGTTGGTGGTTTGGACTTCTATGGAGAAGTTGGTGAAAATGAAAGTGTCAGAGGGGTTAGAGAGGCTAGTAACGTTGGTGCTAGCTTTGATGGAGATTTTGGGGATTTTACATCATTTCTTGATAGAATGACGACTTTGAGGAGTTTGAAAGTGGTGAAGAGGCCATTAGACGGTTCGCCTTGGGCGATGGAGTTTGAGATTGCGGTTATAAGGTTAGTTGAGATGAGTTGTTCATATGGTTCCTTCCCTTGTTGATTTTTGATTGTCACCGAACCTTTTTGGAGACTGATGTGTGTTGCGATAGGGTATGGATGAGGATGTTCGAGGTGGCAGCTGGAGAGGGAAAGTGCGTAAGAAGGAAGAATCTGGAGGGGTACATGGAGAGCTATTGGTGGGGCAATGAGGTATCTGTCGACTTTGAAGAGAGATATTAGTTATGATTGATAATAAATAGCAAATTTTTGGATCAAGTCTGGTTTTCTTGCATATGTTCGATTGTTTGGGGGTTGTTTTGGTCTCGCTTAGCCCTCCTTTTCGAAAATAAATATTCACAAATATGCTATAGCTGCCTTGGCACACTCCTGCAATATGGTCACCGGACGACAGGGACATCTAGCTTTCCGATGGAAACACCCCTTGGTACCGTACTCTGTTGCAGTTGATACCACCGGCCATGTCAATCCGAGAGGGCTAGAAGCTGTTCAACATTCCAACACGTGAGATATTCTGGAAAGTATGCCTTTTAGCAAGACTGATAAGACAGTACAAAATACTTCATCGCAGTGAGTATAGTAAAAATATACAGTTACAGGTACTAATACGTCGAAAGCATAACCAGTATGAGAGACCTGAAGATGAAGCCAGAAATTCAGAACAATGCAGCGCTTGTGCACATCAATAGCGACGCACGCAATCAACTAAGAAATGGTTTGAAAGTATACGTGTGTTTCCGACTCGAATTTTGGCGAGGAAGGAAGGGTGAAGAGGACATTAACTGGGTCTCGTTCTCGGTCACAGACCAAAGACAAGCGCAGTAGAGGCAGCAAGCACATGGAGTCGCCGCACGGACCATGCGATTTCTGTGGCTCAACGCGAGATCCTCAAAATACTTCAACGCGCGCTGGATAATTTTACCGGAGCTCCAAATCCACAGCCAACGTCACTCAAGAACCCCTCCGAATTGCCATACTCTCTCCTGTTTCCGACGTAATATCAGACTCCTCTCTCCAGGTACCTCGAGCAGACTTCCAAGATGCAGGCTCCAGTGGTGGTTATGAGTACGTTCTTTCCACAAGCTTCTAAAGCTACAAGAGGCCCTCAAAATCCGGTATGCTGTACTGACGGATCCTTGCAGATACCCAGAGTGGTGATAGACAAACTGGAAGAAAAGCCCAGCTCTCAAATATCACGGCTGCCAAAACGTAAGGCAGCCCAGTAGCCCCTCCTCAAACTCGACAACCCAAGAAACCCGCAAAACTGACCTAGAACAGCGTCGCAGATATCATCCGATCATGTTTAGGACCAAAGGCAATGTTGAAGATGTTGTTAGATCCTATGGGAGGTATTGTGTTGACAAATGACGGACATGCCATTCTCCGAGAAATCGAGGTCTCACATCCAGCGGCAAAGAGCATGATCGAGCTCAGCAGAACGCAAGACGAGGAGGTTGGAGATGGAACCACTACTGTTATCATTCTTGGTATGGATACGGCCTTCATGCACGAGTTTTGGCTAATATGTCCCAGCTGGTGAGATTCTTGCCCAAGCTCTGCCACAATTAGAGCGCAACATCCACCCTGTTGTGATCATTTCCGCCTTCAAGCACGCTCTGAAAGACGCCCTCGAAATCATCGACGAGATCTCCCTCCCAGTTGATATCAATGACGACAAAGCCATGTACCAGCTGATTTCCTCCTCAATCGGTACCAAGTTCGTATCTAGGTGGTCAGAGTTGATGTGCAACCTCGCGCTCAAGGCTGTTCGCACAGTCACTTTTGAAGTTGGTGGTGGCAAGAAGGAAGTGGATATCAAGCGTTATGCACGAGTTGAGAAGGTTCCGGGTGGAGAGATTGAAGACAGCAGAGTTTTGGATGGTGTCATGCTCAACAAGGATATTACACATCCCAAGATGAGAAGACGGATAGAGAACCCCAGAATTGTGCTTCTGGACTGCACACTGGAATACAAGAAGGGCGAGTCTCAGACCAATATTGAGATTAGCAAGGAGGAGGACTGGAACAAGATCCTGCAGATTGAGGAGGAGCAGGTGAAGCTCATGTGTGATGCTATTCTTGCAGTCAAGCCTGATCTGGTCATCACCGAGAAGGGAGTTTCTGGTGAGTTTACGTCAATGATCACCTACGCAGAGACCATTTGCTAATTTCCAGACCTTGCCCAACACTATCTTTTGAAGGCCAATGTTACTGCTCTGCGCCGAGTTCGTAAGTCAGATACCAACCGAGTTGCCCGAGCCACTGGCGCAACAATCGTCAACCGAGTCGAGGACCTTCAAGAATCCGACGTCGGAACTTCCTGCGGACTCTTTGAGATCGAAAAGATTGGTGACGAGTACTTTACCTTCCTTACCAAGTGCAAAGACCCCAAAGCTTGCACTATCCTCCTCAGAGGTCCCTCAAAAGACATCTTGAACGAGATTGACAGGAATTTGGCCGATGCTATGGCTGTGGCCCGTAACGTCATGTTCCATCCAAGACTGTCGCCTGGAGGTGGTGCAACCGAGATGGCTGTTGCGGTTCGATTAGGACAGTTAGCCAAGAGCATCGAGGGTGTCCAACAATGGCCATATAAGGCTGTTGCGGAAGCTATGGAAGTCATCCCAAGAACACTCATCCAGAACGCCGGTGCAAGCCCGGTCAGAGTCCTCACTGCCCTGAGAGCCAAGCATGCAGAAGGTGGAAGCACGTGGGGTATCGACGGTGATACTGGAAAGCTTGTTGACATGAAGGAGTACGGTGTCTGGGAGCCGGAAGCAGTCAAGTTGCAAAGTATCAAGACTGCGATCGAGGTATGTTACTTCTCTACTCAGGTTATTATAAAATGCTAATCTATTCTATAGTCTGCGTGCTTGCTTTTGAGAGTAGACGATATCTGCAGTGCAAAAGCAGCCAGACAGGCTGGAGGCGGTGGTGCGCTAGGAACTGGGGAAGAATAGATAGCGTTGTCTTGAAAAGTCAGTGTATTAAAAAGCGACGATAATGTGACGGGCATACCATTGTAACATAGCATAGAGCCAATGTATGTCCGGATTTCATGCCTATACCACCAATTTGTTTCTCATATGCTCCTACGAGAAGCAGTAGGTTTACCATCAAAAAGTCGGACCTCGTGAATATCTAAGTTTGGCTGCCGAAGGATGCCTTCAATCGTCATCATGGATAATGACGCCCTTCTCCTCCTCCACAGCCGTGCCACCCATCTCCTCGTCGCCATTACCCTCTCCGCCCAATCTCTCAGCCCCCTCTCGAATAATGACTCTCGGTTTGACTTTCCCTCCTGTACCGGCACCCTGCTCATTTCCCTCACTGCCTTTATTACCACCCTTCTTCCTCTTCAGCCTCTCTCTTTTCTCCCTGTTCTTCCTCGTCTTCTCCCTATCCCTCTCTTCCCTCTCCTTCTTCTCCCTCTCCCACTGAGCACCCTCTTCTTCCTTCCTAACCTCCTCATCCATCCCCCTCAACCGCTCATACTCCCGCCTCCGACTCGCCTTATACACATGGAACTCTCCGGATCCCGCACCAGCGCTGGAGCCTTGTACATTCTGTACTATTTCTGGGGGCCCGCCGTTGGGATTACTGTGGGAAGTGAGAGATGTTGAGCCTGGGATGCGGATCTCCTGGTCGGGTTTCGAGAAGAGTGTGGTTATGGCGGATGCGGTTTGAGAGCGTGGTGAGAGAGCACGTTTCTTGGTGGGGCGCTTGGATCGTGGGTCCGCGGAGGTTGGAATAGATTCCGGGATCGGTTCTGACATCTTGGGTGGTTTTGGTTGGCGCAGTTCTTTTTGGAGCTCAGATATTGAGGAAGGCAGAGATGAGGCTCGCGATGCCAAGCCTTTCTGATCAGATGCACGTGAACTGATGGTTGGCGTCGACGCTAAAACAGGTGCTGTGCGGAGCATATTCCTTCTCCTTGGTCACTCTTATCTTGGTTAGAAAATAATGGTGTACCTTACTGTAGGCGGGTACCTTAACTTGAAATAAATATTTCACGTGTTATGCATCCATACAACAAACTTCTCACCGTTGATTCTGTCACAGAGTCTTTCCACAGTTTGCCCACTGCGGTGGCTTCACCTCACTAGCACTTGAGAAGGCTTCAACAGAGACCATAAATAAGTGTAAACAAAAGTCCTCCTCTAAGTCAATTGCTGTCGCTAAAACGCTGTTCATCAAGTCATCATAATAAAAAGCCAGGACGCCCAGTTCACGAAGTGTTTCCTCCCTCTCCCCCGTTCCTCATCCACAAAAGCCACTTTTTCTCCAAAAAAAGATATCCCACGGCGAAATTAGATACAAGAACTCAAAAGGAACCTCCTCAATCTACTAACAATAATCGAAAACGAGAATCACCTCAAGCAACCTGTCCTACGTCTTCGTAAAGCACAACTCCCGATTCCGTAGGCTCGCCTTCCTCTGAGTATTCGTCTCCATCCATGCTTCCGGTCCATTCTGTTCCTTCGTCAATACTCTCACTCATTCCGGTTCCTGTGGTTGTCGTGATGACGGTAGTGCCTCTGCTGCTTCTGCGCATGGTTCCACTGTCACTGACATCTCCCTCACTCATCTGCTCATCATCCTCCTCACTCTCCTTCAGCATCAAATTCTCCTTATTGAGATCTCCGTATTTCTGGCTGAGTGATCCACCCCAGCTGGACTTCCTTAACGCTCCTGAGCCTCCTGGTGTCTTGACACTGTGGCTGCGCTTGAATCCACCAGTGGGGACGTTGTGCGTGATTTGGTTGAGAGATAAGATACGTCGCGATGCACCGGCTGGATTACTGATTGGGACACTGACCATGGCACGATTACCACTCATGGCCATACTGACAGCGCTTTGGGTGCTTTGCGAAGCCCTCGAGGTAGCGTTGGAAACGATGGAGCCTGTGGTCGAAGTAGCGTGACTTGGAACTCGCTTGCGACTCATCGCATCACGTCCTTTGTTGGACTTGGAAATGAGGAGAGCCCGAGAATGATCAATAACACCCTCTAGGATACGCCGCTCAAGACCCTCAGCTCGAGCCTCCATAGCGTGAAGCTCCTCTCGTCGGATTCTCAAAGCGGTTTCCATACTTGAGACATCGGCGGATAGGCGCATTTTTCGGTGAGCCAAATCATCCTGTTCAGCTTTTAATATTGCGACGGATTCCTTCAACCGCTCTTCTTCTTCGCGGAGACCCACGACCGTTGCTTCAACATGTTCCTTCTGTGCCAGACGCTTCTCCAAAGCGATAGTCGCAGCTTCCACGGCTTTCTCTTTATCCTCGTGATCGTCAGAGATACGCTGAGTCTGAGCTGAGACGAAGGCGGATACCTCGGCGGCTGTATCCATCACTTGTTTGTGGATCCTGTCAAGCGTGTCCAACTGAGCAAAAGATTTCCCAGCGACATGCATATGATCAACCAATTTGTCGAGTTTTTCATGGACAGGCGTATCATCGTACTTCTCCTGGGGTGGTACTTCGGGCAGAAGTGGCGTTTCCGGGGGTGCAGGTCGTTCAGCAATCTTTTCTTGGATAGTGACAGTGGCGGTCTTGGAGTGCTCGTAGTGTTGGCCCACAATGAGGAGAACGTCTTTGATGGAGTCGAGTATCTTGGGATGATACTCGCCTGCTTGGACCTGAATACCATCAATGGCGCTGAGAGTCTTGTAGACCTGCTCTCGGGTGAGTTGGTGTTCAGCCTTCGCATCAGCGTGTGTTTCCTCAACCCGTGTGAAAGTGTCTTCCACCCTGTTGAATACTGTCTTCGATGCCTCGTCCATCTTTTCAACTGATTCAGTTAGGGTTGGGCCAAGAGTGTCGATCAACAACTTGAGCTCCTCGGCCACTACTTTCGTACTCAGCACTGCTGCCTCACTGGTTGCATTCCTATCATCCCCCAGCTTTGCCTGGGCTTCTGCCGCAAGTTGAGCATCGTCGTACTTAGTCATGAGCTCGTTGAACTTCTCATCAAGTTTCAAGTCGAATTTGTCCCATGTTTGTTGAAACTTCTCATCAGACTCGAGTTTTGAGCCGACTACTCCCGCATTGGATTTCTCAAATTCCGACTTCATCGTCTCGAACATTTCTTGAAAGATCTCATTCTGGCCGATAGCTTCTCCCAGACTCTCGAGCAATTTACCAAGAGCCTCAACGTTTGACGCACTTTCATCCAACTTCTCCTTTAGAGCATCCTTGAACTCCTCCAAGAATGTCTTGACTTCAGATACTCTCTCACCAACTCCGACGGTCTCGGCTTGTCTTTCTTCGAACGCTTTGGCATTATTTCCTTCGTGAAGCTCGATGCGGCCCTTGAACTCCTTGACCAACTCTTCAAGATTCTTCAGGTCTGTTTTTGAGGCCAACGCAGCAATATCAGACGCCACGATCTGCTCGATCGCTGTCTTAACGTCGAGGCACACGGCCTCAACAGCTTCCACATCAGTCTTGGTAACCTTTTCGACATCCTCGGATTCCTTCGCTGCCCTATCTTTCATCTCCTCTAGGCCTCCCAGAACGTCGCGAACGAGACCCTCTATAATGTTGATATCGTCTCGCTTTGTGACATCTTCTAAATGTGTGGCTAGTTCATGAACGCCATCCCGAGTCTCAGTGGCCAATAACTCGACAGCATCGATATGGTCCTTCTTAGCAGCCTGTTCAGGATCCATATCATCAATTACCGCCTTGGTGTTCCGCAGGAGGGTTTCAATGGCTTCCACGTCTTCCTTCTTCACACTATCTTTGTCGATGGATCTTTCCCGTGAAGACAGCCCAGCGACTGATTCCTGCACATTCCGTAGCATCTCTTCGACGGTCTGGAGATCCTCCTTGGACAAATTTCCTGATACTGGCTGAGTTGGGGGAGGTGGCATAGATTCGAGCGCTTCGACCTTGATACGGAGCTGGGTGATCAGAACTTCGAGGTTCTCAATGTCGTTCCTCTTCAAGCTCTCCGCAGTTATCACAGCGCCGCTGTTGATCTCCGCAACAGCATGCTCTCCATGCCCACTCTCTCTCAGCCGATCGATATCGGCGCGAACACCTTCAAGTCCGAGTTTCAGGGTATCCAAAATCTCATAGTTGACTGTCATATCTACTGGCTTGTTGAGATCATTTGCAATCTTTTCGACGTCGCCCCTCAGGCCGGCCAAACCATCATGAAGAGCATCCAGAATCTCGCCCGTCCCAGAGAGAATGCTCTCACCGCTATCTTTCGGGCGCTCAATATCAGCGCGCAAGCCATCGAGGCCTGCCTTCAGAGCATCAAGAATCTCATCCTTATCAGCGCCCGTGCTACCACGGACCAAAGACGTAGACATCGTCTCGCGCAGATTCTCCAACTCACTTTGGACCACACGGAGAGAATCCCCCGGCCCTTGTGAGGAAAGAGCTTCCACTTCCATTCGAAGAGAGTCGAAGCTAGTTCGCATTCTGTCCAATAGCTCATCCTTCTCATTGATGTCTGCCGCTCGATCGACATAGGTCTCGATGTCGCTTCGGAGCTTTTCAAAGCCATCCTTTGTGGCATCCAGGAGTTGTTCTGTGTCTCTTCCATGAGCTGCAACATTCTGCTTTGCTTCATCTGAGACAGCTTTGAATTCCGTTCTCATAGATTCCAAGATCTCATTTAGCTGATCCACGATTTGGTCCGCCAGCTCCACCTGAGGAGTCTCTCCCAAGCCTGCTTTGACTGCATCGAACACGTCGTCCCTTGTCAGTCCTGGACCAAAGTCTCGAGTCAGAGCAGATGAACTTCCGCCAAGATCGAAATTATGAAGACATTCCTTCAGGGCGTTCTGGAGATCATCCTTCGTCAAGCTCTCTCCGTTTTCTCTGCTGATTTTTTCTCCATTCATGGGGAAGTCGAAGGTGTGGAGACCTTCCCTCACAGCATCTAGCATGTCCTCGCGAGTCAACCCTTCGTCATGCCCTCGGTTCGTGTCAAAAGTCTGGACCGGGAAGTTGAATGCATTGAGGACTTCTCGCACTGCGTCGAGAATATCATCTCGGGTTAGTCCGTCATTAACATCTCTATTCAAAGTCATGGCGTTGGTTGGAAATTCGAATGAGTGTAGACCTTGTTTGACAGCTTCCAGCATATCATCTCTTGTAATGCCAGTCTCAATAGGTTCTGGAGCAGGCGCTGAGGGAAATTCAAATTCCTCCAGGCACTCCCTAACAGCATCTAAAATTTCTTCCCGTGAAAGGCTAGCCTCAGTATCGACTCGAGGGGGAGAAAAGTGTTTCATTCCTTCAACAACTGCAGTGAAGACCTCTTCGCGAGTTGCTCCTTCGAAATCGCGTGCGTTGTCCTTTGGAGCATATTCCTGGATACCCTCCTTGAGAACAGTCAAGAGCTCCTCGCGTTCCAAACCAAACTGTTGGAGCTCGATCTCAGGCTTGTAGTTTTCCCATGCTTCCTTGACAGCTTCAATAATGTCTGGCTTTTGAAGCTCCGGGTGGCGTTGATGCTGCGACTTCTCGTTGACTGCACTGCGGACAGCGTTGTATATTTCTTGATAGTCGACAGGATTTCGTGAGGCCACAGAAGATGCAGACTGGCGACGATGTTCTCGGAGTATCTCATCCATGTGAACTTTCAGCTCTTCCAATCCATCTTGAACGACACGAGCGATCTGCTCGCGCTCTGATGCTGCGTCTGTGGTGGAGGCATTCTTGCTGCTTTCCTGGTCTAGCTTTCGCCCAATTTCGCGACCCATGCCGAGCACTTCCCCTCGAAGCTCGCGCACAAGCGCTTTCACTTCAGCGGTGAGTCCCCCTCCCTGAGCAACACTGTCCTTGATTGTTCGGATAATCTTCATGATATCGTCATTGAGGATCTCCGAGGCACGAGCTGATGTTGGCGCACCTATATTCTCTTTATTCCCTGTCGAGCCCATGAGTGCGCCAACTCGCTGTGTCACTGGGCCAGACTTAGAATTCTCAAAGTCCAACTCAAGTCTAGGGGACTCATCAAAGCTGAAACCGCGAGCTTTGTTAACTCCAGAGCCACCACCATACGGTGCAACAAGTTGATGAGATGAGTTTCTGCTGATGAGGTCCAACACTGTATCTAGCTTTTGGGCCGAAGCACTTCCGTCACGGGCCAGAATGTCGGCGACCTCTGTCAAGCGAGAAACCAAAAGCTCCTGTCCTTCTTTGGTACCCATCTCACGAAGTATCTTTTCCAGCAGTGCAATACTTGCCACTCCATCGTGGTTATAAGTAGATGCGCTGGTGGTTGACTCCCTGTCTAAAGATGCGGCAAAGCTAGTTGGACTTGGTATACGAGGTAGGGAGAACGGCTTTACTGCCCTCGAGCCGGGCGAGTTATGAGCTTTGTTGTCGAGGTAAAGAGCAGTAGGCGGATATATGGTACTGGAAGCCCGAGAACTAGACTCTGACAAGTTGATGACGAGCTCGCGGAGGCTCTTCCGGATATCCTCGTCACGAGCGTTTGTTGCCTCCTTCAGACTCACGAGATCGGTAGCGTTATCCTTACTTCTTCTGCTAAGCTGGGCCATTTCTCTTTGCAGACTTGTACAAATGCTGGTGAGGCTCAGGATCTGGTTCGAGATTGCGTCGAAGGTTTGTGGCGTGCGAACCAGCGCGGTTGAGCCATTCGTAATATTTGATAGAGGGGTCCCTACCTCTCTGGTTGCCATATTTTGTAGAGCAAGCATGGTAGCCGATTGTGGGGGAGTGTTTTCCCCGAGAATACTTTGTGGTGGTCTTCTTAAAGACGGTCGAACCGTGAGTTCTCTATTCGGGGTTTCTCGCCCGGGAGTTGGTGTGGCTGATCTACTTGATTCTTTCTCGGGTGATTTGTCTGGGGACTTTTCCGGAGATCTTGGCTCCAGAACAAAATCCTTATTTGTGTGTGGAGTTGCTGGACGTCCAGCACTCTTCTCTGGTGATCGCGGTGTATTAAATGTTGAACCGCCCTCCAATAAACTGCTTAGATCCCTCACGTTGCCTGTTTGCAACGACTGCATGCGCTTGTGAGCGGCTCCCTTGATTAGAGACCGCTCAGGAGATGTGTCTATTCTTTTTACTGGAGAGTTCGTCACATAGCCGCTTTCCCTGGCCTTCTCAGTAAGGGCAAGGTGTGCAGATTGGATTGCGGTCGAAGTGTTTGGTCGCGAAGTAGCAGCAGGTGAGGAGGGGTTCATAGGTAGTGGAGGAGGTGCGCGTTCTGGATCGGAGCTGTCCCACCTGGAAAGAACAAAGTCAGCATCCTGGTAAACGCTTTTAGGAGAATATTTTACATAGGAACTACAGCTCTTCCGCAATCTGATGAAGCAGAATGCTGATGTCTCAGATGCCTATCGCTATCCCGCGAGGTTGATCTTTCTATGGAAGGCATGGCTGCAGCTCGAGGTGTGGAATGCAGCGTGGAATGCGGACGTGTAATAACGTCGAGGTACCTCAGACCTCACAAGATATTTAGGAAATGCAGAGTAAAAAGGCTTGAAGTGACAAAGAACTTATGCTGGAGGTGGAACATGTATGGACTGCGAAGTGCAAGGGTTGATGTCGTTCTCGGAACTGATGTTGTATGGAGCCAGCGTTGGTCTGTTTACATTTTTGTTTACTTCGCGGCGACTCGACGACGTGACCCGCTTTCGTGCTTACGTACCCTAGCTAACCTTAAATAGTCGCACCTTGCCGGAATCTCCTCCGCCTGCAACTGCGGCTCCCTTGCTCGGACATCTCCACGAGAAAAAATCCCGGAAATATCTCTCTTAGTACAGTGAACGTCGCCCTCCTTTTCAATGGGCAACACAGCTACATGCTCGGTGATCCTCCCCGCTAGCGCGCTCGGAGACTACAAGCCTTTCTCAGGGGAGTTAGTCACGTGATATACTTGAAGGCTATATGCAGTACTTTAAGGGCATTCGTGATCTTGGCAATCCTTCTAATTCTCTGATCGTTTTATCTCAAAAAATATCAGGCCAGATCCGGGACCTCTCGAAACAGGGCTTTACAGACTTGTCGTTGGTTTCTTGGACGTTGCTATTAGGAGGTCTCGTTCTTTGTCTGGCAATGGTCTCGTCAATAGTCTCGTTTTGAATCAAACCATCCAAAACATCTAAAAACAGGAGGATCCTGGTGACACAAGACTAGTGGAATACCAGTAGTTCATCTGACATCATAAACTTGCTTGCGGGGTAATTTGGACCCAAAACTAAAAATACTTTCCTCAATTCGCTTGTCTAATTGAACGTCACGAAAGAAGCGAGTGGCTCTTATGGAAGATTTGACTTTTGTATTATTCAGGGTACACACACAGCACTGGGGACAATCTAAAGTTGAAATACGCAATACTATTGATATCAAGGCTTGAAACGTAAGGACCGGCTGAATGAACGATGCTCCCTTCCTTGCCAAAATCGCTAAAAGAATGATGCAAATCCTAATCAAAACATTATCCAAGCCTCGACTCAGCCAGCGACAAGGCTTCTGACAGACAGAGGAACCACCCTATGCGCGGAAAAGCTGTGTCCTCTCGGAACGCGCCTTCTTCGCGGCAGCAGTGGCGTTGGCACCAGCCATCTGGACTGGAACACAACCTCCGAAAGGACCGGCTCCTATTATGGGGTCAGATTTACATATTTATGGGCATTGCCGGGCGTACTCACTGGCTGCGTTTTGGCATTTGACCATACAGACACCTTCCATGCCAGCGACAGACCCGGTACAGGTCTGATCAGCGGCAACCTTGGCAGTCAGTGGCTAGATATCCAGTTAGACAAGACCCTTTGTTTGTTACTGTAAGTGTGATACTCACGAAATCAGTGGCCCTTGCTCTGCTTCTTGAGTTTTCGCCAGGAACGTTGGTGGCAACTTGCATATTGGTCCACTGAGTTCCAGTGCCAGTGCTGTCAATCATGCAGTCATATGGTCCAGCACCATCACCGTTGACTTGATGAAGAGTCATCATGACCGCCCCGCCTGGAGAGATCTGTGGCATGTTTCCACCATTGGCAGCAAGCTGAGCTGGGACTTGTGTGGCTGGATCATTGGTTCCGCCTCCCAGAGTCTCTCCACATTGATCGGCCGCAGCATTCTTGAAGCGGGTGGAGTCCTGCTGGAAAGGGTTGCGGTTGGAACCATCACGAGGAGTGGAGGGGTCAACTACGGTGAACTATTAGCAATCTCTTGGAATACAGACTACTGACTGATAGAAAAGGTTAACTTACTACCAAGGGCCATGCCTTCTCCACCCTGATCTCCTACTGCCTTAATAATTGCTCCGTGGCCAGCAACGAGCTCAGCGGCGGCCATGGCCATGATGATAGATTTGAAAAGCATCTTGAACTGTGGAAAGACTAGTGGCCAGCAAAAGTCTTCAGTATTATAAAGAATGAAATAAGATCAGAAAGATTGAATGATAGCTGAGTGAAGAAGTGAAATGCGATGATGGGAATAACAGATATTGTCGGTAGGCTGCAATCTACTTATACATATTTTCTCCCATGTCAACATCTTTTTGGGATGGCTTGAGCACGGTGAATGCCCAGCCTTCGGAAAAGAAACATGGAAACCACAGATGGGAACTTGGAGCGGCACTAACTACCAGAATTGCTCCTTCGAGCGGTCTTGGCTACATAGAAGTGATCCCTTTTGCGATCTTGATGGCTAAGTGAAGCAAACAGCAGGGCCCGTGACAAAGCGGCGGACAGGGATGGAGACATGCCAAGAGAGGCTACGAAAGGCCTCTGACTGTTGGCACTTGCCTCCTGAAGGCCTTTCTCTCGTGATGGCTGGTGCCGAAAGTCAAGTTGACATGAAGGAGAGCTGCTGGGCTGTGCACGCAACTGGCATGGATCCAATGAGGGATCTGATGCGAGAACAAGCTCTGGATCAACGCAAGGAACCGATGCGAGTATGAAAATCAAAACAATAGCAAGCATTTGAGACCGATAGAGTACGAGATTCGCGGTTCCTAGCCGGGTGTGAGGAAACAGATCTATACTCCTTTCACAGCTAGCCATGCGAGCAATTCCCCGGATTATCAGTTACTGACCAATACAATTCAATGGATCGTGCGAAACATCCACTTGTGATCAAGGATAAAACCTGGAAAGGGTCACATCAAGCATGGCTCGAGCTGAGCGGTTCGAAACGTTGCTGGGCACGATTGTTTTTCTTAAGCAAACAGAGTTTGAGGCTTTGCCGAAAGCGGCTCATAAACGTTTCGAATTGTCACGTGATCTCACCATTATTCGGATTGTGTAAAACTCTCCTCGAAACAAGCTTATATTTGACACATCTTTATGCTATGGTTGACCGATGCTTAGACGATTAGCATAGGTTTTATGATGAACGGTGAACCTATGTAGCAGTTGATTTTGTACATGACTCGGCGAAGCCTGGTCTTGGAACCGGGACTTGTTGAGCTGGACGACAGCCTTGTTGGCAGGGATCAATGAGCCGGCTGAACCATTTGCTGCCTCTCATTTCGTCAATGCGGACCATGATGAGGCAAGTCGGCTCCCTTGTTGACGTCGGGCCAGTGCCGTGAGATGCTGCGCTGTCAAATGGGAGAAAGCTCAAGCTTGGACTTCATCGTGATGCATAGACCTCGGCGATTGTGCCATTTTAATGATGTCGATTACCGCTATCCTCCAAGGGTCGATAGTCTTTCATCAGTCTTCGGTATAGCGAAGTCAAGATTGACTTCATCCATGCCCTACCGGAACTTCCATTCAACAGTAAGCAGAGAGCGAGGGAACAGGAGTAATTCCTTGTCATTATCCACATTCTATCAATTTCCTTTCCCGGACCGCATGGTATTCAGCTTGAAGATGGTCCGCTGAGAGACACTGATATGGTTTCGAAATTCTGTTGTCCAAATCGCCGACAATGTTGATGTAGTTTCTCGTTTGGTGGTCGGCTGCGGTTTTGGGAAGTGGCGCGCGCACAGCCACAAATCTTCAGCCACATGCAACTAGCTTAGCGAGTGCCGCACCACACTCAAGAGGCTTTTAGAATTTCTATCAAATCTGAACAGCGACAACACGACAAACCATCGACACCAACGACAGTCGAGATGAAGTGTGAGTCGCGTTCTGTCCTCTATCCTTACGGATCCGAACCTGAATTGATGCCGGCGGTGTCTTGCAATTACGCCGCTCTCCAGCGTCAATCCAGATACACTTTCTACGAAATTCTTCACCAAAATTCTCACAGGATCAAATGCTAATTTGCTCGCCGCATAGTCCTCAAGGTTGGCCGTGTTGCCATCATCACCCGCGGCAGATATGCTGGCAAGAAGGTCCGTAAATTTCACCTTTCAGAATCGAGAGCGCACTGGGGGACATTAAGGGATAGTTGATATGAAGTCCTGGGATTGAACATCGAGGGAATAATTTCGATATGACGAGGCAATACTGATAGAGAACCTCTGCAGGTTGTTTTGATCCAACCACAAGATTCTGGAACCAAGTCTCACCCATACCCTCACGCCCTGGTCGCCGGTATTGAGCGCTACCCACAGCAAATCACCCGCCGCATGTCCAAGACCCGTCAAACCAAGCGATCCAAGGTCAAGCCATTCATCAAGGTCATCAACTACAACCACTTGATGCCAACAAGATACACACTCGAATTGGAGGGATTGAAGGGTGTTGTTACTGCGGATACTTTCAAGGAGGTTTCTCAGCGGGAGGACGCGAAGAAGACTGTGAAGAAGGCTTTGGAGGAGAGATACACTTCTGGAAAGAACAGATGGTTCTTCACTCCTCTTAGTACGAACTTCCACTGATATGTGACCCAAGCTTTACTAATCTCTCGCAGGATTTTGAACAATTCTTCTGTCATGGGGCTGGGACGGTGTTAAATGGCATTGAGACAATTAGTCGCATAACGAGCTAAGCAAATGCAGATATTCACACCTTGCAATGGCCTTTCGAACTACGATTCTCTGAATATGGATCTTGTGAAGATGTGAGATACCTGTGGTATCGTGTGTTCGTGTCCAAGGATAGTAGGAGGGACGTACGGGTGCAATGAAGCAAAAATCAGAACTAAGCACTCACCATGTAGCACAGTAATGCCAGATGTCTTTTGGCGCCTTTTCGCGCATTCGTGTCTACAGATTGCTCAAAATGCCAGTCTGGACGAGGAAGTTATCGTGGAGTTTTCGCTCTTTGACCGGACTACAACAAGACAAACTGGAAATTGGCAATATCGATTGAGTATCGATCGATGTGGTGTATGGTCATCACCATTCGCTCACAGGATGTCGCTTACGGGGCAGTTGGAAAGTTGTACTGGATTGGATTTCATAAGGATCCTGCCATGAAGGATCTGTTTTTTGCCGCTGGGCCAATATCTGATCTAGTCGAGGTTTCGACGATCCAGATTCAACATACTTCTGTCAAATGGCCTTGTCAGCTTCTAACGTCATATCAGCAGGAATTGATCTATATCTGACCAGGGTGACGACAAGTTCGGCAACGTGAGGGTCCCTTCGACAATAGGGCACGAACACACTTACTTATATGAAGATTTTTATTCTCTTAAGGTGGTGTTAAACTCAGTGTAACTCTTTTCTTGGCTGTATGATGCCGCTCTTTATGTATGAACGATTAGGAGGTCCCGCACACATAACCGAGCATATAGCAGCAACCGTAGTCCCATCAAAGGATCAGCCGTTCTCTAAATGCAGCTACAGCAAGACGGTGAGGCTCCGGCTAATCTGTCAAAGAATCAGCGATGGCTCATAGCCGAAAAAGCTCAAACCGTCCAGCTTCAAATCGGCCTTTTATCATTGACTACCCGCTGCCTTCCAAATAGATGATTTTCTCCATGTTCCGGCTATCAGCTTGAACTTAATTCGTGTGCTGCACCGGGTAGAGGAAATTTACCCGCCGTACCCTTGTCTTATGTGAGTTGAATGCTGGCATTTACTCTCCGCCATTATGCTTACGGTACTGGATTCACCCTGGGGACTGAGCGGGGTTCCCGTATGGGATATGAGTGCGTGGATGAAGGGGGAAGGTGAGAAAGGAAGATAGGACGTAGTGTAAGGTTGCAGGGTAGCTCTGCTGCTTTGTGTATGGTAGCGTGTAGCAATTGCATACGGTACTTGAGATGAAAGCTTGAGAGGGGAACAGGCCATAGGAAAGCTTTGGCTTGAAAATTTGTGTTTTGAGAGTTTGATCGTTCAATGGGAAGGGCTCAGGTATGACTTGTCTGGAATGCCAAGCTAGAGCAAAAGATTAGTACGTATCACTCACGTATCGCTTCACAAAATGGAAAGTCAAGAGCACAAAAACAATGCTTTTGAGATAAGCAAGTTCGTCGTCTTAGCCGGCTAATGCTGCCCTTTAGGCACCCTGCATGGCGTTGCAGCATTGCGAAATGCAACGCTATTTCAATTTTGAATACGCAAGGCTTGAGTAGTAAGTGAACGTTCTCGCGTAGAATATAGAATTCCTGATAGAAGCAAGCAAAAGCAGCAACCTGTGTGCGAATATGATGAACCAGAAAGCACTTCGAATCTCCTCAGATAAATGGTACGGTCACGAAGACCAGTTAGTGAAGCAAGAAATAACCCAGTTCTTGTAAATGTCCACCACATATGACCGGAAATCTCACTGTAGATGATCCAGTCCACACTTTTCAGCCTGAGCAGCATCGGAGCTAGGTGAGCAATGGTTAGAGATGGGTAGGAAATACAGAAGTGGTTCTCACCAAAATCGCCACCCACGCGCCACTGAGACTTGAAAATGACATTTGAGCTTCAAGCGTAGAGAGTCACCAATCAGTATCATACCAGATGGCAGCCTGAGAAATCATGCTCCAGCTCGGCTGTGACTCTTGTCAGCTTCGTCCTCGGTCTCAAACTCTTCAATCACAACTTTCTTCTTCAACCTAGGAGTCTTTGATCTCTGGAGCTTGGCAATGCTCTTCAGAAACACCTTCGGAGGCTTCCAATCTCTGTTGAGTTCCTTCCAAGCCATCCACTTTTGATACTCCTTCACGGTCTTTTTGCCCTCCCAGAACCCCCTGAAGATGTCGATGACGTGTTCTCTAACTTCTCTACTTCCATGTTGCCCACCACCCCTAGCATCATCGCCCAATGGTGTCAACTTCCACAAGGAGTAGCTTTCTGGCTTAGGATCTACCCTATACTTGCTATTGTCCATTACAATATTGATTGTTTCTAGCCGAGTATGTTCCATGCACAGTGAATAGAACAGATCAGTGCGACCCGAAGTCCGGAAGCGCTGGGTATCGATTCCTACCAGGGCAATGTGCTTGATTGGAGCCGTAAGGGGTAGACCACCAATTGAAGGTTTTGAGATTCGCCGAAAGTAGCTGAGAAATTCATTGGTCGAGGGGAAATTGACGAAGTAGAAGACGTCCATATTGACGTTGACCCAGATTTGCGCTTCGAGCCACTTTGGAAGTTTTGGGGGGTCGCATCCAGGAGGAAGTCTCTCACCGTCTTTCTCCAAAGGTTTGACGGGCAGCATAGACTTGATCAAGGTGTAATGCTTCTTGGTCTCTTGACGGGACTCGGAGCAAACTCGGAGGCCAACTGGGACAACACCAGCATCGAGAGCATATCTGGACAATCTCATATCCGCATGGACCAATTCACTCTCAATATTCTGGTATTCTGCGCGGATGACTCGTGTTCGCATCGTACAGCGCCATATTTTGAGGCGTATTTCGGGAGGGAACTTTTGGAATTGATGAAACTTAATGAACCTGGCTGGATTAGGGACACCCTTGGACTTTGACCGTTCCGAGACGCCAGCGAGGATTGTGGCCGATGCTTGGTTACTGGGACGTGAAGGCCTGATGATATGCTCACCCTTTCCATTGACTAGCTGAGTGCTGAGAATCAACATCTTAGAAGATGATAATCAAATATTTGGCTTGCTGCTGGAAGTTGATGTTCTGAGTCCTGGTTATGTTGCAATCTAATTGATAAGATCGACTTTGTGTGAAGTGTGATGGAGATATTGACTACGACGTGTATGGCTGTTGGAGTCCACTCGATGTCGGTCATATCGTAGGGAACCTGAGCTGAGGTCAGTTGAATTTGTAGTGAAGAGTCTGAACAGCCAAGTCTGAAATCTTCAAATTGGACAGCTTGACAGCTCTTGATGAATACCGGTGGGTAGTCACAGTGAGGAGTGCGCAGGTCTGGATGGCGGACTTGAGCACAATGTGCACCAAAGTTGATATTAGCTCGACCTCTATCTCTGATGATGCGATCACTGAACTCGAGTTTGTTCAATCGCAGAAGATGGTCTGGCAAGCTCGGTATCCTGGCCCACTACCCAGACACGTCGTTGTGTATGCAGAAATGTTTAGACTTGAGACGCTGTTGTTGAGAAGCTTGATTAGGTTCAGATATTTCAATGTGGGGAAGAGCGGCCTGCTTGAGCCAAGCGAGGGAATGTAAATAACGAGCCGGAAGATTTTGGACTTGAACCACGAGGACAGAAAGGAATCGGCTGACGGTGTCTGACAATGGTATGATTTGCTAAGTTGTAAAAAAAGTTGGAGATGTTGAAAAAGGAAAGTTCCCTATTCAGTGATCAAGGATAAAAAGGCAGGTATAATTAAGGCAAATGAGGAAAGCACCTTGAAGAGTCAAGAGCCCAGTGGAGATTCTTCCAGATTGTGAATTCAAATCCAACAATCAATCGCCACATATTTGAATATACTTGATAACGACAGCACTGAGGTGAGCAGATGACTCAAGAATACAAGTCCGCATACATATTCAATCAATACAAGAGAGGGAGAACCCCTTGCCCGAGTTCAGATGCATCCATCAGGGAAACATGACTGGAAACTGCTTACGGGGCCAAGAAGGATCTTGAAGACCAAATGAATACCTAATTCATGGCGCTTGGAAAAGAAAGGCATTATGAACAAGAGGAGAACAGTATCGAACAGAAAGGAAAAGGGTAAAGTCGATATTTATATCATATTCAAAGTCCAAATGCACCGCTGATTCATTACCAAGTTGCTCATAACGCCTGTTCGATGCGTGTTCCCAATATAATTGGCAATAAATGTAGTTTCCAAAAGCTGCAAACTCAGCTCTAACTTCCAATTCCCCACATAACCATCTCACACCCACGTCTTCTTGTCTTTCACAAGTAATTCTCGACAACTGTCTCTCGCATCTACATCCTCTTACCACAGATTTACTGGCCAAAAGCACCACTGGGTTTAATCGTTCCCGACAGTCCAAGCTTCTGCTTCTTGATCCTGGGCAATACACCAATCAACACCAAAGCAGCCGAGATCAGGATCGCCCATAATTTTATGTCAAGGACATTCTTATTGTAGTCAGTCTGGGTAGCGGCAGCCACCGTGGCCAACAATAGGGTAAGGACCAAATAACCACTCAGTCGGTGCCACTTATACAATGACTTCGCCTTATCGACACTCCCATACAAGCTTGGCACATAATAGGCAGTGAATCCGACCAGAGCTTGAATACCAAGCAGGATATAAGTAATAAGTCCTAGAATGGCGTGAGGAGATTCGAAATGCGTGCCGTTGTGCGAAATCTTGTTGTACTCGATGACAATAAGTCCAGCGACTAGAGCATCAAGCGCGAGGTTGTTAAGGATGAAATGCGAGACTGTGCCTTTGCGTTTCTGCTCGGGGGTGTGGGTTGGTTGGAGGAGGAGGATGGATTGAGTGAGGATGAGGAGACCGCCGGAGTTGAGGAGAGGGTGGGCGGAGAAGAGGATGAGCGGTTTGAGGAAGACGCTGGCCCAGACGGAAGCTGTGAGGAGGACGATGCCAGCTTGCGCGATGACTGCTGTGCCTAAAGAGAATTTAGCAAGGTTTTGCTTGGAGGGGGACAACTGGGAGAGGATATACCGATGATCAAATTGTAGTAGATGGGCTTTCCTTCTGGCTGTGCGACATCTCCAGCTCTTCCTAGAAGAGGCTCGTCTTCTCCCGTCCCCTCGTGTGGGATCAAAGTGGTCTCAGGGATTCCTGTAGCTGAAGCCATCGTGATAGAGTCTGGAATTTGTGGAGTGCGGAAGAATTCAGTCGCGGAATGGCAGCTGGGCTCTGCTTTCTCTGTATCTTCTCCAGCTTCTCGGGGAGTTACTGTCTATAAAGTTCGGCGGTTCTATCAGTCAATGTTGGACTGGTCGGTGAGGTGGTGCAAAGAGCAAGCCGAAATTGCAAAGCGCCTGCTGGTCAAAGGAACATCTCACTGCAGTGACTGCACCTGCACCCTGCAGTTCAAGTTCAAGTTCAAGGTTCCCCTCAATGACGCTACGACCCTAGCTTTGGCCAATCACACCGCATCGATGGTAAGCTGGAGCTGAAGAACTCCTCCTGGGATCGAGTGATACGAGACACATATTGATTGCGCCATCAATACGGTAAATAAGGTAGGTAGATGAACAAATGCCGTAAGCTACCTTAATTAGCAAAAATTACAACGGATGTTGTCATCGTCCGTGGAGCGTTCTAATTGACAGAGATTTCCGAGCTTTTACATATTTGTACATCGACTTACCTGACCAGTAACAAAATTGTCTTAGAAATACCTACCTTACCTAATAGTAATTTTGGTCTTGTCCGCCTCCCGTGGGCGCCCGCGGCGTGGATGGCTGTTCCAAGTGATTTACCTTGGGTACGGGTACGGGTTTCTGGGTAGGCTCGTAGGCACGTAGGGTAGGTACAGTACCTAGGTAAACGGGTAGACCAGAGGAGCACTGAGCACGGCTTGTTCTGGCGCAACTCAGTTCGCTTCGCTGCCAATGGTGGGGTTTGTCGATATCGGACCTGCCCAAGCAACTTTCACCCCTCTGTTACTCGATGGAAACTAAAAACTTTCCTTCAAAACGCTGACCTTTCTCTTTCGAGACCTCACCAACTTCACTACACAATTTCAAGAGTCTCAAGATGGCTTTCGAGACGGAATACAAGGCTGATAATGTGGCTGTTGAGCCTGTGGCTGCGGACAAGATCGATGGAACCTTTCGTTCTTCAACAATCGGCGAGTACAATCCTTTTTTTCTCTAAGCGTTCCTACATTGGGGAAGGCGTTTGAGGCGTTGAGACAGATTGTATTGAGCTTGCTTGTAAGCATCGGTCATGTCACTGTGCTTCAAGAGAACTCCAGGGCAGTCTGATACCTCAATTCTATCCCATCTGACCCCTCCATCCACACGTGATTCGTTACCTCTTCCTGTCACCACCGTTGCTAACCTGCCTCAGATCTGGTCTCTGCAGCACTTGGAGGCAAAGTGCTTTCCTTCTCGGATGAATGGTTCGCAGAAGCATCCAACTTGTTGACCCCCACACCTCCCATCAGACAGCCAGGGAAGATGGTCTACTCTGGAGCTTGGTACGATGGATGGGAGACTCGCCGGCACAACACAGCGCCATTCGACTATGTTGTGATCCGTCTAGGCGTAGCTTCAGGAACAGTCGAAGGCATTGAAGTCGATACGGCTTTCTTCTCAGGAAACCATGCCCCGGCCATCTCCGTAGAAGGTGTCTTCAGCGATAATGATGAGGAAGTCATTGGCTGGAAAGGAGAGAAAGGGAAATGGGAGACTATCCTTGGACTTCAAGAGTGTGGCCCTTCCCAGAGATTTGGCTGGAAGCTGAAGGTTCCTACTACCAAAGCATATACTCATGTCAGACTGAATATGTATCCTGATGGTGGAATCGCCAGATTCAGGTTGTTCGGTCACGCAGTTCCTGTATTCCCTGAGGACAAGGAGGCTATTTTTGATCTTGCTGCTGCTCAGAATGGCGGCGTTGCGATCTCATGCAGCGATCAACACTTCGGTGTGATTTCCAACCTTATTCTTCCAGGACGTGGAAAGGATATGGGCGATGGATGGGAGACGTCAAGGTCTCGAGGAAAGGACCATGTAGACTGGGCGGTTATCAGACTCGGAGCCAGATGCACCATCCAAAATTTGTTGGTGGATACAGCATTCTTCAGAGGTAACTTCCCTCAGAAAGCAAAGGTCGAAGCTATCGATTGGAGCGGAGAAGGGGAGCCTGGAGCATTAGCTGATGGATGGACGGATGTCGTTGCGCCAAGCAAGTGTGGTCCGGACAAGGAGCATGAGTTCGAATCTTTGGTGAAGGACAAGTCATTCACTCATGTAAAGCTGGTCATGATTCCGGATGGAGGCGTGAAAAGAATCCGGGTCTTTGCTAAGAGGAGCATTTAGACTTGTAGATTTCAAAAGCAATACCCTTAAAGCCATCTATCTCTTGGACTGTTGACCTCATGATTCTGGCTCACGTAGCAATGTTGAGGATATATTGAAATGGTGGTACTTTAATTGAGTTCATCAAACCAGAACAGCCAGTACGACTTGTGCGAGAACTTTCGAGTATGAGGTTTTCGACGGGCACTGAAACAATATCTTACCTACCTACGAGTAGGTAGGGTAGGTATGGAAATTCTTCTCGCATGTCTTTGTTTCCCTGGACGATGATGAAGATCATGCGCTAGGGGGGCACGGACATTTGCGGTACAGAAGTGACAACACCGAAACTACCCCTTCATCTTTAAAGGTTTAGGTAACAGCAAGAAAACGCCCTCGACGACGAAGAAACTCTAGACTCGCAGGCTCAATACTTCGGCTAGTATATGAAAGCCAGCAGATGGGTAGGGGCTACATGAAGTCCTCCTCATCTCGCAATGGACATCGGGGATCATGGCGGGGATCTCAGCGGCGGGTTTGGGGATGAGGACCAGCAGCAACCTAAGCGTCCCAGGGCCCTACCAGACGACCTACCCAAATCCCTAGACGACAGGAAGAATGTCTCCTCACACTATACGGCCGAGACGGAAATGTATGATGCGTGGCAAGGTATGCGTACCCCTCAGTACTACAAGACGCTTTGGACTTTGGCTGACGAACTCACAGGCCAGTCACAATTCCTCACCACGCCGGTCCTAGCCAAACCTCTCCAGTTTAACAGTCTTTCCCTGGATGACGATGGGTTTGAGGACGATTTGACGGCGCAGAAGATTGGAGATAGTGATACACGACTGATGGAGATGCTCGCCGCGCAGGCAGCCCACCGGGATGGGAATGCTTCCCAGGACGAAGATGCCGTGGCCGCGGATGATAAGCTGTCAGAGATCGAGAAGAAGGAGACGCTTCAGAAACATCTGAATATGGCAGCCAGCAACGGAGATGTCGATCGGATAGAGAGAATTCTGTCCGGCAAGGCCAAGCAATTTGTAGATATTGATGCGCCTGACGAGGAGGGAACGGCTCCTTTGATATACGCTAGTTGTTTTGTAAGCTGTGCGCTCGAGACTGGTATCGGAGCCTTACTGATAGGACCTCTAGGGCCATGAGGCAGTTGTAACTGCTCTTCTCGATGCAGGCGCCAAACTGGATATCCAGGACCGCAATCAGTGGAGTGCTTTGATGTGGGCAATGAGCAACAGACACACCGGGATCACAAAGATACTGTTAGAACGAGGTGCATCTACGGACATCAAGTCCTCCTCTGGGCGGACGGCCTTCGACTTCGTAGCGCCAGACAGCGAGATCTCAGAGTACTTGCACGATCATGGTTATGGGAATCAAATTGGAAGCGTGGGAGTGACGGATGACTTTTACAATCCTGGGTTTTCCCAGGATAGATTCGAGGAGGAAATGGCCGAGAATGAGTTGAGGAGACGCATGATGATGGAGAGTGCTAGAGATCTAGAGGTTGACCTTGGGAATATGGGGATTGATGACCAACCAGAGGTGGGTACAATTGGTCTGCAAAAAGTGTAGGTATGCTGACAGATTCCAGTCACCAGCCGAGCTCGAGGAAGAAGCACAAGAATTCGACTGGAGTAGATGTCTCCACGATCAGATGTTCGTCTTCCAAGAGAGCGAATTGAGCCGGATACTTGACATTATCATTACCCACATGACGCCTCAGCGGTCACCATCTCAGAAACCTGTACCGGCCAACATATTATTTCTCAGTGCTCGATATGCTCATTATCATGCGAATCAGGATCTACTCGCAAAGCTCTTGATCACTGCAATGGATAAGATAAACGATGTTGTGGAGGCTCATCAATGGGATATGACGATCTTGGCCTTTTGGATATCGAACGCGACGTTGTTATTGCACTATCTAAAGAAAGATGCCGGATTGGGAGAATCGACGTCCGAGTTCCAATTGCAGCTTGCGGAACTCATCAACGAGATTTTCATCCTGATCATCAGAGATGCGGAAAGGAGAATGGATAAGGTCCTCGATCCAGCCATGTTGGACCACGAGACCATCCCAGGGTTCGAGGATATCACATTTCAGAACGAATGGAAGATATTCAAGCGCAAAAATCAAGTGAAGGAAGTACCAGTGGAAAAGAGATTTCGACCACCATCACCTAAAGCAAGAGCCAAACCTTCACCACGGAACGTCACATCTTTGCTCTCATCAACACTTTTTGTATTGGATCTATACGATATTCATTCTGTTATTACGGCACAGATATTGGCGCAGCTACTGTACTGGCTTGGGGCCGAATTGTTCAATCGAATCATGTCGGATCGCAAATATCTAGCTCGAACAAAAGCCATGCAGATCCGAATGAATATCTCTAGCCTTGAGGACTGGGCTAGGTCGAACAATCGGCAGCCAGAGCATTATGAGCATGGCTCCATGACGTCGAGTGGAGAACCTACTATAGAATCCGGGCGTCATCACCTGGCACCTGTCATTCAGCTCCTACAGTGGCTGCAGTGCTTTTCGTCACTGGGAAATGACGACTTCGAGGCCTTGGTCGGTACTCTTCAGCAGCTGACGCGACTTACACCACAGCAACTTATCCATGCTGTGAAACACTATCGACCCGAGGTTGGGGAGAAGGGTCTCCCAAAGAGCGCCATGAAGTACCTCATCAATCTCCAGAAAGAAACGCAGATACGAAAAGAGCAGCAAAGAAGCAGACGGCGAGAATCTGGTGTCCCGACTACACCAACACGAAACACCGCGAATGGCAAAATCCCAGATACTCCGGAGTCGAATGGCAAGCCGGCGAATGCTATGAAACCCCTAACCCCGGATGTGCTCCCCGAGGAGGAAGACGATGCACCGGAACACTTACTCCTGGACCCGTCACTGATGCTGCCCTTCTCGCTCCCTACCAGTACGGATATGTTGATCAGCTATGGTGCCGGCTTCGGCGGACTCAATCGTGAAAGAGAGCGCAAATACATCCCTACCGTCCCGGCAGAATTCCTCGCCAAGCTCGACTTGAGCGGTGGACGAGCACAATCTACTTACGAAGAACGGGATTGGGAGAACGAGGATGCGTAGACAGTACGTTTATTGTGTGAGCTTGTGTGGGATTGTGAGAGTGAGTGAGTGAGGGGTCTTAGAGGGGTGGTGAGACATGCATGCATGAGCTGCACGACAGTAGACTAGCTTCACTCGACCCATCAACAAAAGAAATTATTCGCAGCATCGGGCATCGGGTTTGGAAGACTTGGGCAGGGATATGGAGTGGTGACATGACAGCATTTGGCGTGGCGTTTGCGGCGCAGGTACTTTTTCTATGTGTCCTATCATCATTTCAGATTTGGAAGGGGTGATGAAGTAAAGCTTATCCTTGCCGCTACTGAAATAATTCAGATATATCATTGATCCCGTCCTCTTTTAATATGAATTTAAAACTGCCTAAAGTATCGCTTTATCAGGGAGCTCTTTTAAAAGTTTGTGTGGCCCATGAGGTGCAGTGGTTGTGTGACAGCTTCATCTCGACGTTGAGATGAGAAGAGATCCAAAATGAGATTTGTGGTACGATACAAGAGTAAAGTGAGACATCTCAGCCTTGTACTCCTCCTTCCTCCCACCTGTACGGGACAGGCAATGTCCTTTGTACTCTGGCGGCTGCACAAGTCGCCTTTACTTACTCTGGCCTTCGTATTTGTAGAGCCGTGATCCAGTTCCCTGCATTCAAGAAATTAACCAGATACTGTTCCTTCGATGCCCGTGGAATTGTGTAATGCTTCTAATTCATACAAAAGTCAGTTTACGTGAGGTCATCTCCAAAGTCGCCATTCTTCTAGACGAGCCCCCATCCCCCGATGTAACAACAGCCCTTCATTCAGGGTCCTCGTGGTAGCCTCGTAAGGAAGTAAAGTACCACCCTGCCACCTAAGGTAGTGTTCGGACTTATCGATCAGGGGTGCTCGGGCCGTGCCAGCACAGTTATCTGCCACTGAAAGATAGGATGAAAAAAAAAGTTCAATCTTTTTCCCTCCTGCTAGCCTTGCACAACACATTCAGAAATCCCACCGGCCTTGCCCTGTGCGACCAAGTAAACACCTCCACGTGAACATGGTGCCAGCACAATGAGATGGAAAACAACAACATATCACTATCTTACTAAGTGGCATAGAGATTCTGCAAGGCGTGGTCATCAACAATTCGTCCACCTACCTCCCTGCCTACTTGCCTACTTGCCTACTTGCCTTATGCACCTCAGTACCTAATTCGAGCTTGAACTACTCCGGACTGTAAGTAAATACTTCGCTTCGCTTCGCTTCGCTTCGTTCCTTTCAAGATTGGGCACAAAGGAAAGGAAGCACAACAAAACGCAACACAATCACACAATCACGGTCCACATCAACTCAACTTCGTTATCCTACCTTCGCACAGACTCCCGATTCCCGATCCAGTTCATCGGGGTCCATCTGCATCCACAAACACATGCACATGCACAGGCAGATGCACACCCACACCCACATCGGCCACATCCCCCCTCTCATGACTCCGCCGAACAAGCAATCTCCTTGCGACCCTTGTGCACCCACCGGCATCTGGCCCCTTTCGCAGCTTTTGTGCCTCCTAAGCGACTGATTGGCTTTTGCGGCCCCGTAGCGGCAGGAACGCCCGGGCTCGAGGGCCCACACAAATCAGCACCCCCTTGCACAGGCAGGCTCAAGCCACCAGCAAACGTCTTCGTCTCTACTCCGGGGGTACGGGTACTGCACTTGCGTCCGAAGCAGACCAGGAAGAGGAATTAGAATTGGAAGGCAAAGAAAGGCAAGCAGACGGCAGAAGGCAGACCGGAAAGGACACAGACCCGGCAAGGACAAGGACAAGGACAAGGACAAGGACAAGGACAAGGAGAAGCAAGGGCAGGCGAGGCAGCGCAGATCGAGAAATTCTCCTAGGCCATCTCTAGCTGGCTCTTTCGACGAAACAGACTCTCAGATCCCTCACTACTCCAACTACTGTACCACTCACTACTGTACTGGACTTACTCGAGCAGGTCAGAGTTTGCGACCGCATCTCTGTCCTTCTTTCCTTCCTTCCTCACACACACACACACTCTCTCTCTCTCTCTTTCTCTCTTTTTCTCACCTCCACCACACTCTTTTCCTGTAGACCCCGAGGCGCGGAATTGTCATCCTCTGAACTAAAACTCTTATTTGCTTCCCTCCTTTCCAACGGCAGATCGACCACAGGCGCCAGTCCGTTGGCTTTAGAACCAACCCAAAGTCACGCGCGAACCTGCAGCAAGACACGACGGCAGATGCGATAGCGTACCACGTTCGCGCAGCACTGCACTACACCACCGCATACCCCATCTCGAGCTGCGCGATCGCAGAAGGATGAAGGATGGCTCCCTCTCCTCCATCCTCCTCTCCCAGCAGTCCAAGACCCAGTCTGCGCACCAAGGCCAGCACTACCCTTACAACACCACAATCGCCCGCTCGATCTGACGATGGTATGATTACACTGCGCTACGAAGAAACCGTGCCTGCGAAAGCTCCAATTGCCGTCGTCACTGCCCCGCCGCGCAAGGAGCCAACAGACATCCATCTTGCGCTGCGACGACCGAAGACGGGATCGGACAACGCGAAGGACGAGGGCAAGCGGGACAGTGGCCTTGCGCCGACAACCAGCTCCAGAGCCGGAAGAGAGGGCAGTGTGAATACTACAGATGCCATTGAGGAGGAGGTGTCGCTGGGTGTTGAGATAGACTTTGACAAGACTTCCACGGTGGTCAGCCCGCTACAATCACCAACCCCAGCACCCCATTCGAAAGTTATCACCAAGAGCCCAAGCATGGGGTCTGGAAGTTTGCGCTGGAAGCCCGGAAGTAGGAAGAGTAGTAGTGGTAGGCCATCAGGTACTGCTGAGAAAACAGAGGAGGAAAAGGAATTTGCGCCGATTACTACGACTATTCCCACAGAAGAGTTCATAGACGAGGATTTATTAAGGACTTTGTCATTTTCAAAGAGGGGAAGCGTGATGTTGGGTGGTAAGAAGGCCGTAAATGGGCAAGCAAGGCCTACTGCTGGACGCGGGTACGTTGATGGCTTTGTGGACTTCTGAAATGGCTACTTACTCGTTTCAAGACAACCCAGCATGTCTATGCTTGTTTCGCCTACAATTAAATTATTATCTGATGACCTTGAAAAGGAGTCGCAGAAGGTTAGGTCGATGTATGAGCAAGGGGCAAATTTGGATTGGGAGGCTGGTGCTTATTCTGGTATTGCTGAACGTTTAGAAGCTCGTCAGTCTACACCAGATGCCGAGGGATCTCAGTGAGTTCATTCTGAACTTAGTACCGTACTCCAATACTAATATCATACAGGTCAAACGGCCTCCTCTATCCGAACGGTGCATTTCCGAGACCAGACAGTGCTATGTCAACAAGACTGGAACACGAATTGGCTGGAGGCATTGAAGATTGGGAGGATGTTGACGGCAATGATGTTGATCGCTACGGCTTCATTGATATGCGCCGGAAGAACTCGAGACCTGGAACACCAGAACCGAGGCCTCCACAACGAGTCTCTACTGTCCTCCAATTAGCTTCCGAGGCCCCAAGAAGAAAGCGAGCTTTTGGACGTTCGGCGTCGACTGCTACATCGCGAGCCACTTTCAAGCGAGCTCCGAGCCGCAAGATTTCTACCAGATCTCTGAAGACCGTCTCTTCCAGTGCTTCTCAGCGCAGTACCAGCAGAATCCGAGCAGCTACTAATCGTCTACCTGGCAACAAGGACAGAAGATGGATGGATGAGGCGGGTGACATGCTCACTCTTCCACCGGGTCTAGCCGACATAGCTGAAGACGAGGAAGGTGGGAGAGCTGCTGAACTGCTGAAGAGGAAGGAATGGGAGCGAGCGGAGAAATGGAGAAAGATGGCAAGAATTGTCAAGACGGGTAAGGATGGTGAAGGAATGGCTTTCGAGTTCGATACTACCAACGCAAAGCTCATCGAGCGAACCTGGAAAGGCATTCCTGACAGATGGCGAGCTTCTGCTTGGCACTCGTTCCTGAGCGCATCCGCAAAGAAGAGAAAGGACAGTGCGACTGATGAGCAAATCATTGCTGCTTTCTACTCACTTCTGGACCAGAGCTCTGCCGATGATCTACAGATCGATCTGGATGTACCCAGAACGATCAACAGTCACATCATGTTCCGCAGAAGGTATCGAGGCGGTCAGCGATTGCTGTTCAGGGTTCTGCATTGCTTGTCTCTGTACTTTCCTGAGACGGGCTATGTTCAAGGCATGGCATCACTGGCCGCGACACTTCTTTGCTACTATGACGAGGAGATGACTTTTGTCATGTTGGCTCGAATGTGGACGTTGAGAGGGCTTGACAAGTTATACGAACCAGGGTTCCCGGGTTTAATGGCTGCTCTGGATGAGTTCCAGAAACAGTGGCTGTCGTCTGGCCCGGTTTCCGAGAAACTCGTAAGTACTTCTCCATACTGCTTGGGATCACATCTGATAGATTCAGAGCGAAATGAACATCGAGCCCACTGCCTATGGCACTCGCTGGTATCTTACCCTCTTCAACTACTCCATCCCCTTCGCAGCCCAACTCCGTGTTTGGGATGTCTTCATGCTCCTTGGCGATCCACTTCCCACTGTCAAACCAACCACCGAACGCCCGTTCGCAGGTGGTCTCGACATCCTCCACGCTACGAGCGCCGCACTCATCGATGGGACTCGCGAGATTCTCCTTGACAGCGATTTCGAGAACGCTATGAAAGTTCTCACCAGCTGGATACCAGTCAAGGATGAGGAATTGATGATGAAAGTGACTCGCGCAGAGTGGAAGCTGCACCGTGGGAGGAAGCGGTGATACCTTACACACTTTTGGTTCGAATCATGACGCTGATATATCGTCTTCGAATCGTCGCTCCTTGCTATTTTGTATCTGCGTTTCCTCATCTGCTTTCCTGGCAGTTTGATTTTGTTTGTTTTCGGTCCGGTCTGCTTTTTCGCACTATACCATCATGCTTTTGGTTTGGTGTTCTCGGCGTCATATCGGGCAACAGAAACCTGGAGAAGAGAGTCAACTGGGATTCTGTTTTGAGGAGGTGAAGCAAGCCGAGACAAGGCAGATTATTTTCTTTGTATGTATGTGTTGTCGGTCTGTGGAGTCGGAATGGCTTCAAGAAGAGTAGGTGGATGCGCTCTGCTGAGTGTTGTGAATAGATCCACCATCTCGAGCTAGCAAGAGAGGGCTGCAGAATGAGAGTCCAGATCATAGGAGGTCGAATGAGGAGAGCTCTATTGGTGACTGGGACATGGGAAGAGATATGTGTTGCTTGGGTGTATGTACAATAAGCAAAAGCCATTCAATCGTGGGTGCGTGGACGAGGGTGCAATACCTCCTACCTGCTCCCGTTGTACGAGAACGCAGAGGGACATGAAAGAACCGAAATGGAAACGGGTAATGGATATATACATGGACAATGGAATGGAAGTATACACGAAAAAAGATAGATTAATTTGTAATTTTAATGGATCGATGAATGAATATTGAGAAATTGTGTCTTTTACTGTTCGGAGCGCGTTCTGGAGTATGAAGGTATGTGAGGTGAGGGTTCCATGTGTAGGCATTGTTCTTTCTCTGAACGAGCTTTTGATAGTCCAGATCAATAGATAAACACTGTGTCTCTGCTCTTGCTCGGGTTGATAAAGTAGGAAATGGGAGATGGCGTGGTAAGAAGCGGAGAGGTAAGGAAGTTGCAGTCGGGTACTGCTTCGAGTACTTTCAGCACCCCTCAGCGCCCTCGGCGCTTCCATTACCTTTATCGCTCATGGCGTCCGGTCTTTCCCAAGAACCAGGCAGAATTAGCGAAAGAATTCTTCTTATGATACTACGCCTATTTCCCCTCAACTGCCGTATCAAACACACCTGTAGCGAGACCCTGTAATTAAGCGAAGAACGCTGGAGTTCGTTGTCGTCTAGGCAGCCTCAGCGCCTCGCTTCAGCACCGTGCCCTGGAAAAATGTGTTTTCGGCAGTTGAGGGGATAGCTCCCACTTCTATAATTCTAACCTCTCTGCTTTCCATTCCGTGCTATTCGATGCAAACTCGATGCGATATGACTGAAAAGGCATGCTTCGGTTGGGAGATGTGATGTGTTGTGGTGATGTGTGGCTAAGCGAGAGTGTGAGAGGTTGAATTAGAGGTGAAGGAAGGGAGGCCATTCAGGGGGATGGAGACTAGATTCACATTGGTGGCATATGGGGCTGAGCGCTGGTATTTAATGTCTATTTATTGATACGGCAAAGCTCATAAATCATGAATCATAAGTCATTCTTCATCTTTGAACAGTCATACCTCGTAGAAGCCATGTCATGCCCGCTATTGTACACAAGATAAAGACCACTCATCCAGCACAATACGTACTCCTCGCCCGTATCCTCTCCCCATACCTCCAAAACAGAATAGGTGCCGGAATGCCTATCCCCAACGCCACAAAAGCTAATACTGCATTCCCCCATCCCACCCCAAGACTCCCATACAACTTTCCCGCAAAAAGCGGAAATCCAAACCCAGCAATTGTCCTCACAAAAGCCGCTGCACCAGTTGCACTCGCTGCATAAGTGGTATATGCATCAACGACATATGCCTGAGCACATTGAAACGAGATTATGCAGCCGCAGGCGAAGATTGCCGCGCCGATGTTGGGAACGATGAAGTGGATTGAGGAGCGCGCTGTGAAGCCGTAGATGAGCAGGCCAATGGGAACGAGGAGGCCCCCGGGAAGCATGAGTGGAATACGGAACTCGGGTCGGCCGGGGCAGTTGTAGTGTCGTTTGAGGCGGATGTACACCTGTTGGGTACTCTATTAGTTCTGGTTTTTGGGCTGGAGAGGTGGAGAAGGACTTACTTTGTCAATCATGGGAGCGCAGATTTGGAGGCCGATTACAAATCCAACGCCGAGGGAGAGGTAGTTTAAACTGGCGTCACCGATAGACATGTTGTAGGTTTGTTCAAAGACCATGGGGAATGTGGAGAGGCTGTGCGCTAATCAGTACCTTTCGCTCTTCTAGATGGAGAAAAGATGAAACTTACACCAGGTATTTCAATCCGTAGACGTAGGCTCGATACAAAGCCATGAGCTGGATAGTTGGCTGTGTTGCAAGCATCACGAACGGCCTAACCAGATTCTTTCTCATGATGTGTCCGAAGGTATGGTCGGGGTTCTGCCATTTCGTATGTAAGGCAGCATTACCCGTCTCTTGGATCAACTTCTTCACTTTCACAGCGAGGATCTTGGGAGGGTATGTTTCGTGGAGGAAGAGCGTAGCGAGGATTTGAACGAAGAGATCGAGAATGGATGTACCCCAAAATACCCAACGCCATGTGGTATTTTGGGTAATCAGACCACCAGCAATAGGACCTAGTGAAGGACCGAGGAAGGGTGCGAGGCTGTAAATGGCGATGGCTTTGCCGCGCTCTTCAGCGCGCCAGCAGTCTGAGATGACGCCTCCTCCGATCTGGTTGACAGTCAGTCGAGACTTTGAAAGAAGATCAGACATGGTTAAAGGGCAGGGACTGTAACATACGGCTTGTGGAGCACTAGCCCCGAGACCACTCAGAAATCTGAACGCCAATATCTGCTCCTTGGACCGAGCAAATCCACAAACAGTGTTGAAGAGAAGAAATACAAGGTTAGCACCTTGAAGCACGACGACACGTCCGAATATTTCTGAGAGGGGTCCAATCAGGAAGGGACCGATTGCATAAGCGAGTAAGAAGATGGTCATGACGAGGGCCTTTTCAGAATCTTTCGTGATGTTGAAGTCTTCCCCGATGGTGTCGAGGGAAGGTGCAATCATGGTTGATGCGAGAGGCGAGATGAATGTGAAGCATGCGACTAAGAGAGTGGCTGTCCATCTTTGTCGGTTGGGCCAGTTCAAGGGATTGGTTGGATCGTCTTCAGATGACCATGTTACCTTGTACTTTCAGCGGATCAATGTTTTCTGAAAAGAAAATAGGTGGAACTTACCAAGCTAGGATCAACAGTTTCGTCGGGTTCGGGCTTGATGTCTGGCTCATCAATTTCATTGACCTCGGTCAGTCTCTCGAATTCTTGTCGTTCGAGATCGCCCTCTGACCTCTGTTCTCTAACAATGCCTCTGTATGAGCCTGTTAGAGACCAAGTGCGACCAAAGTTGCTCGGGAGATGTTGGAAGGGAAGTTGCGGGATCTCAAAATTTCGAAACGAAGGGAGGCGCCGGATGCCATATGGCGATGAAGCACTTTGCTCTAGCATTTGGAACGAGTGTGTTGGACAAGTAGACGTGAGACTGAAACAAACTTAGTGTGAAGGTGATGCGCAACTTGTCGTGATGTATAATGTGTATAATTATATCCTGTTGATATGTGTTGTTAGGGTTGGATGAAGAATCTCTACTTTTGCACTGCCATTCCTAAATCCTATACATAGAATCGACGAGACCACTATTTGCAGCCACACTGTCATAGGGATTAAGACATTTCAACCAAGTACAAGAGAGGTCTTGAGTGTTTAGCGGTGAATTGTAGCAAGGCGAAGTCACTGGGCATCTCGCTCCAAAGAAGAGTCTACTCCTGGTCTGTGCCTCGAGATCTTCATAGACGCACGAGAGCCCTACCGGATTCGATTGAAGTTCAGAGTGACAACAGGTAGGAGACTCCTGCATCCCGTGTCTGAGGCAGAGTGACGTATCTACATCCCTGCACTCCTTGTGTTCCAAGAACACCTACAATCTGCTGTCCATTCGGGATATTCCTCAAGATCTGAGGCGGAGTAGTTTTAGAACCTTGTCTCCTTGTCCTCTTGTCTCTTTCGAGAAGGAACCGAGAAAAGGTGGGGCTTGTCCCAATCGACTGTTGATTATGCTCATTTCACCCAATGGCATTCACGTTTTGTTTTGTTTGCCAACAGCTAAGCGACTCCACACATAGGGGCTGAAGTGCCGAGCGGCCATCCAAGACTGCCGAGCCGCTGTTGTCGATCGCTCACGACATCCGCGAATGAAATCAACCGACTACAACAATTACCGCGTAATGGCCGTGGCTGGAATGTCTTGATACTCTTATTTGGCTCTGCACAAGAGGGCGAGTCCAGTCCTTGAGGGTAGCAAATTCTTCGGGCCTTGGATTCTGCCTTGAAATTGTGGGCTGGCTCTTCTTAGTTTCCTAAGGGAAGATGTCATTCTAAGCCACTCAAATGCAAGCCAGGGATAACGTTCTCTGGTTTGTTGACTGGTGATTCGTAGAGCTTCTTTCGTGTGGTCAATCAGCTAAGCATGGATTTTAGAAGATCCTGAAACCCGTATCTGCAGTGGGCTCGAGGCACAATTCGTCGAATTCCAAATATATTTACTTGGGTACTCATTGGCATTCATAGTCGGAGAGAAACACGGTGCTCTATCGTGCCAGCAGCTCCTACTTCTAATTTCAGGCCGCTATTATGGCTGTGGCCTTGGGCACATGGCATTTGCTTGTCCTTCGATATCTTTCAGTCGATGTTAGTTAGCACGGACAAATGACAGATAGAAATCTGCAATAGGTGGATGTTCTTACTTGGGGATTTGCTCGCGTGTGCTCATGCCACTTCCGTCACTTTCTATATAGTGTCAACACAGTCGCTCAGCAAGTTCAATAAGCAATCACATCAAACACTCGTTCAAGAACATTCACTTGAAACATTGCACACTCGCTATACTTTCTCAGCCTTCTATCATCAAGATGATTTCAAGCATCCCCAAAACAACCGGCAGACCGATGAAAATCCTCGTTTCACCTTCAGGCTTCAAAGAGAGTCTCGAAGCAGATGTCGCAGCAGACTGTATTGAAGAGGGTATCCTCAGGGTCATTCCCAATGCCATCGTTCGCAAAGCACCTCTCGTCGACGGAGGAGAAGGCTTCACTCGCGCTCTAGTCCAGGCCACACAAGGACAACTCAAGTTCCTTGATGTAGTCGGGCCAGTCCAAACCGTAATCAGATCTTTCTATGGCTTCCTCGGAAGCGGATCAAAGACAGCAGTAATAGAGATGGCCGCCGCGGCTGGACTACGTCTTGTCCCACGCGACGCTCGGGATCCGGGATCAACAACCACTTATGGCGTCGGACAGTTGATTCTGGCTGCTTTGGATGATGGTGCAGAACATATCATTGTCGGGTGTGGTGACTCTGGAACCAGCGATGGAGGGGCTGGAATGGTGCAGGCTCTTGGTGGTCGTCTTCTCGACATTCATGGAGTCGAGCTTCCCAAGTCTGGAGGTGGAAACGATCTTTCCAAGCTACACGATATAGACCTGACCGGTCTTGATCCACGACTTCGAAACGTCAATATAGAGGTTGCATGCAACTGGCATAATGTGCTCTGCGGACCGAAGGGTGTTGCTCGAGTATTCGGACCTCAAAAAGGTGCAACACCAGAGCAAGTAGAAACACTCGCAGCAGGTTTGGATACATATGCGAGGATAGTCGAGCAGATCCTTGGTTATGATATATCGAAGGCACCAGGAAGTGGTGCTTCGGGTGGTTTAGGGGCTGGACTCATGATGGTGGGTGCGACCCTGCATCCCAGATTCGACGTAATCATGAAGTACTTTTGCATTGACGACTTGATGGATGATTGTGACCTCGTCATCACTGCAGAGGGCGGAATAGACTATCAGACACCTCGGGGGAAGATTCCCGCTGAAGTGGCTAGGAGAGCAAAACAGAGAAAACTTCCGGTCATCGCGCTGGCAGGAACTGTTGGTGTTGATGCTGATGTGAACTATCTGGCAGGCATAGATGCTTTTGCAAGTATCATGCAGTGCCCAACTTCACTCGAAAATGCAATCGACCAAGCCGAGCGATTGCTTAAAGACGGTGCTGAAAGCGCGATGAGGATGGTAGTCGTCGGAAGGGGATTGAATGAGGAAAAGAGAATGGCGGATATGGCAGCCCTGTCAGCGAAATTGTTCGGAGAGAAGCTTGTGAAACCACTGCTTAGGGTGAACACGACTTGATCGGGGGCGAGACGAATAGTTTCCTTTGGCTCGTGATTGACAGTTATACTTCTGATACCATTGGGCGTTCTGGACTATCGCGATACTGCAATTGATATTTCTGGGATGGCGGATTTTGTGTGCCATGGCAATATTCACTCTCATTCAAATTTAGTACATATGTATGACTACTTAGGTCGCAAGGCTGCAAGATTGTGAAGCTTCCAAGAAACACATTGCCAGTGAGCATTCTGTGGATTATTCCATTTTGTGATCCAGTGGGGGCTTCGTGGTGCATGCATTGTACATTCAATGCCATAAACAAGACCAAATGACCAAAGACTACATTCTCCTGACTAACACAGACTGGTGTGTATACTGTGTACATATTTGACATTAATTTTATCTCTGTTTTTCGATTTACGTATTTCTAAATTCATTAGAGCTTTGGTATCTACCTTATCCTGTGGTCGACTAGACAGCATTCTAAATCGCATCTGCAGTGACCCCTCTACTCAATATTCACATCACAGCACCGTTCTGGCCGATTCCAGTGGTTGCAGGCAAAGTAAGCATTACTGCGGTATGCTACGGAAGAACGAACACAGGTATGGGCTGTTTTCATCTCCTCAGCGCGAGTAGGGAATCCTGGTTTCATCCCCAACGAGATGTCCAGCAGACGATTTGCGGTATTGCGAATAGATATTATTATCGCATCGAGTCTGAAGTCTGCTTGGCTTGCGATCTAGCAAACAGGGGATTCTTATGAATACACGAGTACCTGCGGTAGCATTATCTGCTGTTAATGATGTTCTATCCTATAGTTTGTCAATTGGGACTAGCGGAGTAGATCTTGGATACCGAAAGCGTGCGGAGAGGTGCGTGCAAAAACACATCTGCAAATGACTGCCCACCTGAAGTATTCAACTGTTGAGGCAGGGGGAATTTCAAATGATGGGATTTGCTGGGATAGCAGCGGCGAGATTTGTGCTTGTACCTATATCTAACCCCAGTTGCCCTCTGCGAAATCCGAGTTGGGTTGTTCTCAAACGTAATGAGACAGTAACTTTGAGCGCATGATTCTACCAGTTAGCTTAAAGCCATACTACAAACTGAACATGCCAGTGATACCAGGAGAACTGATACACGGGATCTAGCAGGGTGAAGATTGAGAGCCATTTAGGAGGATTGTTTGTCCCTGTATATCAGAGAGATTCGAGTAGCGAAAAACTTGGCAGACCGTAACCAGTGACGAAAGAGCAGGTTCGATGCAAGGCACCAGGATAAAAGGTGATATTGGAATCTCGGGGTCGATATGTTATGTGAGATAGTCAAGGTAAGTACGGGCGATTCTAATGCGTTGTGTATAGACTGTGGCGTGCTTGTATTCTGTTGTTCTGTGGTGGGAGTGCGTTGGTTGTTTCGGAGGCATTCCCCACGTCAGAAAGCCAAAATCCCACCACACATGGAAAACCAATCAGAAACTTCGAAAGCATTCCATCAATGCCAAATTCTAGCTTACTCGTTGATAAGCTTTGCATTAATGAGAGCGAGACTCGTATTGCTAGGGAGTGATTACAATAACTAGAGCAATGCTCTTCGGCTACTCCTGGCTGTCAAATGGTCCTCGAAGGCAAAGGGGCTTTAAGAATTAAGAGCTTCTGACAAACCTAGGTTCTAGCATATCATTTCCCTAGCAGCTGTCACTTGCTTGTGGCACAGGTGGTCTCGCTACTTGCTTCTTGCCGTGAGACAAAAAGGAGTAACTCTTCATCATCCAAACCTTGCTGAAAGAACCAGTTTGTTTTCGCTGGGCACAAATCTCAACATCGTTTAAAGACTTCGAAGTACGTCCTCTTTCTCAAGTTCGACATGAAATGATGTCATTTCTTAGTTGTCTCCGAAAAGACAATTTTCTTCGTGGGGCGGATAAAGTCCACGTCTCAGGGACTGTTTACAAACGTCAATGGCAACACTTCAAATCACAAACAACCCAAAGCTAATATGGATGACTTGGATTACGTCAGGAGGTACTCTCACCCTCGGACGTAGAGTTTGGCTTCTGCTTAGGAATTGAGATCAATCCAGGTGCTCCCCTCATTACCTGTGAACACGTCTTGAAGCAAACTTGTTTTCGACTGTCACTGGAAACTATAGATCTTTGCACAAGCTCAACCTACATCTGGCTATGGACCCTACGCTGTCTACGACCCATTATTTCACTACTATTACGATGACCAAATACCAACCCAGCTCTCGCTCTCCGCAATCAATCAGGCTATTGTACGTGTTATCTCGCGTCTCAATTTTTTCATACCTTCTCAGAGCTAACATTCAAGAAGCCCACACAATACCACCTTCCTGCAGAAATGCCGACGGTATGTCTGACTTGTAGAAGTAATTGGAGTAATTTGGAGCTACCTTAATGACCGATTACGAAATCCAGGTTTGGTAAGGCACAGCAGCTACAGTGAGAGCGCCCGGCCCAGCTGCCAATCTAGTAGACTCCCTCAAGCAAAACTTAGCTTTATTCCATATTCTAACGTGTTAATGTGTTAAAGGCCTTGGAACGGCCAAGTAGCTTCACCTGCTACACATACAGTCTTTGAATATGCTGGCACTCCAACAGCTCTTCTCCGCCTCCACAATATGCCGATTGAACGAGATAGAACCTAGGCCTGGTTTTAAACAAGATCCTGTCAATAATACCGCAGCTCGTACCGTAACGCTTCAATGGGCTACTGTGTTGGTCGAGAGTTCGCGGTCCTATGTGACAGATGCAGGAGAGGATGTGGGCCCTACCCACGGTGCGTTCGGATGCCATTGCTAGACGACGAGGGTGTCTGTACGTGCTGCTACAACACAAGCCACGTAGAATGGTGTACTTGGAAGAATGGTATATTAGTGTGTTTCATTTAATCAGCTTCTGCTAACATACAATACTTTTCAGCCGCATAAGCAACATGTAGTTTGGCGATGCATATGCTGGGAAAAGTGCTTTACCCTCGCAGATCATAGAGGATGCAGTGATGCTGTTACCATACGTTCTCAAGCTGGTTCAGCCAACGAGGATGTTAGATAACTACAATCGAGACCTTCAAGAATCGTCCAACCGTCAGTTCAAGCAGGGCCTCTTTCAAGCATATCGTGACTATCGTTGACATGGGTAAGTGCCCCATCCAGAAAAGAAAAGAAAGGCATCAGAACTTTTGCATAGATTGACAATGTTCATGATCTCTGGGATTTGTATTCAGAACGTTATACCACCATGAACAGCGAGTGCTGGGGTAGCATGCAGTACATTTGTGTCAGCCAAAATCGTGTTCCAGAATTTAATCCTAACTTTGCAGGCTAGAAAACACGTAATGCATCCTCATTAGATTCTATTTCATCTGCTCTTCTCTATCTACGGGTGGCATTGTCCGTTCCGTACGAGCTCCCAAGAATCATATTTTCTGCGTCAATACTCTACCAAATCCTGTTCTTCTATATCAGCTCTGACACCAGAGGATGGATCTAGGAAACATCCTCGTAGATTAGCACATTTGAGCACAAGTTTGCGCAAAAGATTTTTGTGCGAATAAGAACATAAATACCAAACAAGCGTTTGGATTGCGGTGATATCAATGTGGCTGTAGATTGGTCTACCGATCGAATTTCAAGAGGAATAGGATGAAACATAATGAGCGTGTCTTGTGGACTGCTGCAAGTTAAGGTTGACATTTCGCTTCAGGCTTTCAATACCTAAGTAGGCCTAGCCTTCAGTGGCCTCAGCGCCATGTGCACAGGTCAACCCTGGCAGCAGCCCAGAGGATAGCAATAAGCAACGCTGGTAATTCAACAACGACTTCGATATTGGAAAGTTTACCAAAACCAAATTGAATCGATGTTCTGGATCTTTCCCAGATTTTTGATACTTTCGTAGCTGCATAATCGAGTCGAGACCCCACAACGTCCCCACACCAGTATATTTGTCTAGAGTCTCCAGGGGACATTTCTAATGTACTATTTCGAGCCAGTTTCTTTTTTAGTTTTTTTGGAAAGGGGGGGAGGATTTCGTGTCCAGCTAGAAGATTTGGCCGTCTGCGTCAGGCCTTCTACTTAAGACAGTTTGTTGAAGTCTTACAAATCTACAAGAGTAGCAAAGTATCACCGACACTGCTAGAAACCCAATGTCGGAGGGGGTCCATACGAAAAGCCTAGCCGTGGCAACGTTGTGCTACAGAGGAGATTTCTGGTCACTAAATACGCGAGCCAGTAGAAATTTCTTGCTTGTGTACGGCTCGTTCGTGAAGTCCTTTGTCCTTTTCCACCATGATTCCTCCTCGCCCTGGCGGCAGGCTATGCGACATCGAATCCAGAAAGGGTAAATCGTCAAGTAACAATCCCTTGTCAAAAAACAATCTTGCCTCTGATTATACCTGGATTGCGGATGTGGTTACCTTGTGCCACCAAGGGAGCCAGTAACTTGGGATGACCTATCAGACCAAGGAATAAACGATAAAAAGTGGGCTTCTTTGCTGGCGAGAGGCGCAAGTACAGCATCATGGATCATCTAGACTGCAAACGGGACTCTGTCCGTGAAACACGTTCATGAAGACCTCTCATTCGATACCTTTTGGGATTGATATAAATTAGCATCCACTGTGTCGTACTCATGATAAATTATATACATAATTGTGTCATGGATTGTCTATATATATAAGAGAAGCAAACCCCAAGCATCAGGGTCTTTCTCTTACACAACAACACCTTTCTTATTCTTACAATCATTCGCTGTTCTTACAATTCCATCTTTCACGATGCATCTAATCACTCTCATTAATATTTTGTCCCTTCCTCTGGCTTCGGCCGCGCCTGTCAGCAACGAAAGTTGCAGCATGGAGGAAGACTTCACTGTTGGCCAAACCGTCGAAACAAGCAGCGGTCCGGTTACTGGACATGCCGCCACTAAGTTTCCAGAGGTATCTGTCTATCTAGGCATTCCATTTGGACAAGCTCCTATCGGAGACCTGAGGTTTGCAGCGCCTGTAAAGTTCGTCGGGTCTTCCCCAATCAATGGCTCCGACTTTGTAGGTTCTCAGCGTGGCTCTAATATTTCTTGCTAAAGCTGACACATCTTGAGGGAAGTACATGCCCTCAACTCCCAAGCGCAGGCGGTACTGCTCCCACACCAGAAGCAATTGCATTTTCCAATGTTACCGCTGTCGGTCTCGAGCTTTTCGGTGCAATCGGAATTACTGGGACGACGAGCGAAGACTGTCTGTCTCTCAATATCTGGACCAAGCCGCAATCAGGCGAGGGAAAAAAGGCTGTTATGATCTACATATATGGAGGTGGATTCTCATCGGGTTCTTCTGCAGTATCTATCTTCGACGGCTCTGCACTTGCAGAACAGAAGGACGTCGTCATTGTTACTTTCAAGTATGTCGAAGTTGAATACTCGATCTAATTTCATAACCTCTGATCACTTTCCAGCTACCGAACATCTATTCTCGGCTTCCCAGGAAATCCATACGGCCAAAACAATATCGCTTTCTTGGATCAACGGCTTGCTATTGAATGGGTGCATGACAATATCGCAAAATTTGGCGGAGACCCAGAGCGCGTCACCTTGTTCGGTCAATCAGCGGGTGGTGCCTCGACAGATTATCTCACATATGCGTACGCCTCGGATCCGATGGTCCACGGAGTTATCGCACAGTCAGGAAGTGTCTTTGCCTTCGGTCTGCCATACCCAGCAGAAACCATAGCGGTAAATTGGTACACGGTCACTGAGACTGTTGGCTGTGGAAATGCAAGCACCGATGCCACCCAGCTGCTGGAATGTATGCGTACCGCTGACATTGATGCAATTATGGCTGCTGTTCCAACTTCAGGCTTGTACGCAGTCTTGAGTGCCTTCGGTCCATCCGTCGACAACACTATTGTCTTTGCCAACTACACCAACGAGACACCTGCTAGTATCCCGGTTCTTGTCGGCAGCAATGACTACGAAGCAGGCATGTTCCGTACACAGTAAGTGACCACCTTTCCGACGTTTTTCTTTCGCTCCACCCATCCGTTTGTATTGTTTTCTTCAGCCAATAGAACATAGCTAAAGTCTCTACCTTCCAGGCTGGCATTGGGTGGTGCTGCCTTCGCCGATTCTGATTGGGACGAGATGAATCTGTCAATCTACACGTGTCCAACTGGGCAGCGAGCAAATGCCAGTATTCTAGCCAGCAACCCAACCTGGCGCTACCGCTTCCACGCCATCTTCCCCAACATCAACATCAGTCCCGAAAGTGGGGCTTACCATGGGGCCGAACTCACCCTCCTTTTCGGAACCGAGTCCCAACTTGAACCTTCCACTGTAGAGGAAGACGCCTTTGCAGAGTATCTCAAGGGAGCCTGGGTTGCGTTTGCGAAAGATCCTGTTGCTGGACTGAGCTCTTACGAGGGTGGCTGGCCGATGTATGACCCTGCTGGAGAATCGCTCGTCAGACTTGGTTTTGAGAATAAGGTTGGCACAAATCTAGGCTTCCCTGAGTTGTATGATGCTGGGTGTTCGGAGGCGAGCCTGACGGCGCTGCTTTGTAGAATCTTTGGGCAGTTGTGTTAGTTCTGGATTCTCCGGTGATACATCCAGGGCTGTGATGTGGAGAACAGAGATCATGCACGATCCCATATCCGTTCTTAGGTGCTGTCAACCCGCTACCTGTTCTGCAACGACTGAAGAGAAAATATTTTTTCTTTCCACCACATATCTACTTTCTTGACTTATAAATACATCAAAACCATAAAATATATGTAGTATTGCACTAAATGGATGCTTTATTATGTTCAATTACCAGTTTGTTGATTTGTCCTCCACTTTCGCTTATTTTTCGGTGACATCCGGCACACCCCTGCACATACCCTCACCGATGGTGCTTAACAAGGCTCGGCCAAAAAATCATGGCAGCCCCAGCCAAAGTGCTAGCATCCTTGGGAAGTTGGGAGTTCCCAGTCCTGTGACAGGATCCCAACCCTTCACACTTTGGAAGCCAGGGGTTCCACAGCCCTGATTACCGCCACTTGTGATATCATTCATGACACCAGGATGAGCATACAAAGTCGGGTTCATAAAACCCACTGAGCTCTTCCCGATAGCCAACCGAGCAGAATTGATCAGTGTGACGACACTTCCGAAAGTCGGTGCGCTAGCACTAGTTCCAAAGACGTAGCTGAAGTTCCCATCGACCGCCACAACGTAATTGACACCATTGGCAGAGACGTCAGGATAACCACGGGACATTTGAGACGTATTGTAGCGGTCGGAGCCGTATGAGGGTTTGTGTTGCGTGAAGTAGGTTTTCACCGCGTTTGATTGATACGACGGCATGGAGAACACGTTGGAAAACCCCCCGCCAGAGTAAATGACACTCTCTGCAGCTTGCTCGGGCTGTGTCACGCTGGCACCCGGAATAACTTGAGTGGCGCCGACGGAAGTTACGTCTGAGCAGTTTAGCTGACTGAATATGGAGGACGGATGGGATACTTACAAGGACAAGTACTTGGGAAAGACGGGTTGAACATCCCAGATTGACCTAGCAATTGAATATGAGTCATATACGATCTGCTGAAAGTTGATCTACTTACCTGCGTTATATTGTCCTGTAACAGGATCGATACATTGGCCGCCATTACCAGCAACACCATAATCACCCGATGAGTATAGAAATGTGACACCTTGGAGACCAAGCTTCATATACTCGTGGCATTGTCGATTCTCATAGAATGGAGTCAAATCTGCTTCGTTGTAGCCGTAAGACGTCGAAATCACTCGCGTCGCAGCGAACCCTCCACTGGTCAATAGATCAGCATTAAACATTTGGGTAAGGTCAATATCTCCACATCAATTGGTGACGTGGTAGGGGCTAAGCCACAGAAGAAGCACGAATGATTAGTCTTACCAGTTCTCAGGGCCTTTATAGACCCCGGGCCCTGTTCCTTCTGTATCTGGATAGGTTGCATCTTGAGTTGGGTCATCGCCACCTTGGTATGTGCAATAGCTTCCGTCAATTGCATCGAGAAAATTGTTGAACGAAGCACCTTCGTAATTATCTCCTACTTGATACAGGGTGACCTTCTGAGGATATACCAGTGACATGGCGTACTGAAGGTCGAGATCCTGAGATACTCCTTAGCTGTGATCTGGGCCGAGCACCACTATTACTTACAGATTCTCCGTTGTAGCCGAATGCCTGCCTGTCGGTCTGAAGATAACCCCCATCAATGGAATTCAAGATCGGTCGTTGACCTACAGCAGAGGGCGAAAAGTTTGCGAAGAACTTGTCTAGATCACCTGGCAGATACGCTTGTGGTGTGTACTCGACAATACCATAAGAGTCTTATTGGAGTTCGCAGTTAGCTGGCCGAAATTCCGTTGAGACAATAGATTACTCACTCTTGGGGTTCGCCACGAAAGCGGGAGGAAACTGATACAACGCTCTCAGACAATTTGGGACAATAGATTTGTCACAATGCTCCAACTGGTCAATGATGGTGCCGAAAGGAATGCGACCTCCATTCTTGGGCAATGATTTGTCTCCTGGGGATCCGATTGAATGGCCGATTCCTGGTTGGACGTTGTGGCCTGCTGCGGCTGTCTGACGCTTTGCAAGAGCTATATCGCTTGCATCCATCGCACGTTTCTTCTTTCTGGGCTCGATCTGGGCATCGAAGTGAAGGGTAGGAATGATGAAGTCAACGTGCCGTTGAACATGTTCTGGAACCGAATATTGTTCGCAAGCGACATGAGCCTGGCCACTTTCGAGGTGCGTGAACTCATAATACTTGGTGCTCAAGAGTTTCTCGGCTTCCGCAACGGTCACATTGGCGTGCAACCAGTTCAGTCCTTGCGATTGTTTGATGCGGTCTCTGGAAATCGCAGATTGTGCGAGCCAGTCATAAATTGCTGTCACTGTTTCTTGGCTGGGAGCAAACATCTCAGCAACCTCCTTTGCCGTCCAGTGCTTGCCGAAGTTTGGTGAATCTGGATGGGACACGTCTAAGAGGAATTCATCTGCTCTATGAAGGTTGTTTTGAGTGAGAGCAATACGCAAAGGGATCACTGAATCCTCGTGCATAGTTGCGCTTTTGACCCAATGTGTGGGAAGACGGTCCCTCCTTTCATGGACGACATGTCTTGGAGCAAGAGCTGGTGCCGTAAGGGCCACAGTGACAAGAGAAGGTAGAGCAAGGATAAACAAACGCATGACGAAGGTTGGACTGGGGATATAGAGATGTTCATGCTGAGGGGACATTTGGCTTTTATGGACATTAGAGACCAATGCCGTTCTAGCCAATTCTTGTTCGAATCTAGCGATCAACAGTGTAGGAACCAGAGCCTTCCTAGGAGAGGAAGCTCTGTTGGCAAAAGCCTGCCTATCTTCCAGATGGTCGCGATGTACAGGGTACTTCCGACCGACCTGACGAGCATCTGCAGCTGGTGGCTTGCATAAATACTCAATCCAGATAGAAGCTACCGTTGATCCCATGTCCGGGAGCCTACCCCGCCAATGAAAGTAGCCGTCCGAATGGAGATCTTATCTGGCAGCCCCTCTTCTTGAAGCTTAAGCTTGACAACCTTCCACTTATGGAACTAGACTGCCTTTCAAATGGCACTTTAGATGATACAAGCATGGATCGACAGAGGCTTGAAAGCTTGGTGGTCGTCACAATGCTTATTATGACCCAAAGCAACGCCACAATAGAGCAAGTGAGAGATATGAAAGGTGAATTCAGTTGAGGGAATGTGGTTTTGGTTTTCCGATGGCATTGCAATATAATCAGCTGCATCGAACCGAAGCCGACCCTGAAGCCTTTCATCTCCGAGATATGACGAAAGAGAAGAAGAGGAAGAAGCGGAGAATAAGAAGCTCATAGCCTTCATACCCATACCCATACCCATACCCATTGTCTTCGAATCAAGCTTCTGGCCCGTTATCGAGTATTTCTTTCCCGCACAAAGTAGTGACGACTTCAATACCTAGTGCCCAGTTCGAGCCTGGGCCTAGCTAGAAAAAGGAAGGTGGGCGAGCTTCTTCCCACGGCAGGCTGGTAGCTAGTCAAGCGGGGTAAAGTAGGTAGGTACTTACGAGTCACACCAGCGTAACCTCGAGTACTCGTAGGTGCAATGTTGTCTGCATATCTCCAAGCATCTACCTTGCCTACCTCAGGCAAGACGCGACACGATCTGTGGGTATCCTTTTGGACGTCAATATCCTCCTGTCTTGTCCTGTCCTGTGTTCATTCACCTCCGTTCGTTCCCGTTCCAGTGTGCGTTTTAGCGCGAGAGCTCGGATACAGTATCGATGGTCACGTGCTGGTCACCACACCATCTGCAGGTGCAAACGACGGGCACACCACCACATCTCTCCAATCGCAAACGCTCGCATCATTTCTTGCCGTCAGGTACCTCGAAGCCTTGTTTGACAACTGACGCGAAGTGCTGGAGGATGTCCAAACGCAAGTACGTTCACTCTGGCTATCCATGGAATCCAGTACAATCTCTTTAATTTGGCGCTTCACTAACCGCTCAGATCAGATTAACACAATTGCACGATTCTAGGGACAATTGCACGATGAGCCAGAGCCTCCTTATCACCTTCTACGAAGAAGCCCAGCCAGACCATCGCGGCCGCTATCTATCAGGCATCCTTAATTGGAATGCCAACAAGCTGGAGTCAGCTCATGACTATATCCAAATCGTCTTTCCGCTGCCTGAAGAGTCTGGCGTTCAATGGAACGCGCCAACGATTAATCGTCCAGTGTTTGATGCCTTCCGTACCCGGCCTGAGTTGAGAGAAAGAATGAAGGACTCTTTCAAAAAAATGATGTGGTTCTATGGTTTTGTATTAGTGGAGACAGACGATAGCATCAGGGTATGTTTCCTACCATGGCCATGACATGGGATCTTGATATAATACTTGGACTTCTAGGTTCATAAGGGTGCAAACTGGAACAATCATTCTGGCCACTGGGATGTCCGATTCGATCATAATCACCTTCGCATCACCAGAATTATTCGCTGTCTACGCGTCCTTGGTCTCGAGGATGAGGCTCAGGCCTTCTACGATGCCCTTGAGCAGAATGCTCTGCGAGTCAGTGCTCGGTCGCGCGAGTACTGGCGCCGTGCTGCTCGGAGAACATTGAATCTTCGTCCAGATCTCGAGGATCGCCAGATAGACGGTGATGATGACCTCAGCGTCGGCCCAAAGTTTCTAAGAGAGTTTGAGGAGCTTCAAAGGCACATCGCGGAGTCGAAGAAGGCCGATGACAGTATTTCTGGTACGGTTGGAATAGGCATCGGCGCTCTGGGTGAAACTGCGGAGAAGGAATATCCAGTCGAAGAGCAGAATGGAACGGGGTTGGTTGGGATGGAGGGAGCAGATTTGAAAGGCACTAACACCAAAGAGCCGGCCGTTAAGCACGCCAGTAGAGTAGGAACTGAAGGAAATGAAGCCAGTCCCAAAGTCGGCAATGAGATGGAAGGACCCAAACTGGACGGTACAGGCCCTCAATGATTCTAAATAGGCCTCGAGGGACCTAGCTACCGCCCGCATAGTAGGTGCTTGGCAGTCTCATGGGCCGCATATGATGATGAACTTATGGTTTGGTGGTTTGTTACATTTCTCGAAGAACTAAAAGCTTCTTCGGATTGGTGAGATGATACCCTTGGGCAGCCAGCGTTACTAGAAAGCAATGAATTTTTCTCCAGATGACACGCTATGGATCGCTTATTTGGCAGATGAATCGAAACAGAGGACAGTGACGTGACCATACATAAGTGGAAGCAGCCAGGTGGGTAATCTCCTCTGCGCCAAGTTCTAAACAGTTATTCTGACATTCTATCCTTTCCAAACGCAAGTAGCGGTACCACCCCAACCAAGTCCTCGTCTTCCTGATCAACCTCAAAATCGAATCTGACCAGGCTTTCTGTTAGCGGAAGCACATAGGACGTCTTCAACCTGGTGCTCGTGTCAGCAATCTGCTGCATCAATCGGACGCAACCCGTGGTGTCACTGCCCACCTACTTTTCGTGCTCTTCGGTTGCATGATACTCTGCCACTGCTTCCAAGTCTACGTGGTAGCTCACAAGCGCGCAGTCATATCCTTTACTTTTACTGATTGGGTCCGTTAACGAAGGGCCGCCAACGATGAGTCTCCCGTCTTTGACGCAGCTCAAGGTTTTGAGGCTTTTGGCTGTTTTGACAAACTCGGCTCTCTTCTCCGCAGTCACGTCAGCCTTGAATTTGAACAGAACTACGTTGCCAGTCAGAAATGCGATTGGTTGGTCACTTAGAAATGTCCAGTGGGTTAAGGATTACCGATGTGGATGATTGTCATTTTGAACGGCCAGCGAGGAAAGTGGCCGTCGATGAACTTGTCGGAAGGATGTATGTGGCTGATAAAAACAGATCTCGTTGTTGAGGAAGCACCTATGGAGATTTGAGGGATTATTACAGCAGATATTAAAAAATTTCTTGACGAAGGCTCGCAGGCAGGTCGGAGAGTAGGTAAGGCAGGTAGCCTGAGTCAAGCGAACGTGACCTGTGCGGGTGGTGACAGCCGAAGTGCGGGTCGCCTTCCGTCGTCACGGGCCAGCTTCCGTCAACTCATTCTCCCTCAACGATTCATTCCCCCCGGTCATCTTTCCAAAGAGTAAAATATTCATCAATACGTCTACATCCAACGATGCTTGGGCGGGAGGCAAGAAGCGGCTGTGAGCCGACTGGCAGTTCACCTGCTGCAGCGTCATTGGATCGAATTCAATCCCGGAAAGGGACCAGAATCAAATTTGCATGTTTGAGATGCCAAAAGAGGAAGATCAAGGTAAGCCTGTGCCTGTCTGCAGTCATTTGAGTCTCTGACAAGCATTACCTTTGGTGTATCGAAACAGTATAGCTGATACCCGAGGTCTTTGGAAGTGCGATGGGGCGTCTCCTGTTTGCTTCCAGTGCCGAAAAGCCGGGGCTGCTTGCTCTGACGCGATGAAGCGGAACGACAAGTACTCCAAAGCGTATGGAATCTCTCTCATTTCGTGCTATCATCTAGTATTGTGGTAATGCTGACTCCACGGAGCTATGTGACTAGCCTACAAGATAGAATTCATTGGCTTGAAGCAACGTTGACGACGCGCTGTCCTGACATTGATGTAAGAAGCGGGCCGAGAGTCAGCCATGACAGCAGCTCCCAGGATGGAGAGCAGAGTACTGTTACTCTAGATGGAGAAGCTCAGCATTCTACTCGAAGCTCTATCCCATCAGCTACAGACACTACTCAGCCAGAACACATGGCCCACGAGATCGGATTATTATCAGTGACCGCTGGGCAGGACCTTCGGTATGTAGGACCTTCAAGCGGTTACTCTTTCGCAAAGCTACTATTCGCAAGTATCGGCAGATGCCATACGAATCGTCGTCAGAATGGATATGCACAGGCCAAATCGACACTTGCAAGCGAAGCCTTTCAGATTGCACCAGTCCCACTCCCTTCAACTCTGGAGAACGCTGTGCAGTTGTCTCAAGCGTATTGGGACACGATTCACTGTCAATACCCAATCTTACATCAACCCACTCATACTAAACTCTTGAGCCACGTTTTCAGTTCAGAGAATCCCAGTCCTGTAGCAGCTTTCCAGGTGTTCATGGTACTGGCGATTTCTACTACCATCCTGTCCCGCCAACTGAAGTTACCTTTATCAGCCGAAGGTTACTGCGTATCAGCCATGGACTACTTCAGCAATATATCTATTGAAGGGTCATTGGAGGGTCTCCAGTGTTTGCTGCTCCTTCAGATGTACGGAATGAACAACCCTTCCATGGGATTGAACCTTTTCTACCTCAACTACCAATGCATAGCATCTGTCCTGGACCTCGGACTTCAGCGTGATGTCAGAGCTGGGAGAAATCTATCTTTTCTAACTCAAGAAATGAGAACGAGAGTCTTCTGGGTTGTGTATTCTCTGGACAGGACACTGGGCACAATAATGGGACGACCAATAGGGCTAAGAGATGAGGCTTGCGACCTGCGCGTAGGTGTCCTAGAATGCATTCTGACCCGCCACGGATCGTTAGCTGACATCAGTAATAGTTACCAGGGGATGTAGATGACGAAGGTCTGCTGGCTCAATATCCCATCCCTAGGTCAGACAACGACCCACCTACCTCGACTACTAACGCGATCCACCTTATGAAACTTGCACAACTGAACTCTGAGATCAAATACATCGCTAACAGTATCTCGCGGAGTACTCCGGCTTACACTTATCCCCAGATTCCAGATGTTCTGCAATGGCAGACGGACATTCTCGGCCGACTGCGGCAGTGGGCTGGCGAAATCCCTCAGCTCTCCCAGACACAAACCAAATTCAGCAAAATAAAGTATCACGAGGTGGTGATGCTGTTACTACGTCCAAGTCCAGCAATTCCCAACCCGTCTCATGAGTCATTGTTTCTCTGTAACGAAAGTGCAACTGCTACAATTCGGATTTTCGACCAACTGTATCGGGATAATTTACTTGTCTTCACTTGGCAAATCCTTCACTCGATCTTTTTGGCAACCGTTACCATGCTATACTGCACCTGGAGTGTTCCGAGGGTGACGAGGACCACGATCGTCGAGACGTTGATGATGGATCTGAATACGTCGTCAAGCGTTCTCTCCGCACTCGCCGAGCATTTCGTAGATGCTAAGCGAGGTCGAGACATTCTGGACGAATTGTCTTCGGTTACTATTCGCTGGATAATGGGAAAACATGGGTCGGCTGCATCGACTGGTCAAATGCCACAGTCTGTCACATTATTGAAAGAGAGCTCCGCCGCGCACAGCTGTGAAGCTGGGAGCGGTCACGAGAAAGACAGTCGGGACCCAACAGATGAAGCAGATTTGGCGCAATTCAGTAGCGAGTCATCATTCACTACACAACCTTTTGACGACTTTTTCACCCCAGAGTCTTGGGACTCGCTCTTCGGCATGCCAAATGACTATGGACTCCCGTTTCATATCGACACTATCATGCAGGGTGTTTTCAATGACTACCAACCAGAGTTCGAGTTCGGACAGAGCTTTGGGCTAGACAACAAGCTGACGGGCGATCCTGTTCTGTAAGGTTACTGTGAGCGGGGAGAAGTGCGAGTGCGGGAAAGCTGCTCGGTTGACGTGCTACTGTACTGTGGATTGATGATTGCCACAGGTGTTGAATTGAACTTTTATCATTTGTCTACTTGACTTAGGTGGTCCTTTCTTCATGCTCGCGTATCTTTTGCTCGTAAGAAGTCCTGTACCAACTATCCACTAGCAATATTGCTGTTTTGACTCATGGTATGCACACGATATATAAACCACGGTGTACCTGTGCTGACTTCAACCCGCAGGGTGACGCCCGAGGGCTTGATGAAGGTTTTATTGGAACCACTGTCACGCAGAATGTTTCATTGTGGTTCTTCCTCCCTGAGACGGCAGGAAAGTCGTTAAAGAGCATGGACGAGATGTTCAACTTGCCGTGGCATGATGTTGGGCGTTAAGGCACTTTATTGACAGCAGGGCAGGGGAGTGGGCAGAGGCGATGGCGAGGGGTGATTCGGCAAAGGTTGCTACAATACCGTAATGGAAAGTGCTGTCCTGGGCACACTGTCCCAAAGCACTCAATCAAAAATTCATAAGCAGCAGTTACCTAGAAAATATTGACAGTCCCCTGACGCTAACTTCATCATCGCCCTGCGAAACAACTCAAGGTACCTAGGTAGGTCTAACAGCGTAATTGGTCACGCGCTCCATGAATAGTAGGTAGGTCATGCTGAACAAGTTCAGGATTCGGCTGAGAGGAAAGCTCGACGAATGTCATGCTGGGCATATGTTGGGGGAGGAGAAACAAGTCCATTGGCTTATGATTAGATGGATATGCGGCTTTCGAGTCAGTGGAATATGAACCTGTGGACTAATAAACCTGTGCTTGCAAGATCAGTCAACGCCTCCAGGGACCGTACGCTGAAGGGGCAGGGTTTGTTCGCTAATTTCGTAAATGGCTCCTCCTCCTTCGGACGCCACTAAATGCCCTGTCGGAATCTCTCCGTTCGGCGACGGAGCCCGACCCGCCCCTCTTCAATTCTTCTTTGTACAATATATTCGGCCCTCATTTTCCAGAGGCGTCGGGTATTTATATTTGTAGATATCTGACGTACTTCCAGCCAAGTCACAGCCCCTTTCTCTTTTCTTTACCACCGATCAGAAAGAAGAAAAAACTCCAAATTAGCTCCTCATGAACCCTGCCATGTCATCTAGCCAGCCCCCTCACAAAATCCACATCTCCTCAGCCGCCGCCAAAACATTCACCCAAAATCTCCTCGTGGCCCACGGCGTCCCTCCACAGAATGCCTCCATCATAGCCCATGCCCTCGTCCTCGCCGACCTACGCGGCGTCGACACTCACGGCATCATGCGTCTTGAACCCTACATCAAACGCATCCGCTCCAAAGCTCTGGATCCGCGCTCGTCTCCCACTTTGCATCAAGTCACGCCCGTAGTTGCTCAAGTCGATGGGAACAACTCTTTTGGTTTCCTAGGCGCACATATGGGTATGCAAGCCGCTATTAAAATGGCGCAGACTTTCGGGATTGGGATGGTTAGCGTCAAGCATTCTAATCATTTCGGGATGAGTGCGTGGATTGTGCAGCAGGCCATCGACGCTGATATGATGAGTCTGGTGTTTACGAATTCCTCTCCAGCACTGCCTGTTTGGGGTGGCAAGGAGAAGTTGATGGGTGTCAGCCCGATTGCGTGTGGTGCTCCTGGTGCTGAGGGAGGCAAGCCGTTCATTCTTGATATGGCGCCGAGTGTTGCTGCGAGAGGTAAGATCCATAAGGCGGCTAGGAGGGGCGAGAGAATTCCGCTTGACTGGGCGTTGGATAAGGATGGTGAGAGGACGGATGTTCCCGAGAAGGCGTTGCAGGGTGTGATGTTACCCATGGGTGGGCCGAAAGGCAGTGGGTTGAGTATCATGATGGATGTGTTTTCGGGCGTATTGTCAGGTAGTGCGTTTGCGGGCGGCGTAACTGGCCCGTATGATACCTGTGGGAAGGAGGCGGATGTGGGACATTTCTTGGTGGCTATCAAGCCGGATTTGTTTATGGGTTTGCAGGACTTCAAGGAGAGGATGGGGGTACTGTATGAAAAAGTTGTTGGGTGTGAGAGGATGAAGGGAGTGGAGAGGATATATTTTCCCGGTGAGATCGAGCAGGATATGTGTGAGGAGAGGTTGAAGAGTGGTATTCCGTTTGTGGAGGCCGAAATTGAGGTGTTAAATAGGGAGGCTGAGGCAGTTGGGTGTGCCAGAATAGAGACAATGTCTTGATAGAGACCTTTGGTACCCCCTTTTACCTTGCTTCAGTCATACTTGGCGTCACGACCACACTCGAAGAGTGGGATGTTCTTTGTTTGCTCTGGGGTATCTCGCGATATTGAGCGCCGAAATTCTTGATACCTCTCTATCTGAAGCCTCGAACTAACTGACTTGACGTGTTAACATATGGAATGCTTTGATATCGACAAGAGATAGGCAGACCTGTGGGGTATCGTCGGGAATGTGAACGGGAAAAGAATTTGAAGCAGCAATTCTCTGGCAAGTGCAAGGAATACTCTGCCGAGGGTCTAGAACAGCGAGATATGTAAAGAGCTCTGAGAAAGCCTGGTTCTTGTCACCTCTGGACTATTGCGAATATCATCAGCTCAAAACTAGCACAGACAGAACACCTCTTGTTGTCATAGGATTTTGCAGATTAGAATCACCAAGCCCAGAAGCCTTCCATATTTACCGCCCATGATCCTCCTAACAAACACTAGATCAAGACCAAAATTCCTTCAAGCTCTCAGCAGCAGACTTGTAAGCCTCATCTCTCTTCACATCCCCCTTACTGTAGCTCGGCCACTTATCCCATCCATGTGGCACATCTGGAACCGTGTACCCATCCACTCTCTTCCCTAACCCTCTCAATCTCTTCCTGAAGTCCTCTCCTTCCTTCAACAATCCATCTCCCCAGCAAGTAATCATAACATTACCATCTGGGAGAACATCCTTCAGCAACTGGTCAGGTGCAACTCCTGGACTCAACAATGGCGAATGCGTGTCTTGGCCAGGAGATAAATAGGCTCCAGAAAACAACTTGAAGAATATCGGGTTGATGATCGGTTTCATGTTTGGGTTTGAGGCATTTCTCTCAGCTCGTGATCTTGTCATATCGACAGCAGGGTAAAAAGTCACTGTGCTCACGAGCCTTCCAACTTTGTTCTCTTCCATTGCCTTGCTTGCTCTCAGCTGCTTTAGCTCCTCGTAGAGACGGATAGCAGCGGTGTAGCAGAAGTTGCCACCAGCGCTAAAGCCTGAGAATGCTGTCCGAGAGATGTCCAGATTCAATTCATCTGCATGCTTCCACAGATATAACACGGCAGACACGCAATCTTCGATACCAGTTGGAAATGGGTACCCAGGTGCCAAACGATAATCAACACTGACCACCACCCCGCCAGTTCTGTTCACCACCTCAGTAGCCCATCGAGCATCATCAGCTGCATGGCCAATGGTATACCCACCGCCGTGGAAATTGATAAGAACTGGGTAGGTCACTGCCTTTGACCTGATATTGAAGCCAGGGGGAGTGTAGAAGAGTAGCTTGAATCGTCCAGGAACGGAGCCGACTGTGGACGAGATGGTGCGGCTGAATGATGGACGCTGAGGATAAGGTGTGGAGAGATAAAGATCGCAGTATCGACCTATAGTCTGAAAGAAACGAATGATGGAGGCTTTGATGTAGAGAGATATGCGTGCCATGTTACTGAGATGGAGATATGAGATTGGTACCAGGGTGATCAGGACATCAATGATTGAGACTATTCACGAACTTGAAGGATGAAAGACGAGGAGCCTTAGAGGATGAAACTATAGAAACGCGTTTCTGAAGGTTCGCAACATTCTTAGATGGTCAGTGGTCAGTGGTCAGTGGTCAGAGCAGATGAGGATGCGATTCGATTGATGTTTCAAACCCCAAGACACTCAGCGGCTTGATGTGTAATCCGCTTCAGTGCCAAGAAGGCGTGAAACGACGGTTAGCGAGCCTCCAAACATTGGCACGAAATGAGACGGCAACCCTCCATTTGCAGAAGCAGCTTTCGCAAGTATATTCGAATCAAAGTCCGCTTTGAAAGAGAGCCGAGTTCGCTCGAAGAAGCAGCAGGTCCCTAGATACCGAGACAGGTGGAAATAAGAAGAGGGATGGTCACGTGATCACGGTTTATGCCCAATACCTACCTCAAGGTAGTCAACTTGGACGTTGCTGGAAAGAGATCATGGGCAGGGCTCGACATGTCTGATGGTAGTATGGAGGCCACAAACTCTGGTTCTGATCGGAGAAATCTAATTGTTGTGCCAGCTTCTCTCTCCTTTTCCGAGGATGACACATGAGCAGCATCTTGTCCGGATTGTGTCGACAAGTTTCTCCGTTCGTGATGGCCTCTTCTATTAATGTGTTCAAGTACACGGTCATCACAGATTTCAAGAGCAATGAGCAGATGCGAGACGTCCGAAGGGAAGGGGAAGGGGAAGGGCAGTGTCCTTAGGGAGTCCCCATCTATGCCCACTGCCCAATAGAGTTACAGTACAGTAGGTACCTTACCTACAGTAAAGTTCCTATCGACCCTAAGTATGTAAGGTTGGGACCACCCAAACTAACCCTAAGGCAATTACCCGAGAGCTACCCCGCAAATCGTCTCGTCCCGTCAGCGCAGGGCCCACCCCACCCCCACCCATAGGTACTGTACCCTTCCGTACGTGGTGCCGTTCCAACCTCATCGGAAATTCTTTCCCCCTTTCCCAAGTGTATGCTAACGACGCCTCCCGGGACGTGGCAGAATATCCCTCTAATCAGAAACCTCCACCCGCATACAAGACTCTCCAAGACTCTCCAAGACATGTGGGCCGTCTTGTTTTCCCATTGGCGAGGCTTGTTAGTTGTAAGTTAACCTGTCTCATAGGGACAGCCTTGGCCTATGGAGCCTCACGTTCGTTATGAGTGCCCCAGCCGGATGAATTGCCAGCCAGCGCGATGTACTGCCCTGGGCCTCACAAACGGATCAGGATCAAGCGGCATACAGTATGAGCGTTGGCGGCCATGCTGTATTGACAGCTTGGCCTGGCCCTGGGGTCCAATCACACCTTGTTCATGCCACTTTCTCATCAATCCGACTCCGGCAATATGGGAAGAGCCTGGGGATCTTCCATCGCTCCACACGGTGTCATCTCCACACTCGCCTTCCCCATGACGGTGAAGGATCCAAAGTCAAGTCATTGGTGGATATTCACACCTCCCTCGTCCGTCTTGATGAGCGGCTTAAGCCTTGGCAATACTTTATAGCCTCGCGTTCAGATCTTCCAGACGACTTTCTGCAGTACAGCCTTGTCACTCTTCGTTCTATCTCGTGTGTCATTGTACTGATCAAAATGCTCCTGAAATTGTCAATTGGCCGTGTTTTGGCCCTTGCCATTGCTCTGACTTCTTCACTTGCTTCCGCGAACCAAGGGCATCAATACTCTGGCCCCAGGTCTATCCAGGACTTCAGGAAACACCATCCATACCACCATCCTCCCAGCGATCACCGCCCGAAAATCTACATCCGAGCTTCAAAGAGCGATACGGACGATATCTCGGAAGAATTCCTGAAGGGATTAAAGAAAGCCAACCACGGAGGCACCCTCGTACTTCCAAAGGGCAAGAAATTCGTCATTGGAAAGAAGTTGGACCTCACATTCTTGAGCAATGTTCAAGTCAATCTCGAAGGCACTATTTTGGTAGGATGGGTCTTGATTTTAACTACACACACAGGCTAACACTTGACAGTTCACGAACAATATTACCTACTGGCAGAGCAACTACTTCTACCATCCTTTCCAGAAGTCTATCTCCTTTTGGAAATGGGGTGGTAAGAACATCAAAATCTTTGGCTCAGGCACACTTGATGGAAATGGACAGGCCTGGTACGATGGATTTGCGGGGTTGGAAATTCTGGTAAGTTTCGCTTAGCAAGGACTTGAGGAAGTATGTACTAACTGCACCAAGGATCCCAACAACACTTACTACCGCCCGATCCTTTTCTATGCTGAGAATGCCACAAATCTCTACATTGAAGGAATAAGGTTTCAAGGGTCTCCCTGCTGGACGAACTTCGTGGTCACCTCCAAGAACGTCGTGTATGACAAGGTTGTAATTGAGAACCTCTCCACCAACAAGGTACGCTCTCCTAATCCATAAACTGGCAATTCAGCAAGCCGACTGCTATAGAACCTCCCCAAGAACACTGATGGCTGGGACTCGTACAATGTGGATGGACTCACTGTTCGTGATGCCTGGGTCAACATTGGCGACGACTGCTTCAGTCCCAAGCCCAATACCTCTAATATCCTCGTCGAGAACATTTACTGCAATGGCACACATGGTGTCAGTATGGGATCTATCGGTCAATATGCTGGTGTCAAGGATTACATCTATAATGCACACATTGAGAACGTGACTATGTTGAACGCACAGGTAAGTGCCATTTCTCTCCTCATATATCGGCAGCAGGCTGACCTCCATTCCAGAACGGAGCACGTCTCAAGGGATGGGCTGGGCCAAACGTCGGATACGGCTTTATCCAGAATATCACATTCAAGAACTTCTACAATTACAACGTTGACTGGCCCATCGTTCTCGATGCATGCTACTTCAATGTCAACGAGGTTCGTCCACTTCCATCTTCACCAGGCTTTGAGAACATTGCAGCTAACACCGAGTTCACTAGACAGCCTGTGCCAAGTACCCATCCCGTGTCGACATGATCGATATCAGTTTCCAGAACTTCACCGGCAGCAGCTCAGGAAAGAACGGACGTAAAGTCGCCAAGCTCGTCTGCTCGCCCAACGCTGTCTGCAGCAATATCACTCTCGATGATATCGAATTGACGAGTCCTGCGGGAAGCCCACCAGTCGTGATCTGTGATGGTATCGCAGGAAGTATTGGAGTCGATTGCTTGCCAGCTAATTCGACGCTGGCTGTAAAGAAGTAGAATTGAAGCTGAGGAAGTGGGGAATGGATAGAGGTCAGGATTTATAACGTATCATGGTTCCAAAAATGAATTAGAACTCGGCAACTATTTTTGTTCCCCATTGCTAGAGCATACCCTTCCTTCAGCATCAAGATGGGTTTCCACGCCTCTGCGACCACATAGCCTTCCCAGCACTATTGTGCTATTGCAAATTTTGATGCTGTGCAGGACTGTAAGTCTTTCTTGATTTGCAAGCCCTAAAGGATGAGTGATAACAGCGAGGTATCTCCGGTATTCCAAGCGCAAGTGGAAATTTAAAAGTTCAAGCGCCAAGATAAAAAGGTAAAAGAAACGGCAAACATCCGGAAAGAATACCAATTTAAACGTCTCCCACTGCATCACACAAAGAAAGTATGCCACCACCACAGTCTCCAAAAGCAAGCACCGTTGTCGATCCTCCATTGCAACAACCAAAGAAACCATCGACAATGTCCCCTTATCAAGCACTAACACCATGCACTAATTTTAAGTGCTGCTTCAGATGATCCTTCCTCGCGAATCCCTTGCCTTCTCCATTTCTCTGGCATCCGACAAAGCGGCACTCGTAACTTCGAATATTGGTATGAACATGTTGATGGCGGATGAGTTCGAATGGACGCTTGTAGGAGCGAGTACAGTTCGCGGTGGGGCAGTGGTAGCGTGGTCCTTGAGTTCTGGAGGGTGTTAGTTGGTCCAAGCCATTGCTGTGGATGGAGACTTCACGCGAGTGATGGTAGAGTCTTCGTCTTATTTCTGGACCGTGGCTTTGGGCTGGCTTGCGAGGCAGGTGCTCCGGTCGCGAAGTCTGAAGCACGAATTGGAGTCCTGTGGCACGTTAGATGAAGTGCGTAAGAAGCCTCATCTGACTATCATGTACGGTGGTGCCTCCAAGAATGAATTCCTCCCTCCTTCAAGCGACTGTGCCGTCATTATTCGCGAGTTACCGCTAGACGCGTGTCAATATTTTAACACTTGAAAGGATAGGGAGCATTCACCTTTTATCATGACGCATATCGCGCTCAATCCCTAGAGATTGGGGCCCGGGCGCTGACAATGGTGATCTTCTATAGTTGAATCAGCTCCATATTCTCGTCGAAGTCTGGATACCTACGTTTTCGCCTCGGACATGGAGTATAAGTAAGTGTCGGGGCTTGCACAGTCATCTTTAAACAAGAAGGTAGCGTCGTTCTCAAAAGTGCCGTCGTCGAGAGGCCCAAAGTTGAAGTTGCCTGTATTCATGTCTGCGAGGACATATGACGTGTTGGTTAACGAGGCCATCTGCATCCCGTAAACTTCATTGCTGACAGTTGGAGAGAAGCTGGGGCAATGCGTCTCCGGCCAATGCATGTCCTCGTCGACACCAGCAATCTCCTGGCTCGTAAAAGACTCTTCGTAAATGGTGTCAAATGACATCATATCAGCCATTGGGATTTGTAGACCCCCAAACCCACCAAGCTGGTTCCCATGCAAGTCTGCTGCAAACTCACCAGCGTCGTCAATGTTGGCGTCCCCCAATCTTTGAACTTTCTTTCCATCATTGTCCATGCTCGTTGTAACATATGCCATGAGACTATAGATCGATCCAACAGTCGAATCAGGGAAGGGTATAAGACATGAGACGTGAGGAGTACGGACAGCGAAGCCCTGCTCGTCGTAAGCGTATTTTTCTCTGCGACAAGGGAGCTTACCTAGGCCAGTTCAAGTGCCCTGAGGTTAGTGCGCGGATCGTAGTATAGCAAAATTGAAGCAAAAACAAGGTTACTTAGCCGTCAAGTCCAGCAAGCCAACGAGATTTGACAAATGAGACAGAGCAATGAAGGAAATATAGGAGATCAGTAACATGGCACGTTCCGCAAAGTCAATAGGCCTAACTCTGGTTGATGAATCAGAACTCATGTAAGCCCGCTGCCTCGTTTTGGCTCACGCTCGTTGTCTTATACCCTTTCCTGTGATCACTGGTTAATTTCGAGTGTTAGCGGTGACCAACAGCTGGGGAGATGATACGGGCAAGACGCACGGAATTGGATATCTGCAGCGAGGACAGCAGGCTTGATCTGGTACTGGGAAAGCGCGGGTGGAAGACCAGGAAGCGACGTTGATTGTATCGAGGTCGGCCATGTTGTTATGGAGCAGTGCTGGCAATTGCAGGTTGCGTACGCAGTGGGGCAGGGGATGGAATGAACTAAGTGAGCTTGAATGTCCAGTATCTGCCTTGGTTTCGTTGATCAAAATTTCTCCCTTGGCTCCTGCTTGTTAGATGATGAGACCTGGGACAAAGCGAGGTCCTGGAAGTGGCAGACGTGTGGCACAGATGGTTATTGGCAATGCAAGTTCCGATTTGACAAAGCCTCGAACAGTAGGATAGAAATTTGTTGTGACTGTGATCGAAACAAGGCTAAAGTGTTGAAAGATCGTGCTCGGGTTGCCTCGGAGCGAACTAACGATCCAGAAAGCCAGAAATCCAGAAGGGCGACAGGACAACGTATGACTGGGACCTAGGAACGTCCAAGGAGATGGGTTGTGACAGGGAAACAGAAAACCAGGACCAAAAGAGTTGACAGACGTAGGGATTATACACTTTTTAAAGAAGGGATAAAGAAGTATCGTAACGAGTCTGATGATACTGCGTGCTGGAGAGGAAAGTCGTAGCTCATTTAGAAGAGACTGGATCTCCCTAAACATGAGTGTATTCGCCGAAGGTGAAAGCTGAAGAAGGGAAGACCCTCTGATTAAGAGCTCCCAAACAGACAAAAGGGCAACAGAGAATTGAGATGTTGCCCTTCGAGCCACACTCCTGTTGCCCTATGCAAGTTGCGGCATCTGGCTAATGACCCTGCAAGCCTCACCTTCCACATGAGGCTGCCCTGCAGCACTTTGCGTACCAAGACAGCGCATCATCGCGGCGGTCACTTCTGTTGGCAATTGGCATTGTTGGTACGGAGAACAAAGTGAAACCCTACGTCAACACCATTCTTGTGATTGCCAATGATGAGATGCGCAAGTAAAGAGGTGAAAGAGTCATATTTGTGAAGGAAGCCAAGGCTCAAGTCTGGTGCACCATGTTGACATGACCTGGAAATCTCGGTTGGCACACATTAGTGACCAAAGCCCAAAACTGCCCGTTTCCCTAGCCAAGAAGCCTTAACGGTGTCAAAAGTGGAGGAGAAGCAGCCTAGGCATATGGATGCGACAGTGGAGTCAAGAGTGGTAATGGAAGGAATATACACCCAACTTTCACGAAGTATTACCCGGTAGAGGCTGAGCAACAAGAAGGATCAGACAATATACCATAACGGCAAGCTAAAAACGTCTCCTCTCCATGGCACTTGTGTCCTGGAAAAGTATCTGGGAGTCCGAGAAAGTCCGACAATGCAGTACGTAACGACCACACTTGTAGGCTATGTTTATGCCAGTTCCATGCAACAGGAAACTCAAGGCTAGTCAAGAACGAACGGCTCGATAAGGTAAATCAGCTTCCTGAGGTCGGCGAACAGAACATTCCCGCCATGGTTTGCATCCCTAGGTAGGGAAGGAATAGAGACATTCGTCGCTCATGCGCCGTCTTCGACGCGTAGGCTGATGCGCCAAAGCACTGCAGGCGTGCATGCTGACAGTATAAATCGTCCACCCAGAAGTGCGGTCGAAGCGCTATGCACGTTTCTCTGATTCCAACTGCCACCAACAATCAGACACGCTGTGCCCCGCGGAACGGCTCGAGTAGGGCTTTTGGTGTTGGGGGTTGGTTCGTCTCGATCGTGGAGAGAGCCCGCTCCACGACCAACAAATGGCAAAAAGTTCTGATAGGGCGAAAAGTATGTCGTGTGTATGATCCAATGGCAACTCTGATAGTGACGTCCTAAGCAACGCCATGGCCGTCTAGCCGGGGAAACCGGAATGGAACTGTGATGTTTTCCACTTGAAAAGAGTCTGTTTTTGTCGTGGGAGAAGGGAGCTATTTCGGAAAAACGGGGCTGCGGGCTTCTGGAAGAATTGCTTGTGTACGTGTGCACATGAGATGTTGACCACGGCATTGTTTTCCAAACAAGTTTCAGACATGCTCCTTTCCAGGAACGGAAAGATACGATGCCTCTTTCCTACAGTGCCTGTGAACAGCTCAGCCTCACCCGTCCACCTGATTGTGACATCAAATAGCACGGTCCATCTGTGCTGCCTGCAAAAATTGATTGGTAGGAGCTGAATCCCTACCAGAAAACAGGAGAAAAGCTGGTCTTGACGAGGCATTCTGTCCTCCTAAACTCGGCAGGTAATTGAGACACGAAGAAGTACGTACATACAGGGAGAGGAATAAGAGGTGAGTGGGAGGCAAGATGCTGACACGAGGCATCTGCCGTTTCCAACACCTGTCGTACTACTGCCGTTGCAGCAACACAGTGGTGAGGGTAGGAGGCATTTACGAGCAGAAGTCAGATGCACAGTCCACCAGACCCCATTGGAAGTTTTGGAACCTTCTGCACAGACGGAGGCACAGGGTTCCCAAACTTGGGATCGTGGAGAGAAACCTGCAGGGAAGGGGGACTGACAGCCATCCAGGCACACCAATCGTTTTGGTGAGAATGAGATGTTCATCATTACGAATCGTGGTTTCCCGGATCTGATTTGTTTGCTCGGATATGAAGCCAGGTTCTCTGTGTCGCTAACGCGCATATTTGGTCAGCTTCATAAAATAGCAAGGCAATCGCAGACTACTGTCGTTTGCTTGTTGGGAGGAAATTTAAAGCGATTTCCGAACGAGAACACACGCCAGCAAAGTCAAATTTCAAACCCCGAGCTCAAAACAGAATATTCCCCGTAGGCCAAGATCTTATCTTAAGAAAACTCCTTAGTTACGCTATTCCTGTATAGGCTTACACCATGTTATGATGGGACGAAAAGCAACCGAATGCGACGATATATTCAACTCGGTAACGGTTCTCCATATGGGAGGACTGAAAACGGACGATTGACATCTATACAACGATGTTATAGGTAGGTTAGTCGCTTGCCCTCATAGGGTATGACCGGTCTGGTTGATCCAAGAAAATGGCTAGATGAAAGAAGCCCCGGATAGACCGATCGATCAATCAATCAATCAAAACGTTACTTGGCGACAGTTGCAGAGGGAGGGGGCCGATCACGATAGGCACCGAAAGCTCCACCTCCCGCGGAAGCGTGGAACAACTGGTAGAACGAGCGGGCATGATACGGATATAGGAGTTGTTCCCGCTCAACTGTCCTGTGGTTTCCGCCCTCTTTTCTTTTTGCGGCTTAATCCACCAGATCATGCCATCAAAATGTCATGGAGTAGAGGGGTGTTCATAGCCCTCGAAGATGAGCTCGATGCATGTAATATCGTTCCATTCAAGTCAGCATGGCAGAAGTTTATGCCATCAAACTTTGGAAATCACTCCTGCTGTCCGCCTCATGATGAGCGGCGGTTAGACACACCTGCTCGGTCCATACCACTGCGTCGGTACTGTCTTGGGAGATTGAACGCCGCCACCCAAGTCTGGCAGCTGTGAAAGATCAGAGGTTTCACAGAGGGTTGAGACTGGACTTGGCAGCTTAACTTGCCGTGGCGCGCAGATAGGCTAGATAGCAAGTTAAGTTTACTAGGTACCTTAAGGTAGTACTGTAAATTACTGTATCCGACAGTCGGTGTTTTCTAAGCTCCCGTCATTCCAGCCTTATGGGTTTAGACTTTGGCCCAAGATCTGCGGACTGCCCAATGTAAACCTCCTCTTTCCAAGCGAGAAGTAAATTTACTGTAGGGTAGGTAATTTATGTTTGAGAGGGACTTTCGGGGGCGGCATTGTCAGAGGCTGGAGCACAGGACCTGCTTTCCAAAACTCAGCCAACATCCAATCCACGACAAGATATATCGAAGCAGACGACACAAAAGAGCTTCGAGACGACATCCTGGCCTGGTCCTGAACGATACCGAGTCAAATAGGGGCACGCACCGGCAAAAGCCAGCCGGAGCAGGGCATGGCCCGCATGCAGCCTTCTTTAAATCTTGCCGCAACCTTGTCACCAATACTAGCACCAATCCAGTGCTCAACCCAAGGTTGTTCTGATGGCGGCCAACAAAACGTGAGCAGCGGGGGAAGCTGGCCCTGGCACTGGCTCTGATTATGGCCGCCCGCACCTGGACAATGGACATCCCAGTAAATCCATAGTAAACTACTGTACTCGTAAATTTACCGCCAGAATAATGCCAGCCACCATGCAGATGCAGCAACAGCAATAACAATGGCTTCGTTTCTCGAAAGCCGCGCGGTTAAATAGCTCGTCTCATCCTTTACGTGAACTGTTTCGCATCGCTTTCCTGGCCTTGCCTTGCCTTGCATTGCCTTGCATTGCCTTGCCTTGCCTTCACGCCCACGAGGCTAACCTGTTGTGAAATGACGACGCACGGGGTGAAGGGATCCGGATCCTCACCGCGTAATTGCGCCACTCACAAATCAGCTTGCCATCAGGCCAGTCCCCAGTCCTGCACTGTACTGTACAGTACTGTGCAGTACCGTGCAGCACTACACTCCCATTGTTCAAGACTCAAGAGTGCCACCTACTGTACCGACTCCTTGTCAATGTCAACAAGCCAAGCCAACTCAAGTCAAGCCTCGTCCATCCGACAGGACTGGCCATCCACGCACCACCCACTGCAGCCCTCCAGCCTTCTGCAAGCCTCCCTTCCCATCCCAACGGCCCAACCCCAGTAGATGTCGAAGCCCCTGGATGCAACACAATCCTTCAGCCCAGGCCAGCCCAGGCCAGCACAGCCAGCTCAGATCATCCAAGCACCCACGAGGAGAAGATTCCACGGCCAAGTCGGCGGATGGGAGATGGGGATGGGGTGTTGTGGGAGGAGGACGAGGATTGAGCTTTGGAAATTTTTCCTGGGCATGCGCCACCACCCACGATCCCAGCATGTTGTACGTACAGTCGTGCATAATGGATTGGACTCGTAAAGTAAATTGGAACACAGTAAGTATGCTATGCCAGCCATGTAGGTAAAATAGCAGAGCCACTAGCACGGAAGTGTCTTACGATACAACACGAGTTCTTGGTTGGCCTCCGCTGTTGCGCTCTTGCCTGCCTGTTTGCTTGATGCAATTTCTGGTGATGTGAAATGTCCTGTTGCCCTGCGTGCGTAAATATACCTTACCTTAGCCCGTCTGCCAACGGGATGCGGAGGAACTGTCGGCCTTTCCCTTCCTACCTGCCTACCTACCTACCTACCTACCTACCTACTTACCCCCCTCCCTGACCTATTCTGGACTTCCTCGACTCTGCGGTAAAAGTGTCTCCAACGTGTCTCGTCCATGCCATGCCATCCCATCTGTCACTGTTCTCCCAGTTTCTCACCGCAGCATTAGCGCACAAATAGCCGCCAGGCGTGTCTCCTCCAGTCATTGCAATGGACTGTGCTGCATCACCACTACACCACACCACCCTTTCACGTTCTACGCAGCGTCACCTACTACCCAGCAATCAGCACCCAGCACCCAGCACCCACCCAATCGCTCACCTACCTAGATGCAAATGGATTTGTTTCGCTTTTTGCGACCCCACAGTCATCTGCTCCGTTTCGTTCCTTTTCCTCTCTCCTCCTTCCCTCTGCTTCCGCCGTCTCGCTCGTCTGGACTCTGGATACGGCAGCCCGGCCTCGTCGCGCACGCGCACGCGCACCGACCTACTCGGAACTCCTCACACGCGCATCACCATATCTAATCCAATGCGCATCCACCTCTATATCCATATCCATATTCATAAGCTGCCTATCTACCTAGGTATCCACATCCGAATCCACATCCACATCCACATCCACATCACACCCAATCCATATCCATGCTCTCGCCCTTGCCCCTGCCCTCACCCATAGCCACATCACCTCACCTCACCTCACCTCACCTCAGACCTCTCTGCTCTCACAGCGCGGAAGATTGCTGCAGGCATTAGGGAACCACAGCCATGCCGCGCAATAATCTGGTTGGCCCGCTCGCGGAGCATGGACCTTCTGAGGTTTTATTCACTTCTCTAGATGTCGCCAAGTAAAGAAGATTGTCACGTAAATTTAATTCAAGTCAAGTCAAATCAAGGTTGACTTTCAGATGGACGGAGGGATAGACAAGCATTGCATGTTTCTGGCGACTGACTTCCAACCCCGTCCAATTCGTCCATCCCTGTCCTCAGTGTTTTTTGTCCCTCATGTCCTCTTCTCCTCTTCGAACTCCACACAGCACAGCGTTGTGGTTTGTCCTGCATCGTTGGAAATTGGGTCCTTCCTTTCGCTTATTGCTTGCTGGCTTGGCTGGGTACATGTTCCTGTAATCTGATGTCTGCCTTCCCAAGACGGAACAGCTACGGCCAGACAGATAATCTATCTACACAAATCCAGTCCAGCCCAGTCCGGTCCGGTCCAATTCGGTACAGCCAGGCCCCAGCACAGCACAGCATAAATGGGTATTCTAGTACAATCCGCATCTAAACATGCCCAAATTCAAGAACCCCAAACATAATTACAGTCACATTGTATGCCCAAGAATGCTTGAGCCCCTGTTTGTTTTCATCAAACTCGTTTCTGTACGCCTCGTTCCTGCCCGTGACACTTTCTCCTCAGGACTGATCATCTGAGAACTCCTAGTCGCAACGCATCGCCATCACCCTTCGTATCAACCATCAGCATCCCCTTGAGACACGAGTGGTGAGTCCACTCCTGGCTCTGTGTCGCGTAAAGCAAGTGCTTCTCAACTATCGCGTTAAATTCGTCGCTGCTGAGTTGACTCGTTGTTAAATTCAAATCTGCGTACATTGCATCAACCATTCCATGGTTCCTGCCCCCCCTCTCCAGCGATAAATTCTTGTCGTTCCAAGTACGCTCCTGAGGATGACACCAGAGAGCTGTCAATCGTGCCGTGACTTGCAGGTGGTGGGGTGTAATGGCTTGAAGAGCTGTACGACGGCTGTCTCGACTGGTTCTCCGAAGCGCGAGATGCAATTCTCATAGAGCTGTGGTCACCATTGTCGTAATTCTGTGGTCTGAAGTCCACAGTCTCAATATCAAATCGCTTCGCACATCCATCCTCCATGTGCCTATAAACAGAATTAGCATAGTACTTTCAGCTCCAATGCGTACCGTTTGTACCTTCTTAAGGTGTCTTTTCTGGCAAAGAATCTGTTACAGTAGTCGCATCGGTGGTTTCGTTGCTTCATGTGGACGCTCTGGTGGTGCCTCTGCAAATCTGTTTTCCTTACAAACTTCTTGCTGCAGTTTTCTATGGGACATGGGAAAGGGTACTCTCGACCGGCATCATGCGTTTCCATGTGGGCTTTGAAGTTGTAGCTCCTGCCAAAAAGCTTGCCACATCCACTGACACTGCATTGGAAGTTCGCGTCCTCCTTGGTGGTGAGTTTACGTGGTTGTCTTGTCCGTGCTATGGTACTCGGACGACGGCGTTGACCTTGAAGTCCCGATGAGATCCCTTCCAAGCTCTCTGATCGTCTGTCGTAGGGAGGAAGAGGAAGCGAGGAGAGTGAAGGGAGGTCCTGGGTCGTGGTATACTCTACTTTCGGCCATCCCATAACACTTGGTTCATGGTAGAAAGTTGTCTCGAGACTTCCTGGATATGAACTAGCCGAGGTGACGATAATATTGTGACTGAGTTGGGGTGAGCTCATAATAATGCCTTCATGGCCCGACACGAAGTCAGGATGGTCCTCCATCTTGATCCGAGGAGTGTACGAATGAGTTGATCCGGCCTGGGTGAAGATCTCTGACGCTGGTGCAGAAGAGAAGGAAGACCTTTGGGATGTATTACCAGATGGTGCTGGCGAAGCAGGGAGAATGGAGACTTCAGCAGGTTGAGAGGAGTATATGTCATTACTGTAGGGAGCTGCTGATACTGCTGGATGAAAAGGTGCAAACGGATCATACTCAGCAGAGAGAATGTTGGGGGTAGATTGTGTCGATCTAGGTGTGTCTCGGTGATGTAAATCGCCTGTTGGCCAGTTGTTGGTTGCGGGGGGTGATTGCATGGATCCACCTGACTCGACGTTGGATCCTGGAATTGGACAAGAATACAAGCCAAGGCCCTGGAGAGAGTCGGTTGATCGGTATCTGGAGTCACTCTGGGCTGGAGAAGGATATTCATAAAGTTGCTGATGGCTAGAGGTGTACCGGTATGGTGAGGATGGCGAACGAGCGGATTGTGGGGTCAAGTCCATCTTAGGAAGAATGGGCGAAGGACGAAGCATATGCTGATTGGAACAGGAGGAGAAGCAAGTCAGAATTCGAAATGCGGAGGACAAGTTGAGTGAGCCAGTACAGTTATCGAAGAAGTGCTTCTCGAGTAAAGTGATCTTGGTTGGGGAGAAGTAGTCTGGTCGGTAACCTCATAGGATGTTGGTTAGAGGTGAGAGGAGGATGACACTTGAAGGTGCCAGCGTGACGAGAAATATCGAGGAGCAGACCAGTTGTGACAGAACTAACAAGACAATAATAGTTCGAGGAAGGACTTGTGCTTGGTCGTAGGAAGTGGAAGTGAAGTGGGCGATGAAAATTCGAAGAGGGTCCCAACGCAGACTTAAACTACTGTTGCCCCTCGAGCAAACACTTGCTCATGAGATGATATCGGGTCTAGTCATGCAAATCCCATTGATTGCCCTTGGCCGAGAAGGGTGGACGACGGTCTTAGCAGGATGAGGGGGCTTGACTCTTCAGGGAGCGATGAGATGGGGGAAACGGAAGGTTAGGGTCATGGGCATGGGCCTGGGGAGCGGGGGGTCTAATCTGGCTCTCTGGATGCACCTGCAGTGGAGCCATCATGGTGGGCAGTGGGTACTGGGTACTGGGTATCCCAGCAGTTGTAAATGACTGCCCAGTGGCTCTAGGCTGCTGCAGACGTAAAATACGCCTGAGGAGTTAGTACGTAAGGTACTTTCAAGTTGTTGCCAGAGGAAGCAGGAGTTTAGGGAGGTACCGAGCGACCGTTGTGAGAACCTAGGCTGGACCAGGGTGTCTGGCACTTCCCTGCCAGTGCCCTGCCAGTGCCAATCGACATCAATGATCAGCCGTCGACATCAACATTCAACAATAATGGTCGGTGTGGGCAGCCCTGATCAGCTTCGACCTCCTGTGGGTTGCGGGAGGTGCACGCTGACATAAGATGCTCGGGTACAAATACAAGTGGACGAGGGGCAGGACGAAATTGCGAAAGCGAGATGCCCTTAAGAACCAGAAGACCGATTGTAGTATTGTCCAGGCAGGTAAGCAGAGGGGGGAGACAGTGGCAGGGATCCCTACCGCGTGCTGAGCACGCCCCTGCAACACCGCCAGTGGCTCTGAGCACACTGCCTGTGCCTGCGTTTGTAAATTTAACAACATGCCTAAAGCTGTCTGGAGCCCAGCATTGATGCCTGCCATCTCATCCTCGGTGATCCATCTCAACGCATACCACCCTAGCAGGCTAGCACCTCGCCGTCGTGAAGAAAGTAGGTGCAGGTGGTCTCGCGTGTACGTACGAAACCTTTACCTTTAGGTAGCGAGGGTAGGTAACTTCGTAAGGTAGTCTGCACTAGCCCCGACCCGTTGGAGAGGACGAGATTTAGCTCCCCCAAGTCTCGGTAAGACGTAAGAGGGGCTTCAGGGTCAGGGGCAAGATCCGGCGCCCTCAACTGGACTGTTAAACGACAAGCGACTTTTGGAGGGATGAGGTGGAGGGATTACTGTAGGGGCAGGGACTACCAAAGGGTAACATCGTAAGGCAAATTTACCTTCCACCAGGGCCCACCGTCCACCGTTAAAGTGCTGAGACAGGCCGGGGCAGCATGCAGGTCACCCATCACCGAGTAGAGAAACGAAACCATGCTGTAAATTTACAGGACATGAGAATACCTAGGATGAGTGGAGAGCGAAGTGGATGAAGAAAACATCGATGTCTAATTGCTGATATATCCGTTCGTTGTCCCGCAACTTTCCGGCAAGCTCTCCTTGCTTAAGCCCGTTACGCCTCCACGTCGACGAAAAGCACAAAGGAAACTGTCTAGGTACGGTACGTAACCAACCTGCTGCATTTTCGACAGCGTTCCGAGGCTCCGAATAGCGATCAATAATATGACTTTCTAAAAGCCCCCTAGTGCTTCGCTTACCCGAAGAACTTATTGTGATCTCGATGGCATTCGAGCATGCTAATCTCTGATTTTAACTACATTCGGCAAGAGACAGGCGCATATTCAGAGAAGCGTTGCTGTATGTACAATATCTCAATGACAGCGCATGCACGCCCATCGGCTTTCCGGGGCTGTGATACCGCTCGCTCTGTACGTGATCCAATCTCGATCCATTCTTGGGGTTGGAAGAGTGCCACCGCGAACGTCCTTCGCAAGCGCCAAAAACAACTCAGAGCATGAAACTTGCTTGCTCCTCCGCAGCGCCCATCACTTCTAGGGCCGCAGAGCCAGGCATATTCGGTAGCTGTTCGTTGTTTATTGGACATGTGGAGATTGGACTTGCTGCAGAGACTTCGATATTGACGACACATGAGAAGTTGGGTGTGGCCTGCCTGACGGAGACTTCAGCCTTCAGCGTCTCCGCGCCAATTCAGCGCCCCTTGAGCCTGTGTCCCGTCAATCAGAGTCGACCCCGGCACCAGCTTTTAGCGTTAGGGTCCGTTGCCAGCGCCAGCCAGCGTCAACTGGGTCACTGGGACATCCGCACTGCTGGCCTTATCAACAGCCGCGATCGTGTAGTAGTAGCTCCGCCTCAGATCGGGGCTTGGAGGATCTCCATTGGTGGGCTCGTAAAACCTGCTTCTACGTGACGAATGGCAAGCTAGAGGCTGGCGGTATCTCACTGCAGTAGTCTGAACTGCAGCATGCAGCACAGCCTCGGGTTTCGAGCTTCAGGACAGGGAGGCAGACCTGACATGGGTGTGGGATGCCTGGAAGTCGTTTGTTGGCTTTCGACCAGAGCGGCTATTTTGAAATCTGGCCTGCCTATTTCGGAACTCCCTTGCCCACACTTCTTGGGGTGACTCTGAGGTCGAGCAGGGCCGTTTCAGGGCTTGGATGATTACGGCGTTCGGATTGAATTAAATAAGACATCGACTTTTAAGCATAAACTCTCAAAATCATTCCGTCCCTACCCCGGCGCAGGCCTAGGGAAGTTGGCCGCCACGCCATGCTCAGGTACAGGTACCGGATCAAGATAAGATTGCAGGTGGGCGATGCTGGAGCATGATGAACATCATACCGGGACCCACCCAGAGGAAGTCCTCCAGGTCACCACACGACCTCATGTGGGATTGTTGACCTTACCTTACCTACCTAAGTGCCCCCGCTCCCATCTAAGCGAGATCCGCAACTAGACACCTAGGCAGAGGGTAAGTAGGAGGTAGTTGGTAGCTGGTCTGGTCTGGCATGGCTAAGTGATGAATGCCACCTGTTAGCATCTGCTTTGCACTGTAAAATGTACATTTGCACGAACTCACCAACAGGAGCAAAATGAATTAGCAACACTGCCCTCTTGCTAAAAGTGAAAAGATTAGAACACTGACGAACACTTCCGGGGGACCCTTAAACTGCTCGCCTGACGACCCATCTTCCCGTGGCTACCGGCTAGCGCGAGTGTTTGGACTCAGATAACGTCAAACGACAGATCTCGGCTTCGTTCTCCGAAGAACTGGACACGCCATACATTCCTGCAGATCAGCTCCAAGCTCGGAGGGATTTTTGCGGCAACCTTCCAGGTAGTGCAGGTGTTATGTCATACTGTCCAGAAGACCAAGAAGGGTGATACAGGATCGAGGCAACTCGATTAGAACGAGATGACAACCCCCAGAACATCTGCAATAGCAGTGGTCCGGACAGAGCTCCTATTGACCTTCCATACACATCTCGTCACATTGCAGACTACATCTTGGTATTGGCGGACGAGTGCTGTGTGCAGCGCTTAAATTACCCCTGCTCCAATGGATGGCTGTTCAAACGACCCCAGGGCTGCCATTGCGGCCTGGCTGAGTTTTCTCCAGTCGAAGTCCCTGCGATGTTGACGTAAACCTCCTGCTCGCACCCACACTTGGAATAATGCGATTGTATTCGCATGAACACTTGGTCACAGGGCAGGCCAGCCCTGAGTCACCATGTTATTGTTTTAGATCCAGTCAGCCTTGAGCAAGGCAATCTTACATGTAGCCCTTGGAATGATAGCAATGATGCCTGTTGCAAATGTAAATTACAGATGATAAAGTGAGCCATGTGCTGGCCCAATCGTGGCAAACAGAAGTATAACACATACAATTCCCCGTTCACTCTCATCCCTCAGACTAGGGGTTTGAGCTGTTCTGGAAAACAAGACTCGGACCGTCAACGAGGCTGAGGCAAGTTTCGATAGATTTGCCCGGAGGCTGACGCTGTCCCCATCTCAAGCAATGCTCTCATTTGTCATGGCCGACTAAAGGATTGCTCACCGGTTTCACCTGGCTAACCACAAGCAGTATTGAAAATATTACTTGTGTCGCTATACTTCTTGGATCCCGCTATTGGATCCCAACCATTTACAATGACCTCGAAAGCGTGTATCAGGCGATGGTATTCGTTATCCAATTGCGGTCTTACAACAAGGGGATCACCAGCGTGTGGGCATGGGGGTTAGAGTGCAGTCGTGTGAATATGACTTCCGATTCAAACTTCACACCACAGTAACTACCCGAGTTTCAAAGTGTAGCCAAATATCTGCAACTTGTAAGCAGCCATTCTTTCCAGTTCGTATGCAGACACCCAGAATCGAAAAACTATGGATTGCTGGTAGGGCTACGATCTCACTGTTATTTCGGCCGAGAGTGAGGAGAATGCTTTCTCATGTCTAATTCGAGAAGAGACGAGTGTCTGAATTGCGAAAGGTGTTCATTAATGTGCTAATATCACAAGGCAGCTAGCGTGCATGCCTAGTCGGGTCCTGTACTGGAATCATGAGAGTGGACGCCTGTTGCTAATGCTCGAGAATGCAATAAGATGGCTCAGATGGTCCATCTAGAGAGTTGATCGAGCGCTCACGGAAAAAAAGAACCTAAGGCGAGGAGAACCAAAGCCTAGTTGCTGTAGTCAATGGCTGACTGGTCGAGTTTATCGTCTCCTTCTAGCACACTGGGAATATTGTAAGCGTGTGCGAGATTTCGAAGCATGGCGGACCTACGAGTACTGCTTGACCAAAATCCCCTCACCTCCATTTTCCATGTCGATACTGAAAACGTAAAATCCACCATCACTAGTCACCAGCATGACCTGTGGACTGCTGCTGCTCATTGCGACCACACTTCGAAGAGGCCCACCTGTAGCGTTGACTCCCATACCACTCTTTGGCAATTTGATGAATGCGAAATCTCGCATAGGTTCCCACATCTCCGTCACCGCTTGTGGCAGGTACCCACCTACAACCCCCGCTACACTCTTTCCCATCATTTGGGATGATCGCCTCAACATGCTTCCAATGGTTCCGCTTGTTTTGCGTGTAATGGCAGGTACCTCGGCAGTATCGCTGCCTGGGGAAGTTCCAGCCGTAGGGGACTCGGCTCCACTGTCAAAGCTTCGAGATCGACTCCACCGGTCATTCAGCGACTTCGGTGAGTCTGGTAAGACAAATGCCGGGCCACCGAGGCGGAAAATGTGAACCGTGTCGGTGGTTGAGGATACACATAGGAGAGTCGAGCTCAAATTGAATGACATGCTGTAGATGGTTGAGGGATATGTTCCTCTCCTGAACTGGTATAGCTTGGTTCCCTTTGGCAGTGAGAACACTCGGATGATCGTCCCCGTCTCCGAGGCGGTCGCCAATAATGTACCATCATTATTGAGAGCAATGCAGGATAGAGGCGCTCGATGCGCTTCAACCACGTTTAAAGCCTCCAGTTTCAGCGCATCAAATATTAAGACATCCCCAGAAGTTGGTGCCACGAACGTTGACAGGGGCGGAGCATGGGATGGGCGTTTGTCTCCAGTTTCCTCTCTTGGTTTCGGTAGGGGGTAGGCAATATAGCAGTTTTCGGAGGATGGAGCAAGCGCACAAATTGCACTTGGGTTTGGCGATGTGGCAATTGTGTAGAGTAGGGTCATGTTCGATATGTCGTACAAATAAATCTCTTCTTCCAAAACCACTGCGAGACGCTTTCGATTTAGGCGCACAGCCAGAACAGCAGATGGAAAGGTTAACTCGCAGATGATCGAGGATCGCTAGATATTTTGTTAGCTACTTTGTACTATGCTGCAAGATAATGGTGTAGCTAATCTGCGAGTTGGGTTAAGAAAGAATTACCTTTGTATTCTGGATGACAAGGTGCCTTGGAGATAGTATCAGAGCGACCAAGGATGTTGAAAATAACATCTCAATGAGTGCCACATTTCCATCATCACTACTGAATATTTTCGAGAAAGGCTCTGTGTGGTAGATACGGAATCCGCGTGAGGTTCCTAGAGAAGGAGCAAAGATCAGCAGTGCAGGACAATGGCGGCGAAAACACTTACCAACAGCAAGACAGCTATAGTCCTGGTTGAAGGTCACAAAATTCATAGCCATGGTGAAGACAGACTGCGCGATCTACAGAACAAGCTTGGGAGATGCTGAGGGGGCAGTTGGCTTTCTGCAGGCCAGGTTGGAGGAGTAGTTGAGCTGGCGGAAGCCCTGCCTAGAGAAGGGAGCTGGAGTGGCTACAGCAATGGCCTGCCGTTGGGGGTGAATGGGCGCAGACTCACTGCGCAGACATTTGCGCGTCAGCTTGAACTGACTTGAAGTCACCACAGCGGTGCGGTGTACGACTTGCTATCGCGGGCCGTCGACGCAAGTTCGGACTTCCCTTCGCTGGCTGCAATGCCTTCTGAATGAGCTCGAGGTAAGGGGAGGTGAGGTGAGGTGAGGTGAGGTCCGGCAAGGTGAGGTGAGGTGAGGCGATGCGGGAGGCGGGAGGCGGGAGGCGGGAGGCGGGAGGCGGGGTCCAAGGCTACCTACGCTACCTAGGGGACCTAGGTATCTCCTTCAGGTAGGTAAGCTCAGTACTGTAAGGTAGCTGCTAGGTAGGTAGGGAATAGTACTCTCGGTACTGTACATCCGTACTGAGCTGAGAGCTCCAACAACCTTAAATCGGCACTGGTGCCCATGCCACCCTGCCACCCTGCCACCCTCGCTCCTCGGAACGGTGAAGCCAAGCGAGCCAAGCCAAGCCAAGCCATGGATCCGATCGAAACCTTCGCTTACGGTTCTTCAAGTCTTCTCCACCCAGGAGCTAGGTACCTACCTACCTTCCCTCCCTATGTACTCTACCCAGGCGGTATCATACCTGAGCATCAGGGACACGGACACAGCCAAAACAGTTCGATATCAAAACAGCAACACTTCACTTTGCCAGAGACAATAGCGCTACACGACCTCAACCTCCCTCCCTTCGTCCGTGTTCCTCGTCAGGAAAAGTCCTGCCAACGTGACGGCAGGGGTCCACATAGACGCCTTTTCTTTTTCACCTTGCCGAGGCTGCTGAACTTTTTCTCCAACGACAACGACCCAGTTACAATGAAGGAAAGTAGAGACCAGCGGCCATTGCGGCCAGCAGTAAAGTCGAAAGCGCAACTTCAAGATGACTCTATCATGGGAGTAAGTTCATATTCTCCTTTCCCTCAGTTGACGTGGAGGAGGCTGTTTCTTCAACGATCGCCTCGTTGGAAGTTGGCAATGCCAATCAATGATGATCCGAGGCGACTGCTAGCAACTTTGCTTGTGTTATTGTGGACAAAGACCTCTTTCAAAGTTCATAATGAGCCTGTCAATCTCTTCCCAAGTGAACAGTCATAATTAAGATCCGGCAGACAAATAACAGCAGTATTGTGTCGAAACGGAGTGTCGAGCGTCTTTACTTTCCGAACGAAGCCCATTTCTTCCGCTACTTCGTCAAGAAGCCACAGAGGCGCTCGCCACTTATCAATCGTGGATATTGGCTTAGAATGAAAGCCGTGGATCAAGTGGTTCGCCAGTTTCTGGAGCACACATCCGAGAAGCAGAAGATTGTCGTCAACCTCGGATGTGGATAGTAAGTAGAAGTCAATGTAACCAAATTTTGTTGACTCTTTCCAGCGATCCACTTCCTTGGCAGTGTCTTGAAAGATATCCAACTGCCTCAATCGGCGTCAAGTTTATCGACATCGACTACAGAGATCTCATGCTTAAAAAGAGGGCAGTCGTTCAACGCACTGCTGAGCTAAATTCTATGCTGACCAATATCGAAATATCGGAAAGTGATGTGTTATTCCGTAGTGATCAGTATGTCCAAGTGGGTTGTGATCTTCGGGATCTTCGGGCTCTAGATTGTGTGCTTGGAGGTGTTATGGATGTTACAAAGTGTAAGCTCCATACAGGTCGAAAGGAATGGTGATACGTTACTATTGATAAGAGTTTTGCCTCAAAACTGCTTTTGCTGAGGTTTCAGGTAAACGTTAATCGTACTGACATCTTGCAGGTTCAATCTTATTTACAGCGGAAGTTTCTATTACCTACATGAACGTCGAAGCGGCCGATGCTTTGGTTGAGTGGGCTGGTAGATTACCTGAAGGTAACAAGGCTTGTCAGATATGTTAGCCGTGCACTAATAACGGTCAGCTCGCTTTTGTTTATTGGAACAGCTCATTCCAGATGGAAATGATCATCCCTTCTCTCAAACCATGATGGCACATTTTGACAAACTACGAACGAGTCTTGGAGCCGTACGGAAGTATCCAACCGAGGAAGCTCAGAAGGGACGGTTTGATGATCTCGGTTGGCCAAGTGTCTCGGTCCGTAATCTGTGGCACTTATGGAGCTCTCCCCATTTTGCCACTACCGAGGAACGTATGGCTTTGGACAGAGTCGAGCCTTTCGATGAATGGGAAGAGTTTGCTCTGTTTGGCTGCCACTACTTCCTACTTGTCGCAAATACCGCCAGCATGGCTGCACGCCTACAAGAGCACGCAAGCAGGCCAGCTCCGAATGGTTTGGAGGAATCTGACAAGCTCACGCAGTTGTCAATTGCGAGGGTACCTGGTCCTCAGCTGGTTGGGAGATATTCGGAACATCGAAAAGGTCACGGATGCCGACGTTTTGCAGCAGCAATGTCGACTAAAGGCAGTGGTAGATACCATAGCAGGAAAGGTGTTTTCGGTGGTATGGGACTGACAACCAGGACCGACTCGTGGGACGAGTATGATATAGATTTGACGGACTCTCAAACCGTCAACTCTCAAGGCCCTGCTGTGGCACCATCCAGCAGAATGTGTCACACGATAACAGACATTGGTGACTTTTCATTGCTGGTTGGCGGTCGAACATCCCCAGATAATGCTTCTAAAGAGTGCTGGCTCTTTCACAAATGGCTCAACACCTGGGAGCGAGTTGATGACCTCCCACTTCCCCTGTACCGCCATCAGGCTACGAGAGTCGGTCCTGGATACGTACTCATTTCGACGGGTAGAATTGACTCTAGATTAATCTCTAACGAGTATCTGGTATGGAGTCGGCATACAGGCTGGATAGAATGTGGACTTGAGGGAACCAGACCACCCCCTTCACATGGTGCTATTTTCAGTTTGGCTTCATCAGAGCCCTCGACAGATCCAATATATGGTATCCTTGCAGGCGGCATATCTGTTGACTCGTCCATTGTGGAGGAAGTCTGGCGATGGGAGCTTAGTGGGATCTCCAGTAAAGTAGATGACTCCTCCGTGCTACTTGTTCTCGAATCTGAGAATGCTGACAGGCTATTAGAAACCAATGATAAAATTCCACAAGCTTGCGGATTTCGATGGCATGCAATTGGTTACTCGGTTTGGAGCTAGCGTAATCTACCACAAACGCCAGTTGTATGTTATTGGCGGTGTCATCAAGAACCGCATGTTGAAATCATCCGAGGAAGTTTGTGGTCTCAATGTTGAAGGAAACCGTGTCTCCGTCGGAATGATCCCTCTAGCATTCACTCCCCGACCGCTACTGATTGGCTCAACCGTTTTTGGTGTAGAGAGCTCTCTCATAATCACGGGTGGCTCAGCAGTATGCTTCTCCTTTGGTACATTCTGGAATAAAGGTAGCTACACCATCACTTATCCGGATTCGAACTGCGAGGATGCTCAGGGATTCTCAAAGCCTGCTGAAATGTGGCGACTCACTCGAACCGTAGCTGCCGACTTTCCAGCTAAAGAACTGGAGACGCCGATAACGAACGGCCCTGTGAGCATGATTAGTATCTCCAAGGTACAGCTTGGAACGGCAGCAGACTTCGCTCGAATTCTTGAAGCATCTACCCCGGTCATCATTGAGAAAGCGAACATTGGCCCTTGTTTACGCAAGTGGACAACGGAATACCTAAAAGAGCGGGTAGGAATTGAGCGTGAGGTAAGTACACAAAGGCTAGGTATGTCCGGCAGCTTCAGTACTCATCAACAGTCGTAGGTCGTCGTTCATGAAGCAAAAGCGCAACATATGGATTTCAAGTCGAAGAACTTTGTATACACGACCATCCCGTTCGGAGATTTTATGGACAAGATTCAAGAAGATCAAAGGCTCTATCTCCGCTCATTGTCATCTGACAAGCCCTCGGAGCAACCGGCAGACATTAGCAAGGACTTTCCGTCGATTGCATCCGACTTTCAGCTGCCGCCGGAACTCGCAGCAATTACTGAAAATATGCACAGCTCGCCACTACGCATATCAGGGCCAGTGAATATGTGGCTACACTATGATGTAAGGGGAGCCATCGGAAAACAGTTCCGCATTCTAACGAAGAAGCAGGTCATGGCGAATATTTACTGTCAGATTCAAGGGACTAAGCGACTACTCCTATTTCCACCAGCTGATGTTAAGAATCTCGGACTTGAACCAGGCTCCTCAAGCTCACAGATAAACGTTTTCGAGGAGCTCAACAGTGCTCGTTTAGCAGGCACACATCCTCACGAAGCACTGCTTCGCCCTGGTGATATACTCTTTCTGCCTCCCTTGTGGCTGCACACAGCTTCCCCAACTTCGGGAGTAAGCATTGCTGTCAATGTTTTCTTCCGCAGCTTTTCTGCAGGTTATGCAGCGGGGAAAGATGTATATGGTAATCGAGATTTGCAAGCGTACGAAAAAGGCAGACTGGACATTGCCAAGATGGTCAAGTCATTTGACAGTCTGCCGAGAGAAGTCCGTAGATTTTACCTGCAGAGATTGGCGGAGGAGCTCAGAGACAAAGTCTAAACTTGACAGCGTTGGAAGGTCTGTTGCACTTCGCACGGCGAGACGGCACGGAGAATGATGAGCTGTTCGACACGGAGTTCGTTTGTGAAGCCGGGATCTGAACAACGGGTATACCACGGCACGGCAATGGCACCGCAAAACAAAGAATAAATGTGGAAGTGAAGTTTATCGAGTTAGCATGTAGCACAGTGGTCATGTGTGCGCTGGTTACTACCTCTTGATCAAATGAATCTCTATCAGCCTCGAAAAATCCGGATTTATGAGGGTTTTGGTTGTAGGACAATGGTCAACGTTTACCTTGCCGGACGGCGGACCGTCCGCTCCGCAGCGATAGGTAAGGAAGGATTGGGACTCCCGGTTAAAAAGGAGGACTATCTCTGGGTAAACCTCGGGCTCTCCGGGTAAGCTTCGGATTGTGTCTCTTCCCTCACCCGGAAATAAAGGCCGTTCGGCGCAAATGACGAGGAAGATCTCGTGGTTGCTGACTGGAGGCATATAGTAGTGCTATCTACATACTGTCGTGGAGGCTTACAACGCCCGCTCAAAAGCTCGGGGTAATCCACTTGGTTAAGATTGGAAAGCGGCAATCTTAGTCATTCTCCGAGCAAACATCTAGCAGCAAGCATCAAGCAGAGGCACGATGGGTAGCCGCTGAAAAAAACATGACGCCTCATTCCATATCATTTTTCTAGCTATCTGCAAAGTATCTTGACAGAGAACTCCTCTCACCATGGCGTCTGCAGGTGCGGATTGCCAAGGAGACTCAGAAATTCACAAGGAGTCCCAAGATTGCTTTGCACGAGCCGAAGACAAGCCGAAGCAAGAGACTAAGAACACAGAGGAGCAGCTGGAACCACAATATGTGGAAAATAACAACTTGGAGAAGTGGAATAGCCCAAGCATAAATGCATACCGATACCTCTCAGCGAATTTTGGCTTCATCATTATGGGAATGAATGATGCAGCATATGGCGTGAGTCAAAGCACATTCAAAAATCATCAAGCCTAAGCTGACCATGATGCGTTCGCTCAGGCACTCATCCCCTATCTCGAAGAATACTATAATATCAACTACACAGTCATTTCATTGGTTTTTCTTGCACCATTTGTAGGCTATGTAAGTTGCCCAATTTCGTAGCCTGCTATGAGTGAACTCCGAGAATGATCCACTAAGCACCACTTCAATGATCCAATGCTCAAGTTTCAGCAGTCAGCAGCCGCTCTACTCAACAACAAAGTGCACATGCGCTTCGGCCAACTCGGAGTGGCCATTATAGCCCCATTGTGCAAGATTGTTGCCTATATTGTAACGTGCATCCACCCACCGTACCCAGTACTGCCTGTCATTTTCGTCCTCTCCGGCTTTGGTAACGGACTGGAGGACGGAGGATGGAATGCGTGGGTAGGAAACATGGAGAATGCCAACGAGCTGCTGGGATTTCTCCACGGTGCTTATGGTCTTGGTGCCACCATTAGCCCATTGATTGCCACCGCTATGGTTACGAAAGGCAACCTGCAATGGTACACTTTCTACTATATAATGGTAATATACCTCTGCTAATCTAGTCAACGTTCATTTGTATGGTATCGTATCTGACTCCGCCCTAGTTAGGAGTCGCAGTTTCCGAACTTATCCTCTGCGTCTGGTTTTTCCGCGCCGCAACGGGAGCTGCCCATCGAGCAGATCATCCTACCAACAATGACAAAGCCGGGCAGTCACGGACAGGAGAGGCATTGAAGAATCCCATAACTTGGATTTGCGCACTGTTTCTCCTATTTTATGTCGGCGTGGAAGTGTCACTAGGTGGATGGTTGGTGACTTTCATGTTGAGAGTTCGACATGGAAAGGCCTTCGAATCCGGTCTCGTCGTTACTGGATTTTGGCTTGGTCTTACTTTTGGACGAGTCATTCTTGGATTTGTGACTGGGAAGATTGGTGAAAAGATAGCTATTGCCGCCTACATGGTAAGTCTGGTATTGCGCTTTGCACAATCCATATGCTGTGACCACGACTTGGGTTGTATTGACGACAAAGGTGTTTTTGCTTCGAAGTCAAGGTCTACCAGGGCATATCTAAAGAGCTGCTTTGCTAATGAATCTCGTCTTAGGTCATTTGTGTGGGACTTGAGCTCTGTTTCTGGCTCATTCCGAATTTCATCGCCAGTGCAGTGTTCGCCGCGTGGCTAGGTTTCTTTCTTGGCCCGCTCTTCCCAGCTGCGATTGTAGTCGCAACGAAGCTCCTTCCGCGAAGGCTTCATGTTAGTGCCATCGGCTTTGCAGCTGCCTTTGGAGGAGGTGGAGCAGCTGTTTTACCGTTTGTTGTTGGTAAGCATTCCGCCTTTTGTCGAATGGGATCGACATCTGACAGGAAAAGGTGCCATTGCCCAGGCGAAAGGTGTCACAGTGCTGCAGCCGATTGTGCTCGCGATTCTGGTGGCTATTCTTACTCTCTGGTGTATGCTACCTGGTGGCTTTAGAAAGTCTGGTCTAGGTGATCTTCAGAGGGAGCGTGATGAGGGGAGAGCTGCTGTATCGGAGGAAGGTCAATCAAAAGGTTTTGCTGGAAAGATTGCAAAGTTGAGAGTGAAACTATTTGGAGTTCTTTGAAGGTAACGGATGGGCGAAATCAGATCCGTGTACCTGTTTGATCAGGTTCGAAGCTGTGAATGGGCCACGATTCTTGGGCCGATTTAAGTACCACCGAGAAGCCCGCGAGATGTTGCGTTCTCTGCGCACTCTGGCTTATCAGACCAGACAAAAATGGAAAATGGGCATATCTCTCACATGTCAACAGCGGGTTCTAAGCATAAAACGGATTCCCTGGTGGTTCTCACGCTTCATGTAGCCCTCCAGCCAAGCCCAGCAAAATACCTTCCCACGCCCCCACAACACTTGATCTAGCTTGCCGGTATGTCATAAGGATATCTGAGAGCTGCTGCTTAACGCTGGATGATATGTATCAATCTCAGCATCTCATTGGCAGAAAAAGAGTTGAACATGTCATGTGTGACATGTCAGGCTGGAGAGGTAGGGGCTTGAGAGGAGAGCTGCCAAAAGCTGCGCGGGTTGGTGTCTACCTGTGGTTAGAAGCCTACCCCTTCATCTTGGTGCTAATTTGGAAAGCCATACAAATAACTGACAGCCTAGCAGAGCAGTATGTCTACGCAGACCAGATGAAGCATAGCCCCATTCGCTTTGAATCGTCGAAAGCTCAAGGTACCCTACACAAAAGCATGACGGGTGCTCCAGACTCTAGCCATTCTTTCTCCTCTAATCGTACCTTGATTGAACCAGAGCCAATTCTGGGTATACAATAGAATCGATATGGAGAATGAGAAGGAATGGCAAGACTCTGGATCGGTGAATATACCATTTTATGAACTTGATCCAGATGATGGTAGCGAAAGGAAAAGCTTTGCATTCCCATCCTCGAAAGTCTCCTAACCTATTTCTAGCTTCATGAATAATTAATACAGTCAGAGTCAACTCCTCAAGATGTCCACAGACAAGATCACCTTCCCCACGAACTGATTGGTAGTAACGGCGCTACTACCGATGCACTTGGGAGATGTCAAGTTCACAGTTCTTCGGCACGCGACGCCATACCATGCTCCAGTCTACCTAGATCAGAAGCTCAGATACTTCACCGATGATGGCATCAGGGCTACTCTGCTGTAGCCGAACGACCCATCCGATGTCACTGAGATCATTGGGCCGCGAAAGGTCGATATAGGTTTCAAAGCGACGATCCATGCTCTTGGTGCCAAAGCTCACAGTTTTCCGGTCCCCTCCATAGGATCACTTCTCAATGAGCCTCTCACTGGAGTTGTCTACTGGAATGACAATGTTATCACCACTGATTTCCCGCAGCTTGCGTGGGAAAAAGCTTGGCTGTGTCGCGGAGTTTGGAAAGGCAAAACTTGAATCTTGACTTGACCTCGGGATAAACTGGTCTGATATGATGCAATCTGCGGATAAAAATCGACGAACTGACTAAGTACTACCCTATGGTTTGAAGGCCACCAAGTACGAAGCTGTTCGCTGTGGCATGGACGTGTCCAAGGATATCAACGAAAGACCCGTCCATGCCGTTATTGGCCTTGAGCACGTATAGATAGTGGAACTGGAAGAATGACTCACGGGTCAAGGCCTTCCCGGCTCGGATGTCCAAATGCTCAGGATCGATGAACTTGTAGAGTTTGGATGTCGCTTCCTTTGTTCGGTCCTCTATATCGGTATAGATGCCCATCCACTACGAGGAGATCCCTCTGACACTTGCCGCAGTGAACGATACCTTCACGACCGAAAACCCAGAGAAGATCCAAAAGTTCATGAGAGCCGTCAAGGGCGCTACCGACTTCATCCTCGCTTCCCCAGCCGAAGCATACCCAGCCTACATCGACATTAAACCTCAGATGGACTCTGTCACCAACAGGAAGATTTATTAACGTTCCGACGCCTCCTTCTCTAGCGACCTCGAGAACGTTCAGCGAGACTGGGGGGAGGCAACGATATACGGTAAGCGCCTGGGGTCCCTGATGAGAGCTTTTGGTCGAGTTCTACCAATGAGTTCCTGGACTGGGAATTGGAGGGCGACTCGGCTGACCCAACCGGTGATTAGACGAGGATGGCGGATTTGCACGATGTTATTGCGGAGAGAGGTGGCTTTCAGAGGCTCGATGTCAAGGTCAGTGCTCGAGCTGAATATGGGAGGTATGCTTGTGAAGTGAAGACTGAGGAGCCTTTGATCTCTGAAACGTGAGTACTGTTACTGCAATGCTTAGCCTGGATACCGTACTGTACAGTATCCACAACACTCTTTAGATGTCACAATGGTCAAAAATATTCTAAGTGCAAGGATGAATGGCGTGTAATCTTCCTCGTCCGTCTTGTAAGTATTTCATCGTTCAAGATCTTTGGTGACAGACGACGAAGTTCCGATGATTGAGTTTTCTCTAGGGGATGCCCAAACCCAGCATGCTTCACCAGCCTGAATTCTGCACTCATTCGGTATGCAAAGAAAGATGACCGACACTCGCCTTTGATGATACAAGTATTCACGACGGAACAAGCATCCAATCCCAAACAAAACACCAAAAGCTCATGCACTCAAGAAATTTGCCAATCGCCAAATCGCCCCTTTGATCAGCTTACTAGACACAGACCTCATATCGAAGTTATGAAGGTGGTTTCTGTTGGAATCAAGAAGGGCCAGATGCATATTGAGTATAGTGGAAACTGGTACTGTCAGAGAAATTCCCAGCAGGGCTATCCTCGCCACTTGTACTTGCAGGAGCGAAGCGAAGAGGAGCGTAACTTGGTAAGGTTTTGGTAACAGCGGGCCAAAAAAAAAAAAGAGCCGGCTTGCGGGGGAGGCTCTGAAGCGATGTGCCTACGGGTAGATCCCAAGTAAATTAATTACCTGGGCTCAAACATGCCCTGCCTGGCCATGACCATTCTTGATAAACAGACAGCGGTGGGCGGGCTTGGTGGGGTTAAAGCGCCATCCTGATCCTGGCGGCTGAGATCTGGAACAGACAAGACAAGCTGAGGCTTGCCTCCCTGCTGGCTTGCTGGGGCTGGCCGTTGAAACAAGAGACAAACGCTCAAGTGAGCCGACTTCATGCGGGCGTTGGAGTACAGTAGGGAGGAGGTGGAAGGGGAGGAAGTCCAACATTTTGACTGGACGGACAAGTTGGACTTGTGCGGACCGGAGCTGTCGAGCTTGAAGTTGCAGCTAAATACACCTACCTACCTAGGCACTGACAGTGCGTACCTGTGTCAGTACCTTAGGTAGGAGGTAGCTAGTAGGTAGCTAGCTGCCTCTGTCACTCACTCATTCAATTCGTTTGACATCTGTACAGGTACCTACATAGGTAGGGCTAAAAGCTACCCACCAGCCACCACCTAAAGGTACCTCGCTTACCTAGGTACCTACAAGTCCAGCCAGCGTCCGGGTCCGCTCCATTGGTCTACCTACATGCCCTACCCCTAGTCCATCTTTCTAATCTGGTCCATTCCCGTCTGCTGTCAAACAAGCAATTCGATGATAACTTGTTCCTCTTCCTCCAGTCGATCAAATCGAGTCAAAGTCAGACACGGACACATGATCTCGAAGACATATCATACCTGCTGTAAGAAGCGTACAGTAACTCACAGTACTTCGTACAGTATTGTCCGTTCTGTTCTTCCTCCACATCAAGGACTGTGCCCACCCTCGAGCCACCTCACCCCAGATGGTCCCGTCAGGGATGCTGCAGGGCTGGCACCACTCATGGCCCACCTTTCGCGCTCCAAGCCTCCAAGGGCCGCTATCAGCACTGGGGCTGCGGGGGATTGGCTCCCGTACCTTGAAGCGTCCATGCGCGGGCGCCACCAGCCAGTAGTAGTGCCCGCAGCAGGAGCAGCAGCAGCAGCAGCCCGCAGAAGATACGCACTGGTGTGGTCTGTTTCGGGCGATGGCGTGGCAGCAGCCCGTTGTCGCGTTGGTCGAAGCTTCTGGTGTGGTCTGGTCTGGCCTGCGCCTGCAAGAGGAGCGAGCCCGGGGTGGAAAAGAGAGAAAGGAAGAGGCATCACCAAGACAGATACAGATGTGGAAACAGACGACTGGCTTGAGCAGCCACCTCACTGCTTGAATCAAGGCACGGCATCGTGTAACCATCTATCTACTCTCTACTCTACTCTACTCTGGGTACTGTACTGGACCTATCAGTCCCCAAGTAAAGAAACGAATGGGTGGTGGGGTAAATATCTACCTACCCTGCCCTACCTTGCTGCCCTACCAATGGAAACTACTCCGTAGGTAGGTAGGTAACCTAGCATCGCCCATCTCCTGCTAGCCTGCTCTGGCCTGGCCTGGGCGGGGCGGGGCTGCTTCTCTCCCGCATCACATTGGATCACATCTCGTCACATCGATAGGTACCTAAGGTAGGTAAGGTAGGCAGGCGAAGTAGGGAAGTGGATAACTAAGGTCAGGTAGGTAGGGTAGGTAAATTCCACCCGCATAGCATACCTAAATAGCATACCTAAGGTAACCTACCGAGCATGCCATGCCTACCTACCTCAGGTCCTCAGCATACCTACCTACCTACCGACCTATCTTCCATTACCTGACAATACCTACCTTTCCTGTGTTTTGCCTACCTATCATATACATCTTCCATTGCCCGCTGTCCTCCCTTGCCTTACTTTGCCTTACCTCCCCTACCGCCATCTTCTTTCGAGGCGTTTCTGGAAATGCTGCGACAACGGGTGAGCTGGTAAAGTACAGACAATACCTGCCTCATCTTGCCATCAAAGGAACACCCTTCTGTCCATGACGCCTACCTAGGTAGATAGCACCTTGTCAACAGCCAGCCCCCATTGCAAATTGCTCCGGTCTTCGTCGCACAAAATAATCGCTGCAACAAGTCTGCATATGCTGTTGCTCTCTATTTCTGGATCGCATCTTATCTTCAAACGCTGAGATAAGGACGCTCGCTGTTTGCTCCGGGGAGAAGAGGACCAACGCCATTGTCTCAGTGCGTGTCGCCGCCCTTTCCCTTCCAAACCTTACTCTCTCCACGACAAACCGCACTCACAACATTCAGATTACTGTCAAAGACTCCCAGTACGACCGTTCGTACAATTTGCGGAATCGAGCCGTTTGAGTTCCCCCCTTCCAAGCATTCGATCATCCAGAGCTCGCAATCCCTTCTTATCTCTCAGACGCGACCCCTCCCAGCGCCGGAAGCCGGCCCCATTCCTCACAACCTCACCATTTGGATAAGATCTTCGACCTCGTCCCTCCTTACATGCACCATCGAGATACATAGTAGAGAGCTTGCCGGATTTGCACCAGCCAACATTTGCTGAAGAAATGGCTACCATTGCTCTCCCCAGGCCCATACCTTCGGGGCACACGCGATCATCTTCCCCTCATCCATTGACACCAACACTCAGCCTCGACAGCATCAGTACTTCTGCAGCATGTCCGATGCCGATACCAAACAAGCACCTGCCAGTCTGTCCCCCAGGACCTGCACCTTCCGATAAACCAGATACCCCACCTCAGTCTCCGCCTTCCAAAGAAATCTCTCTCCAATCACGCTCCCTCTTATACCCTGCCAATAAGTACAAATCTCGTACAATTGGAGTCACGACGATCTACGAAATAGATGCAGTCGGAGTAGCTGCTGCCCTCGACCATCATGCTGGACAACCTCTGCCGGACCCATCTCAAGTATTTCCTTGGTTCCACGGACTACACCCATGCAACCATATCCAACAGGCATTCTTTATCGCGCGGCGGAAGAACTTGAGGAAAACACCGAAATGCTTGCGTGGAATTACTGTTGTGAAGGCCGGTGGGGACTTAAGCTGCTCGAGACTGAAGGGAGCCATTGCCCCAGAAGAGTTCCTAGTACAAAACGTCGACGGTTCTCTGTTCAGAGAAATCGACCCAAAGGAAGGCTTTTCAGTTCGTAATTTCCAAATACAAGCCGCAAAATCAGCCATGCTTTCGGATATTCTGGTCTACGGAGAGGATCCATTTGAGGTCGAGAGGCTGGCGAAGGACATTGCAGCTGCCCAACGGGCATGGCGTGAAACACACCAAGAGAAGGGACATGAAATCCTCAAGTATAATACTTTTGTTTGCACAAGCCCATTTGAGGTTTTCGAACAGAAATATCCCGAGATCGTTTCTACAGATTCGAAGGGCCAGATGACAGGGAGGGTAATGGATTTCTTCCATCAAGAGAGGATCGAGATGTGCACGATGACTAAAGCTTCAGAGATTCATCACAACGTCTGGTTAGGCCCGACGCCTGATCCAGCCATAGATCCAGCCCTTTTAGGTGCTGATGAGCATTTTGACATTCTCATCGAATGCAGTGATCTGGGTCGGCTGAACCCCGCTTCTCTTCAAGCACTTGCCGAAAACTCCTCAGATGGAGGACCAGCGTATTTTGAGTTTCCTTCTTCTGGCAGCATCATGCCACCGACATGGTCACATACCGAGGTGGATGCTATTTTGGAAACATGCAAGTGGCTTTACAGCCTCTCTCACGGCATTCTTCCACCGTGCCCGTCATTTCAAGAGAACGACGCCGAAGGAGATTCACCTATGCCGTCCCCCGCACCAACCACCAAGATTCCTGAGAGGAAGATCCTCATACACTGTACCGATGGATACACCGAATCCACACTCCTCGGTCTAGCATATTTTACATACGCCACGGGACTTCCTATTCCTTCGGCCTGGCTAGATCTGCATGTATCCAAACGCCGCAATTTCTTCGCCTACCCATCTGATGTTGCTCTTCTCACTACCATTGCCCCGCGATTGCTCTCTGAGTCTCCGGTCCATGCTGATAGATCACTCACGGATATCACAGAACTTGCAAAGGATGAGCCAGAATGGATCAAGAATATGGACGGATCGCTACCTAGTAGAGTTACCGATTACATGTATCTTGGAAATCTTGGACATGCGAACAATCCGGATCTGTTACGCAGGATGGGAATTGGTCAGATTTTGAGTGTAGGAGAGATGGCAACTTGGAAGGACGGCGAGTTGGACATCTGGGGAGAGGATAATGTGCTAGTTGTCCAGAGGGTGCAGGATAATGGTGTTGACCCCCTGACAGACGAGTTTGAGCGTTGTTTAGATTTCATCGGTCAGTAGTCCACCTTGCAGACTCACCGACTCAGCTGACGTTCCTAGACCGCGGCAAGGCTAAGAACACCGCAACACTTGTACACTGCCGCGTTGGTGTTTCCAGGTCCGCGACAATCTGCATCGCGGAAGTCATGCGAACACTCGGCTACTCCTTCCCACGCGCTTACTGCTTCGTTCGTGCAAGACGATTGAATGTCATTATCCAGCCCCATCTGCGCTTCTCCTACGAGCTTCTTAAATGGGAAGAGAAGTTACAGAGGACTACCAGTAGCGATGGCCGTTTCCACAGGGAACTAGAATGGCCAGACATCGCGCGCGAGGTGGCTGCTATGAATAGGCCATATGCTAGATGACATTTGCCTGGATGGGGCACTACTTCTTATATTCTTAGCTCTATTTACTTCTCGGGGGTTTACGATTGACGATTTACGAAACTTTTATACCACGTTCGTTTCTATGGCGACGATTTTTGGGACAGTAGCAGGAGGATAGACTTATATCTTCCGCTTCTTTTCCCCTTGTTTTGATGCGAAGGTGGGGATCGATGTTATGTAAGGATTTTTGGATTGGACGGGCGGAAAGAGTGCAGGATATTTCGGCTCAGGTAGCCGAAGAATACCAGGACAGAGCGCCTCAGCCCTACAACGGACAGATACAAGATACCAGATACCACACATCCACCTCACATCTATGTACTTATTACTCTGGCGATTTCTATCTCTACTGTAACCTCTTGATGGCTTCACCTGAAGCCGGGCAGGATAAGGCGGACGGATGAATGTTACAGCTCCGCATTTTCGGGTACATTATACCATATAGTTTGGCTTGGGACTTTTGGTGCAGTATTTCTCGCGAACCGGGTCGCTCTACTTCTCGTGGAAAATGTGGGTTCTAGGATTACTGGCGGAGCGCGGAAAGCATCGTGTAGCTTACGAGGTTAGTGTTTCGATGAATGGAAACTGGATGGGTTTGTATGTCATTCGAGGGACGACTTGATTTGAATAGGAGGCCGTTTGTTCCAGTCATGAATGGATGTTCGTTTGAAATTTCTGAGTGACTCGCTGAGTGCAGGTGACGATGATCCTCGGCCTCTACGAAGTTCCAACACCTACCTGGCCTGTTGACTGTGACTGGGCTAATCGCTTCGATTGGCGATTAGCCGAGCTACACGGAAGGCATGTCGAATGTATAGGTATAATCATACTGCTGCTCCTCAGCAGTAAGGCTTTCACTCTACACAAACTTTGAGGGTGATAAGACAAATGCCAACTTCCTTATCGCTCATTTCTTGATCTTCGTCTTCTAACCAGCAAGTGATATCACAGAGCAAACTTGGCTCGAAGAGGGATTACTATAAAATCGCATGTACTGAAAAACGCCCCTGACTTTTTGCTATGTACCGAACTCCATAGAAAGACGATTCCTTCCCAAACTCCCAAAGTGTAAGCAAGCTCTGCATCTTCTTCGTTACACATCATCCATCCACCAAGGTGTCCTGGTACCCTTCACACCTCAACCTCGTCCCCCTTCTTCGTCGGCACTTGAGTCAACACATCAAAAGCCCCAGTCCCAACCTTACTCATCCTCCCAATAACGATCCTTGCACTGGGACTTGACAAATCATCCCAATCACCCTCAGTCACTGCATCTGCCAGAAAGCCTACCGTCGTCTCGAAACTCATCTTCATGAACGGGCTAACGCTTCCTCGGAGCCCATTTCTATTAAACGGACTGAATCCTCCCCCTCGAGTCATGAAGTCAGCAATCAGGTTTAAATGTCTGTGGTCAACAGTGATTCCGTGACCGCCGAAGACGCCAGAGAGTTCCTGGATGATGGCTGCGCGGCAGGCTTCGACGCCGTAGTTTGTGAGCATGGCTGCGATGTCGTTGGTAGAGATTAGATTGGGGTTGATTATATGGGGGTATGCTTGCATGGCTTGCAGGTTCACGCCCGCGGTGTGTACGACTGGGAGTCTGATCTCCTTGCCAGTGACTGGGTCGGTGAATTTCTCGTCTGGTACGAATGTGCAGGTTGCTAAGCCAGGAATCTGCTGGATGAGAGATTGGCGAAGCGCATCTTCGACGACGGAAAGCATGAGGACCTTGGGGACGTCGGCGTCGTATTCAAGCGTCAAATTGCACCATTCTCCTTTGGATTCGTCGAAGCGGAAACTGACTATGTCGTTGCATGCCTTCATGACACGGGCTTCTCGCTCGTCGGACACGGTTGATTCATTCCGAAGTCGGGAAGTTGATTTGTTTATGTGCTCTTCATCATCAGTTCCTGGGTCGCGAGGTGAACCGCCGATTCCTTCGTCGTCCATGTCCTCGACATCTTCTGGATCGGCTTCCTTTTGCATCTGAGCTTGGACCTTGTCATCATCCTCGTCGTTGGCTGCATAGCTGATAGCCTCGGTGCGATTAGCCCTTTGCTTGTCGTTCGTTGCATCATCGTCCCCGTCGTCATCGTCATCATCCTCTCCGACTTCTCTCTCGGCTGCAGGGCCGGCTTCTTCGATGACACCTATAGACTTACCAATCTCAGGAACTGCTGCCGTATTTGCTGAAGCCTTCAGTGCAGACTCTCCCTTCTTCTTGCCGAGCGCCTTCCGCGTCAATTGCTGCAATTTTGGGGCGAATTTCTTCTCGAATGTGGAAAGTACATCTGCTACTGTGATGGCGTAGGTCTCGGTGTACTCTTTCGATGGGAAGAGCTTGACATTGATATCGAATATTTTGGCCTGGGAATAGGCGATTCCTTGTCCGATGCGTTCTTCAACTCTAGCTTCGTCCAGTACCTCAGCTAGAGATAGGACGCTAATAGCCTTGGCAAATTTCTCCCCGTCTTCGCGTGAGAGTTCAGGGTTGAGCTGGAGTGTCATCGAAGGTGTTGAGATGTGATTACTTGCGGTCATGACAATTTCTCTTAGACGCGGAATACCCAAAGTAACATTCTTTGCTGAGTGGCCAGCCAAATGGAAGGTATTGAGGGTCATCTGTGTCGACGGCTCTCCTACGGACTGACCAGCCACGATACCAACAGCCTCTCCAGGATCAACAACCGATTTCAAGTACTTGGCTACGAGAACAGGCTCGAGCGCCTTTCTGACACCAATTCCGTCGGGCGTTTCTTTGGTTTTCACCATGTTGTCCGGATTGGTTTTCAAGTAATCAGTCAATGCGTCGAAAAACTTCTCTGACGTAGCATAGCCGTATTTTCCAGGGTTGAAATCTGCCAGAACAGGATCTGGGCCATTCGGATCGTTAGCATTGGCGTGCTTGACAGCTTTCTTCATTCGCTTCAGAATAGCATCCTTCTCCTCGAAGATTGTAGCGTACTTTGGATCGCCATAGTTTAACTGCGAGAGTTCGGAACTGAGGTTCTGAAGGAGGAACTTGAAATCTGTCAAGTGCTTTTGTTTGGTCACATCAAGGCCGTCTTCTCCGTAGAGAAACTGAACCATAGATCCGTCAGAATCTCGCACTGAGGTGTCGTACTCGACTCTGAGACCTTCCATACCCTTGATAAGACATCGTTGAAGATATCCAGATCGAGAAGTCTTGACAGCAGTATCAATTAGACCCTCTCTACCAGCCATGGCATGGAAGTAGTACTCTTGGGGTCTGATGCCAGTCAGGAAACGATTGACAATATACCCTCCAGCTCTGATATGGGTTTCGAATGGCTTGAAACATGGTAGTGATTTCCCACTGACCATGACCGGGACACGCCGACCCTCCAAGACTTGCTGGCCAAGATTGCAGGAAATCAGATTAGCATTGACTGCGGTTCCTTTTGCTCCAGACACAGTCATATTCTGCATTTGATTCTTGGGGAACTGTTTGACCAGGCCGCCTGGGAGACAAGCCTTGGTAATGTCGGAGGAGAGCTTCTGTGAGCTGTTGTTCATCAGCATATCCAAGCCTGCCTGCTTGGAATCATCTCTGAGCACGTCTTCTAGTCGTCTTAGAAGCTCGGGATCGGTATCGTTACGGTCTTCGCCACTCAAAGTAACATATTTTGCAGCAACTTGGAGTCCAAGGTCTTCTGCAGCTTCGAGCGTTTCTTTCCGCAGTCTTTCGCCTCTGGCCGTTAGACGAAGATCATCCATCCCGCATGTGAAAGCTCTCATATGCAAAAACTTCGTCAGAAGTCGGCCCAGGATACTGAGAACCTTTCCAGCCACGGTCGGACCATATGCCTCATGTATCGAGTGAACAAACCCTCCCCCGGTGGGGCCTATCTGGGCCTTGTCCAGGATCCCGGTAATGAATTCTCCTCCTTTGAAATGAACGATGCCTTCCTCGGACTTTTCGCTCCATCGATCCTGTGGGGTGGACGACTTGCTGGTAAGAGTGAGCGGGCCGCAATCGACCGGAGTGATGTTTCTCAGTATTGTGGTTATTACCTGTTTTCCACTCCATCGTGGAAATGGCTTGATGATTGCTGGAGGGACTGTCTCTATGCGATCTCCGATGATATGCCCGCTTTCGGGCCGAAGGCAATTGTAGATTAGCTGCTGGTATGTTGCACGGTCAAAGAATGTGTCTCGATTACACATCCAGACAGAGACCGAAATGTGATCTTGAATAAGACCTCTGAGTGGCTTTCCAGAAGTGGCGACCAGGTATTGGTGATCCGTGTCCGCAATCTGTAGTGCTTCTGCCCGGGCAATTTCCGTCTGTGGAAAATGCATATTCATCTCGTCTCCGTCAAAGTCCGCATTGTAGGTATTGCAATTCGCATAGTGCATGCGAATCGTCTTTTCTCCAGGAAGTACCCTTGCTCTGTGGCCCATGATGGACGGCTTGTGCAGTGTCGGCTGTCGGTTCATCAAGACTACATCGCCATTCGTCAGATGTCGATGGACCTTCTTGTTCCGAGCACCACTAGCACTATTGCTGGAGGATGCAAGTAGCTGGTTTGCCAGTGCTAGTCGCTCGTCTTGTGTTTTTGTTCGCAGACTGATGACTTGGCCATTCTCGTTTTCGATCGCTGCAGCTCCGGGCCATCTGTCAACTCCGTTTATCACAGCCTGCTGCATGTCCTTGAAGTTGTGACTTGTCACTGGTTCCGGATATGTCAACTTTTTGGCAAAAACTGGCGGAACGCCAATCTCATTGGTCTCGATGTTTGGATCTGGGGAGATAACACTACGGGCTGCGAAATTGACTCGTTTTCCCATCATGTTTTTACGGAAAAGACCCTCCTTCTTCTCCAACTTTTGCTTGATTCCATCTTCGTTCTTCTTACCAGCTGCTCCCTGGATCGGGTTCCGATCTCGGTCGATCAACGAGTTTACAGTGTCCTGAAGCTGGCACCAGGCTTCCTGAAGATCATAGTAGTCCCTCTTCTGCCATGATGCGTAGTCTGCAGCTTGGTCTGGTTTGGTGATCATGTTGTAGATCTGAGCGACCGTTTCGCAACTCTTGAGGATAGTCTTGTAAAGGGTGTTTTGCTGCGCTTCCGATATTTCACCGTCTCCAGTCCGTGCTTCCGGGCGATATTTGTTGGGGGGGACCATGAGGGTCTGTAAAAAGAACATATCGGCAGAAACCTTTGTGGCCTTTTTAGCTGTCGATCGAGAATCGTATATCAGAGACAAAATATCTTGTTCCTTTTCAAACAATAATACCAGGCTTGCTTTGACTTCCGTCGCGTTGAGGAATCGTTGAGCTGGCGGTGCAATCTTTGATTTCGAGCCTTTCCTCGAGTTGGTCTGGCCCATAACCACATCCCCATCAACATCAAGTGCATCCCCCTCACCCTCATCATCCTCGTTTGACGACAGGTCAATATCCGCAATTCCTTCGTCAAAATCGTCATTGAGGTTTTCCTTCTTTGCTGACTGCAATAACTGAATGGCACTAACTGCGCGGAAGTTTCCTTGAGACATCTTAGCCTTCTCCTTCATACTAAGTGACTTCTCAAAGATCTTGACGTATCGATCCTTCCGAAAGGTAGGCGAGATTCCACTGCAGTTTCCGCAGGCCTTGCCAGCATTAATTGCCTTTAGGAAAGATTTCACGACAATCCGCCTCGCCTCTGCAACACCCTCATTCTTCTCTCGTCTCCACTCCCAAGATGAAGTCTTCGCAGCTTTGATCGACTTCTTGACAAATGCATTCCTCCGGCGGATGACATTATCAACCGCGGATTCTTCCTCCGAGTCGCTACTTGCAGCTGAGACTTCAGCATCCTTATTCTGGGAGATCTCGATGTTGTCTATCTCTTCCGCGGGTCCAAGCAATCCATGTTGTATCAGTCGAAGTTTGCAGAGATACCGGTTCACTTCTTTTCGAGACATCTTGAGGTGATGACAGTAGGCGCATTTTGCTCGTAGTAACCGCAAGAGTTGGTCCATAAATGTAGGGTGGTATACGGGAACTGGAAGGTCGATATGGCCCATATGGCCCGGACATCCAAATGAATTGAGGTTACATGTTGTACAACTTTCGAAGATATCAGCAAAGTATTCTAAGAAGCTGTTGGAAATGACGCTCACAAGTGGTCACCCCAAGCACCAAGAGCTGGGTCATACAATCCGCCAGGAACTGGGTGCAAAAGTGTGTCGAATGTTTGCGGATTGTCGATTTTCTTCACGGAAAGTAATTTGATCTCTGCAGCACCGAGAAAGCCAAAGTCAACGCTTCCAATAGCGGAGGGAACTGGCTGAGAGATATTCATCTTGGTGGAGATTTGATACCAGAGCAGCAGAGGTGCAATGGCTGGACCAAGAGTTTGAGATGGATTTTACACCCCGCGACGACAAAAAATAAAGGCAGGGATCAAATAAGCACAATGGTGGAGCAGGTACTACATCATGTGACACAACATTAAACCTTATACTGCGCCACAGAGCCTCCCTTTCAGACCTATTCGCAACAACCAGTAGCCTAATCATCATTCGAAAACTTTGGAGAAGCCAGATAGCGCATGCCATAATACAATGGATCGCGGCAAGGCATCCCCCATTCTGGCTCCCCGTCGCGATGCGTCCAGTCGAGTCGGCAAGCCTGAGTCCGCTGCAGAGAAACTTGCATCCTTGAAGGCGAGAGTTGCGGCGGCAGTTGGCAGCAGCAAAGCAAAGGCTGGCATAAATCTCTCCCAGCATCCTGCTTCAGTCACTGCCAGAGGTGGTCTGAACGTAGACCTTCATCCAGCTCTCCAAGATCTTGGACAATACAAACCTTCAAAAAATATAGCACCGAAGTTTGCGACCAGCATCGGAAATGCGCGACTTCAACCAGAAAACTCTCCCGTCAAAAGCAAGAAGCAACTCGACCTTTCTGGACCTTCAGCTGAGGAGACACGGAATAATCCATACTTTGACCTTAGCTTGGGTGGGCAGACTGCGACGTTGAAAAATAGACATTCGAGACAGTTGGTATTCAATCAGAAGGGGAAATACATTCAGCAAGCGAATGCCCTAAGAAGACAAACCGCCCTTGAGGCGATGAAAAAGCGTATCGCGGAATCGTCACGGAAGATTGGAATTGACGAGGATCTCGATACAGAAAAGAACTATTTGGTGGAAGCGCCACCGAGTATCGAATGGTGGGATGAAGGCTTGGTTGATGGCGAGAATTACGACCATATCGATAGCCCCAAGAGGTTGAAAATTGATTCTGCCGACTCAATCATCACCGAATATATCCAGCACCCCGTCCTTCTGGAGCCACCACAAGAAAAGAATATGCCAGCCCCCAAGCCCATGTTCCTTACATCCAAAGAGCAAGCGAAGCTGCGACGTCAAAGAAGAATGGCCGACTTGAAGGAGCAACAAGCTAAGATTCGACTTGGTCTGGAACCGGCTCCACCGCCCAAGGTGAAGAAAGGAAATTTGATGAGGGTACTGGGTGAAGAGGCAGTGAAGGATCCAACTGCAGTTGAGGCTCGAGTAAATCGAGAGATTGAAGCCCGACACCAGACACATGTGGAGATGAACGAGGATCGCAAGCTTACGAAGGAGCAGCGGCACGATAAGCTAGCCAAGAACCAAGAGAATGATGCTGCCAAGGGAATACATTTAATGGTGTTCAAAATCAACAACCTGGCTAATGGAAGTCATCGTTTTAAGATTGCCAAGAATGCAGAGCAAATGGCCCTCACCGGTGTTTGTATCATGCATCCCCGATTCAATGTCGTAGTTGTTGAGGGCGGTGAGCATAGTATTCGACAATATCGGAAGCTCATGCTCCAGCGTATCGACTGGACTGAGAACTCACCAACCAGGATCAAAGAAGGCACAAAGGCAGAAGCGCTGCAGGACTGGCTCAAGGCAGAAGATGAAAGGGGAGAGCTCAAGGATATGACTTTGAATAAATGTGTTCTGGTCTTTGAAGGAGAACAAAAGACTCGAGCATTCAGAAAGTGGGGAAGCAAAGTTTGTGAGACTGATAGCGCAGCTCGCGAGACGTTGCAGAGAGCGAAGATGGAGAATTTCTGGGCACTGGCCAAGAGCATGAAGTAGATACCCTGCGAGGCGAGAGAACCTTGCCTGTAGGTAAGTAAGCTTCTAATATATTTGGCCGTGCTGCCAGCTCAAACATCTGTATTGTTTCAATCTGAGCTGCAGTGAGCTCCCAGTCTCATTCTATCTATATGTCCATCATCATGGAGGCCTCTAATTCGTCATCATCATCAAAGCCATAATCGTCTGTGCCCGCTGCAGTTCCAGTGCTGACGCCCCCCATTTCTCGATCTCCTGCTGCGTCTGACTGCTGTGCTTCTCTCAATGCTCGAATACTCTCCTCTTCTTTCTTCTCCTTATGGTCCTCCAAATCCTTCAAGCTCCATGTGCTGATGCCCTCTTGGTCCCTCGGTTTGAAAGGCTGCGCCATTCCTCGCAAGAATTTCTTCGCTGCACCAACAGCCATATCAGTGCTGAGGTTTACTTCGCTGTCCAGAATGGCTTGGTCGATCCACTTTGGCAACTGATCCTTCTTCTTTAGAAATCTCTTGTCTGCAAGTACCATAATTCCGTAATCATCTTTGCCTCTCAGCACACGACCCAGGCATTGAGCAGCATGCCTCATAGCATCGAACGATAAGAAATCGTTTTCTCTGATCCGATACTTCTCGCGGAGGAATTGCAAACGAGCCTTTAAGATTCTAGACTCTGTGTACTGGAACGGCACACCTATGCAGAGCACAGTGCGCCCATACTGGTGGTCGAAATCGATTCCCTCGCTGACTTTACCTCTTGCAACACAGAGCAGTATTGCACCTCTTCCGTTGTCGCAAGCAGTGCGGTATGTTTCGAGAGCTAAAGAGGTTTCTTGTGCATCAGGCGTTTCAACAAGTATAAGTTTGTATTTCCAGACCTCGTCTAGAATACCCATTCCTTGCCACATGCTAATAATTGACTCCATGTAGAGATAGGATGGGAAGAAAACGACCATACCATCCGGCGTGAGCTTTGCGAACTCTGTGAGGAGGTGTCCGTAATTTCGAACAACAGCGGGTTCATTCCGCACCTGAAATCCAGACGATATAGGTACTTGATCTGATCCTCGAGTTACTATCATCGGTATGAAAGATTTACGCGCGAGTGTCATTGGATATGATTCTTGTACTACAGCTGTGAAGCCAAGCATCTTTGGGTACATTTCCAGAGGAGATATGGTTCCAGATGTGATGATGACAGAGCTAAATCGATCGAAAACGGGCTTGATCGCGATTGCGGCATCTAGGCATGTAAAATGGAGAACTGGGTTGGGGACCTCTGCTGTTTCGGACTCGTATGGCTCTAATATAAGGACGAATCCCGTCTCGTAGGTTGCCACCAACGTTGCAAACGTTGCAACTTCCTGCAGTGGCTGATAGTCTTCGATGTTGGTCAACTCGAGGGTCCTTACAAGAGAAGTCAGTCTTTCAGCACAGAATCTGAGTGGCTTTTTTTCGATAAAGGTGTATTCTTTCAGATGGGCAAGGAAGGATGGCGGCGTTTCGGAAATGGTCTGTCGGACTTTCATACGAGTCTACGGTGTGTTAGAATCAATATGTTTAGGGGTCGGTCTGACATACTTTCAAGTACTCGATGAATCGTTTCAAGAATGCTACGAAATGCTCTGCTCTCCGAATATTCCCAGGAATGGCCTCCTTCAAGAGGTCGTCTGGAAGAGCTGGACCAGGTCATCAGCAAGGGCAAAATTTTCGCACCAGGACAGACAAACCAGGATTAGACATGAATGCATCCTCTTCACGAGCTTCATCCGCATCCCTCAAACCTTCAACTAGCTTTGCATACTCGTTCTTCAACTTGTCTGCGTCACTGTCTTTCATCTCTGAGATCTTATTCTCGAGATTCTGAGCACCTCTAGTTGCTTTACGCAGGGAATCCTCAGTAATATCTGTGCTGAGGGATTCGATGCAGACGTTGTCGATGTTGTGTGCCTCATCAAAAACGACGATACAGTCTTTGGATAGTTCCTTTGATACACGTTCGGCGATTTTTGGATCGAGCAAGTAATGGTAAGAGTAAATGATCACGTTGCAGAAAGACATCTGGTCATGCAAATCAGTGCTGTTATGAATCGCAAGGAGAAACTGACCATTCGTCGTGATGTGAAATATGGACACTGCTTGTGCTCTTCGCCATACTTCTCAAGCCCATCGAAAGTCCAGACACCATTCGGAATCAAGTTGTGCGGTTCGAGAAGATCCAAATTCTGCTGTTGTCAGCTTGCCACAAGATTTGCTCGAGAGGAAACTAACATCATGGTAGATGCAAACTGGTACGTCTTCTCCTCGGTCCTTCTTCTCCTTCACAAATCCGGCTGTTAAGCTCCGACACCTTGCATCCACCACAGCACCACTCTTCTCGCGCTTTACGGACGGATGAAGACACAAATTCTTTCGACTCGTCAAGCCAAGACCTCGGAATTCTTCTTCGTGGCCAAGTTCATCTGCTCGATACTTCATGAGTGCCTTCAACTCGTGCAAAGCTTTCTCAATCTCAGACATGGTACCTAGAATCTATCAGAATTGGGTTGAGCGTCGAAATTGGGAACACACGTGAACAATAGATCAATTTTCGGTGCTCTGGATAGTATTGCTGATACGCTACGATCAGGGACAGGAGAGATACGGTCTTTCCTGTCCCTGAAGGCATCTCCAGAACACAATGGCCTCCCGCGTCGAGCGTTCCTAGATAAAAATAAGTCTCGAGCTTCGCCATATGGGATTTTCAGGTACTCTTGAGATCACACATATAGCTGGTTTAAGAACGGCATTGTCAGCAGCAATTAGCCCACAGTATGGCAGAGGTGTGGCAAAGACATACGCATATTGTTCTCGGGAATGTCAGTCAGAAATTGAGTGGTTGGGGTTGATCGGCTTACCAGGATATATCATCGCATATGGGAAGAGCACCGGGAGATCACTACGGTCGACAGTCAGTAGCGATTTAGGTATGGGTTGTGGAGAAACATACTCGATATTGAACCTCATTTTTAATGAGAACAGAAGAAATTTGTTCGGGGTGGCCGGCCTGGGTGCGGTTTCTTTGATGTTGGAGTTCGATTCGAAGTCGCCACAGTCTTATATGTGTCTGCCTAAAGATGAGAGGCGAATCGATGCTGCTGGGGAGTTGGCAGCGGGGGACAGGCATATCAGATTGATACAAAAGCTAATCAAGTTCGAGATGTCATTATATATCACGCCGTTGCAGGTTGGAGTCACTTCCATTTGGTGTGGTAAAAGAGCATTGCAAGCATTGTAGCGCCAAATGGCCGCCGTAGGATTAGTCATCTCGTGTCACAGCGGCTGCTGAGCCAACATTGCCTGCCCTGTTTGTTTTTTATCGCTTGTTCAATCAGGACCTAATCAGCCAGTGCACAATCCACTTCGAACTCGGATAAATCATCGATCTCTTACTATAAAGAACTTTGAACTTGTTTCTGAACACAAGCCTGATGGTCGTAATGTGTATGTATGAAATTCCTCCCGAACTAATAATCGCAGCACATGGTTGAGCAATCGAGCAGGTGCTCATTCCGAGCTCCTACAGACTTCCTTGACTGTAATATCCTTCGTTGGAAACCAACACGAAAGTTCCCGGTTAAATGCTGCATTGAGATATGTAGGTTCCTCTGGTTACGATAGCAGTGTTTGATCCACGCGGAGGAGGTCGATGAATGTCGATCGAGAACACCTATGGCACGGGACTGTGGCCTTCCATGCACTACTTCCAATTTTTCTCTTGCATAAACCTGGTTAGTAACTCATCTCTCCGTTGAAACAAAAACTCTTCCATCTCATTATTCTATTGTGCCAAAGGCGCCCCCAGAGCTAGCTGTGGGTAGGAGAATTTTACCCAACGACCTTTGTAGGTGCGAGTGGGGGATCGTCTCTTGCGAGGACCACTCAAACCTATGAGGGACTATCTTCGTTAAACACATTCAGCCAGTATTGGATGGCGTGAATGATAAATTCCATCTATTCATCGACTCAGCCAAATATTTACTGCATGCTCAGCGCTCTGCATGCGCTATGTCTCTTTCTCAGTGTATCTGCTAGAAGATGACCATTAGGTGAACGAATGGTCAATTCCTCGCGATCGCTTCTTCCTTACATTCGTTGCTTCTCCTATCGTTTCTTCTCCTGACACTCGCTGGTCGTAGCATATTGTTGGTCAGATTCCGAGTTTGTAGGTACTTCGATTGTATGACTTTGTCGTGGAACAGACGACATAGATACGTCATCGCATCCAGACTCATATCCTGCATGACGCTTTGGTAGTATTTCAGGTCCTTTTGATCTAGTATGGTATATTATGAACACGTGTCTCTCCCCCACGAGATATGCCTCCGCAACTAAGTTCTCCTCTGCCATGAGATGTCTTTCCAGCACGGGACATCTCTATATTGTAGGATGAACCTATGGAACAGGACGTTTCTCCATGCAGTCTCTTCCCTCTACGACATGCTTCTCCGCTGGAGATGACGTACTAGTCATAAATGCTTATCTTCCTTCGTCCCGCAATTGGCTCTACAATGAATCCAAAACATACTTCGTAGCACGCTCGCCGACTTGCTTTTGTAAGAGACCCAGTTTCTCCGGGTTGGGTTGAGAAAGCAAACCCACCAAGTGAAATTCATCCCTCGCTACATTACATCCAGTGGCATACGGTTTTGATGGTAGATGGCATTCGTACGTACACCCTTTTCTTACTTCTCTCGACACACGATGGATAGGAGAGGTTTGGTGTCTGTCATATCATCCGATGACAATAGTAAGCTCGTCGGGGCGTTAAGCTCCCTGCCAACGACTGAAAATGAAATGCTGCCTCGTCGGGATTTAGTCATTTTCCATCAATGTGCCCGTTGAAGGGCTTCTATGAAGAGTGTTGGCAAAATTTCATTATCATGGGATTCATTAGTAGAGTTAGTCTCGGACCCAGGAGTTGCTGTGGTAACGCCTCATACATCTCGTCCTCAAGCATGATACGTTGGGACGACATCGTAACAGCTGCTGGTCCGGTAGATGGTGACCCTACGACCCCAAAAGATTAGTCTGTAGCTGTTGGGCTTTAGACAGTTTCGCAAATTGTGGGGTGTCAGTGCAGCGCAGGAGGTGGTGACGCTGTTTTGATTTCGTTTGAAAGTTGTACGATGAGGAAATTGTGTCACAGAACGCTGTAACTCGGCATACCCAGAGCAAGATGTCAACATTTATAGATGATCATCAGGGGCAGACGAATATTAAAATAAATACTCTCTCAACTAGCCCATTTCCAGCCTCCTGCTCAGGGTTCCTGCCTACAAATGATCTTCTCTCAAGTATTTTGTCGCTCTAAGTAGTACTATTCATGTCTATACACTCAAATTTGGGTTTGCTTTTCAACGCAAGTACTACTGAGGACTTTCTAAGATAAATCTCTCGGGGCTAACAGAGGAGGTAGATGGTTAAGGACTTGCTTGCGGAGGTCAGCGGAAGTATAATCATTAGCCTAGCAATCACAGTGCTGAATCCAGATAACTTGCAACTGCATTATAAAACAAGTACACTAAATTTGAATCCTGGTCCTTGTCTACCTACAAGCATAGTTCAGAGTATGCACATGATAGTGCTGTGGCAATTAGACCCTCCAATGATCTTGACCACTTGGTTGGCATTATATCAACTCACTACCCAGGTAGCTACTCATGATGAATACCTCAAAGCGGTAGCTTTGTGATCATCCTTTGCCTCCAGATAAGTTTCCAACATTGCAATGGCATGACAGCCCTTCATCATTGCTCTATTATTCAGTGCTCAAGTCGAGTCTAGGGTTAAGTGATGGGATATAACAGTTTCTCGGCTCGGATGTCTTGTTGTTTTATCCAGCGTCGTACATGCTATGCCGAAGCATATGCTGAAAGACAAAGAACTCACTTTGTATAGTGACATATACATAATTATCCGTGGCTACTGATATTCCGAGGAAGTCTATCGGGCTCGGATAACTTCTTGCAGGTGGGAAAGAACGCTGATTAACTGTTGGACTTTGAGACTGGGCATGGAGTGTGAAGCAGCAAAGCCGCTGTCAATTTAGACATGGGACAGCATGATAGACTCAAACCCCTTAAGGATTCGTTCAAAACAGATAAGGCAAAATGAAGTATCAACAGACTTAATATAGAAGACTACTGAAATATATTTTTATTCACTCGACTTTCAAAGGATACTTAAATCAAAGTCATATCTACTTAATGATTGTCCTAGAGTAATCAAGACGCGAGGAGCAAATAGAACAGCGTTAGACTGACTGAGACTTGAGAAGCAAGTCTCTGCTTGAGGTGTAGCACTTAAGGGGTCTACACCTGGTTCTAGTAAGAGAGACGCAGTCGCCCATTGAGAATAAATAGCTACTCTCAAGCTGTTAAGAGTCTTAGAGTATCACCAAGGAAGAACGCTTTTACAAGAACATCAGAAGGCACTGTAAAAGCACGTTGATAGTTATATCATTGGGCTACAAATGTTTGTAAGAGTAAATAGATTAAAGGACTGCTTTGAGAAATAGGCTTAGGACTTGATAATACAATTATTACGACAAGGCTCTAGAAGAGAGGTGGTCTCAGAACATTTCTAACATGATGCACCTGGTGAAATGGGACAGGGCCGGATGTTGGGTGGCCTGGGTTCCGCTGGTAGTGCACAGTCCACCGTGACAGATCAAAACAAAACAAAAACGCGATCATTAGGCAAGACAAAGTCACTGAAGGTTCACGGAATGACAGTTTAGAGTTTTAAGATCATGATCGTATTGCTCAGCGCCCTACGCTGGCCAAGTAATGTACACCCCTGAAAAAAGCAACTCCCATGCGCAAGTGTAACTCCATAAACCGTCAAGTCCCAATCCCATTATCCGCCCAGTGTATCCATCACATCTCCCGAGTATGCTATCATCCACCCAAATTCAACCTGTCCGAAAACCGATGAAGAGAGTCGAGATGTGCCATGTCGTGAGAAAGGAGGAATAGTGAGGCATTGCGTATCTAAGAGCGTTCTCCACGGAGACGACGGGCGAGCTGGATATCCTTCTATTTTGAGTTAGCCATGAATTTGAATTTGAATGATGAATAGGGCCCGCTAACACTTTGAATTGTCACTCGTTTTTGAAGATCGTTACACGCCAGAATCTATGTCGACCCCCTTTCAATGGAAATCTGGTGCTCGAGCTGCTATACTCGACAGACGAAGGCATTTCCATAAGACGTATTCCACGCTGGCTATTGCTTCACAGCTCGCACACGCGAGTACCGGCCAGGTGTTAGAAGAAAGCTTTATAGAATGCCACTTGTTTCAAGAGATGTCGCAACATATCCTCTATCGTGAGTAAGACTGTCCAGCTACCATTACATCAGGGGTATATCTATACCATGATAATCTCTAATAAGTCATGCAGCGCCTGATAAATTAACACCATGTATGATCATCTCCTCTGCCCCTGAAACGTTTCCCTACCTCTCGCGCATTCCTTCCCACTTGCTGCCTTCTCATCCTCCAGTCTCTTCAATGCAAATATCTCGTTTCTCAGCTGTTCCATCCGATTATGCAACACCATGAAGTTATTCATCATGTCGCTGTTTTCCTCCTTCAGATTCAACATGATATCGTACAGGTTATTGTACTTCGGATAGTCGGCATTGTACTTCGTGACCATGGAAGCGAGTTTGGACTTTCTGACCCCATCCCACTTCACCAATTTGCCATTGGATTCAACCCTACCCTGTTTGAAGAGCTGCTGCATTGCTGCTCTTGGTCCATACCAAAGACATCTCGTCGTTTCATCAGATGTAACCAGAAATGTCAAGGGACTCGATAGGGCATTTGCACGGGTTGCTGGTTTCCCATCTATTGGGATGTATTCAACGTATTTGTTAACCTTCGCAGCTGGACAACTTCGGCAGAGGTACTTGTCAGCATTAGATCCGGCCATCACGCACAGAGGATAATATATTTTCCGGACATTATAGCTCCCTCGAGCGCCACTGGTTGGATATCTAACGTTGAAGAATCGTGGGTTCTCATCATCCGCCACCGGCTCCAGGCAACGAGAACACTTTCGAGGTACCGACACGGGGTCAGAATTGGTACCAGGGAAGCAATGCTCATCGAAAAGATCGAATGTCTTGGAAGCCGTCTTTGCATTGTTTGATAGAAAGAACTTTGGTCCACCAGACTCACGCTTGAGTTTGCGAGCTGCTCGTGCCTTGACCAGGCTATCGTAGCCGTTAGCTCGTTGAGCAGACCGGCCTTTAGCAAGGTTCGCATGTCCACTTGCAGCCAATGATATATGACCCTTCTTCAAATTAGGCCAATTGTTATTCCTCAGCACAGCCCTTGCTAGAACAAGATTGGGGAATCCTTGAACACGCTGTGATTCCGTAGCTCGGGTAACAAAGACTCTGTGGATCTGCCTGACAATCGTCAAGGATGAAGATTGATCAGCCGTGAACGAATTTCGATGCACCCAATCAAGAAGACAGTCTCCGAGCTCATTTGCTGCGACTACAGAACCAGAGAGCTTCTCGTAGGTGATCAATTCAAGAATTCGGTTCAAGGGTGTCTGGCCGATCCAGCCAAGCGGTGTCCCTGAGAACGTGGGCTGCTTTCGTTTCACGTTCTCAGCAACCCACCACCTGAAGTAATCCGAATTCACTGGTTGTTTGTGGCCTGAAAGTGCTGCCGCAAGGTTCCAGAGATCGTCTTGTTGTTGTGCGAGCTGGGGAGACTTCTGGTTCATGATTCCTTCCGTATGCCATGCCAAAATGACGATTTGGGTTATGGTGGTCTTCATGCTATCTTCATACACAATAAAAATATGACATGATTGGTTGTAAATCTTCCGGTTGGGCCAGACCATGAGACCCAGTGAGCGGCCATACGCTTCCGATGATTTGAAGTCTTTGAAATTCTCCTCGGAAAGAAGTAGAACTATGCGACCAGCAGAGAATAGATTACTGGCAAAGTTGTTGTGCAGGCGTGTGAGATCTTGGTCTTTCAGGTACGGCAGTCGGTCATCCTTGTCCACACGGCTATATCGTAAATATACCGCTTCGTCCATGAACACTTCGGTACCGCTTTGCAAGCCTAGTTTCTTGAACGCCATACGCAAGCATGGATTGGATGAGTCAGCAGTCACACCAAAAAATGGAGACTTCGTTGAAAAAGTCGGGTAGTGCCATCGAAGATGAAGCGTAGCCATCCTAGAACCTGACGGCTTTACAAGGAATGATGCCATCTGTACCAGTCCCTGAGATACATTGTCGCTGACAAAGTCGTCCCACAATGTATCTAGCCCCGTATCCAGGCATGAGAGCCATTCTGAAGTTGTAGTCTCGTAATCGAGACACTGGAGCTGAGATTGGAGATCTGCGGACAGCTGCGAGGGCTCGGTCGATGGGAGTGCAGACTCGTGGCTACAACCATTAGATGATTGTATTATGAACAGAAGGAGAGAGCTTACCTTGGCTGGGTATCGAGAGCAGCTTGGTCGGCCACAAGCTCTTGCATGGCTTGTGCCAAAGTCGAGGACTTCCTATGTGCCATGGAGTTAGTATGATACCACCCTCTGCTATAGGACTCCCTGTGAAGTCCATACTTGACCATGGACTTCGACAGGATGACCTGCTGGTTACTCTCCTCCAAGGTATCTTCTATGAATTGGGAAACGTTTCCAGGTGTACCGCGGACAACAGCAAGGCCACAGAACCACTTGATGAGTTGCGCAGCAGCATCTTGGTCCTGGTATCTGGGCCCATGGAGTACCGTACTTGCCTCAGGTGGAACATCGGCCACAGCATGCTGCAGACGGTTATCAGCTGAACTTACCGTGACAGCGTTGAACGATTGTGGTGACCGGAGAGCAGCAGATGCGATAGTGAAACAATCATTGGCTGCAGGTCCTAGGCTCTTGATAGAACTTGGTGATGATATTCGGGTACTGTGACCGACGTCAAGAGAGTTGGGACTGTCATTTTGTGGCACAGAAGCTGTCACGAAAGTATCCAGTCTCGAACTCAGTGCTGCCGCATTGTTCCAGGTCGCGCGGTGGACTTTTGGCTTCAGCTTCGACTTTTGTGACTGTGCCGTGCTCGAACTGGTTCCAAAGAATGATTGCAAAGCAGGGGTTGACTTTGCAGCAGAATCCCACACAGTCTGTGACTTAGTGACCCGTCCAGCTTTGACTGACTTCAAGGATGGCTTGGGAGACACCATGGTGACTGATGGCTTGAGTGCGCCAGATGACTACCAGAAAAACTGTGAAGGAGCCAGTAGGCAAAGAAATTGCGCTCGCTGATGATTCCCAGACCAGGGAGTCCATCTTGCCCTTCAACCACCGCTCTTCCAACCCACGACATGCTGGAAAGGTAGGAGCATCCCGTTCTCTGGAGTTTTTATTGTTGCATGTGGAAGTCGCGACCTGGGACTCCACGTAGCCGGGTAAATAAATCCATGGTATGCGAGGATTAAAGGGCTAGGAAGATAGTAACGGAGGTAAAGATACTAGGTACAAGATAACTGATGATGAAGGTACGAAGTATAGGTCTTGAACACCTGCTTGTACAGCAGCGAGTCGCCATGATTCCATGGTTTGATTCTTCCATCTTGAGATCCAAAACAGCAGGGAGACGCTTGAGAAGAATCCTTGCCAATTCCTACCCTATTACCTGCGTGATTTGAGTCCGGAAAAGAAGATGTAGTTGGAAATTTGGACGTTTCAAGAAAGAAGAATGAGAGGAAGCGTGACGCAAGATATATTCCGCTCGTCGGTTCGTTAGTAGCGGATCAGTCATGCACTAAGCAGTTCGGGTCTGACTCGGGGATCAAAATGAAAGGATACTTTAGAGTTGTTTTTCTGTAAAAAAATTGTACAACGTGATTAATACCAAAAACGAGTCTGGTAAAGAAAACCCATGTAGCTCACTGCTGGAATTTATGGAGTATGAAGAAAGATCGCCTCGTGCTAAGAAACTTCGGGAAATCACACTTGGTGCTGCCATCGCGCCGCTGGGCAGGTCGAGCCCAGTAATGGCAAATTGGTGAAGTGGGATGCAGCTGTTTCAAACTGGCTTGCTTCCCTGGTCGGGAGATACAATCTCGCCTAGGTGAACATTGGCTGATCCTTCAGTGACTAATTGGCAGAAGGTATCTGCGCACCAATGGAGGTTGCCAATTTTCTCGTTTTTACGGATTCTCACCTCTCTCTATCACATTGGGAAACTTCCTCCACGGCGCTGTCTATGCTACCTCAGTTTGGACTTCCGGGATTCTTGGGGTTGTTGGACTAAATTGTAGAGCGACTAATTGAAAACGTGTTGGATGTTGTGAAGTTGTCACGTGTACGACTCCTGAAAAGGAAGTGGTGTGCTCGTGTCGTGTTCGAGGTGCAGGTCTTCTAAAACTGCTTAGGAGAGCGTCTGCGAGATGATAAGGAAGGAAGAGGGAAATCGGGCCTTAAACGTCGTTTTGAACGACATTTCTGTGCTGCGTATTTGAGGGGTTGTACCCTCAGAGAAGAATGCGTTATCAGACAAAACGATATATATCAGAAGACTGGATATGCAATGCCCAAGTTAAGTTCTTCTTTGGTTCACTCTACTTGCAAGGGTCGCTCGACTCCGTTTTATATCTTACCGCATTGACTAACCAATCTCAAAATGTTGGCATTCGTGTAGTCGGAAAGAACAATTTACATTAAGAATACCAGGAAACACGGTGAAAACGCTTCGAATTTGTATTAGCAGGGTGCGAATGTTAAAAAAAAATGAAATGAATGATTGGCAATATACATAGAATGAAGTATTAATACCTAAGGATATAAGATACGACAAGTATAATTAAAGCGAAATAAAATATACGAGGCTGCAAGGCCTTTTCAACGAAGATAGATGTGTCTCTGAACAATTTCCAAGCGCTTGCTGGAACGGGACAGAACTGAAAATATGGACTCGCCCAGGTACTTGACATGTCGCGGCGATGCACAGTCCACCGCGACAAAGGTCAAAACAAAGAACCGCGGCGCAAGAATTTCAAGGATGTCACTACGAGGCACGAGTGAAAAGTCAGGTAGTTGTAATTCATGATCATATTGCTCAGCGCCCAACGCTGGCAGAGTAATGTACACCCTTTAAAAAGCAGTGCCCCCAGTGCGAAAACTCCATTGCGAAACCCATGTGAAATCCCAAACCCAGTCCATTATGGTCCACCCAGACCCAACCGATGTTCCACCGTCCATCCAAGTTCAGAGTCTCCGAAGACCATTGAACGAGGCCGACTCGTTTCGTGTTGGGGGAATGTTGATTGAAGCACATCTAAGAACGCTCTCCACGGAGACGTCTTGCAAGTTGGATGTCCTTCTATTTGGGGTTAGCAGATGGTCTGTACAGTGCCAGTGGGAGACTCACGGATTGAATGGTGACCTAAAAACAGGAGATCAGATTAGTTGTCTTGACATAGGAAGCAGAGATACTTACACGCTTGGCGTGGATGGCGCACTGTAGAAACGATTAGCATACGATAATGAAGGAAATGGCGGGGGAGACAAACGAGATTCGTGTCTTCAACTGCGGAGGAAATTAGTGATGCATCTTTCAAAAAAGGGGAAGGGAAACGAACAGAGAGAAACTATTTCACGAATTAGTATTTGTTCTGCATGTACGGGAGGGGGTGATGACATACCGAGATAGGCTTCGACAGACTCCTGAAGGGCACCGATGGCGGAAGATTGAAATCTCAAGTCAGACTTGAAGTCCTGTGCGATCTCACGAACCAGACGTTGGAAGGGGAGCTTTCGGATGAGGAGCTCAGTGGACTTCTGATAACGACGGATCTCACGGAGAGCGACGGTTCCTGGCTTGTATCTGTGGGGCTTCTTGACACCTCCGGTTGATGGTGCAGACTTGCGGGCAGCCTTGGAAGCAAGTTGCTTACGGGGAGCCTTGCCACCGGTGGACTGTGATCATGTTAGCAAAAGCTCGATGAAGGTGAAGTCGTGTTGTTGTTGTGGGGGCAAGACGCGTCGCAGATGAGGCTCAAGTTGAAAGCGGACACCACGGTCGCAATCTTGAATGCGACGCGCCGAAATGATGAAGCAAAGAGAAGAGTGTGCTTACCTTGCGTGCGGTTTGCTTAGTGCGGGCCATTGTTGATGATTTTGATGGATGCTTTTGAAGGATGAAATTGTTGTTGGGGAGTGTCGAAGTCGATGGTTGAGATGATGTTGTTGTGTGGATGGAGAGGAAGGACGGAAGAAGTGGGAGGGGCGATTATTTGTACTTGCGCAGCGCTAGTGAGGGTGATTACGCTAGTGAGCCCTCTTGGTTTGGGATGCGCGCCTTGGCCTTGGCTCTTTCTCGTCCATGTTCGACTTAGCGGTTTACCAAAGTGTCCAACTCCCATAATATTCTCGCTTGTACACCTGCAACCAGCTCAGCTCAGGTCAGGCAAACGGAGCACTTCGGTTTCAATCTGCCGACCAATCACAACCTTCGTGCGGCAAGTGCAGGCAGACATTATCCAGAACTCTGGCTCTGGCTCTGGCTTCCAACAATGGATGCACTCAATCATGCTCCCCCAATATGACTCATTGAATCTGAATATACCAAGTGACTCTAATTGATTCTAATTCTATCTTGCTTGCCACTGCTTCGCTCCGCGCCTAGCTCACTACAATTGTTTGACGCTTTCGTCCCATTGATTCTTGTCCATCCCTACCTTACTCCGTACTGGACTCCATTCTCCTGCATGTCACTTGCCACCCTAGCGTTGCAGGCCAATGAGCGTCGTTCCTTCCTTCGCAAGTTTGTTGTTCTCGCTAGTGGCCATTTCTGGTTTAGACTCGATCCTTAGCTTGTGATTGCAGCCAAACCGCGGGGACGCGCCACCTGAAATAAGGCGACCTCAACTTCAACATCAACTCTTCCTGCTAATCCAAGCTCATCTCTCTACATCCACATCTACATCTCGACTTTAGGTCTTCTCACACACATCCTCTCAATCGACTACCTCAACCCATCAACATGACTGGACGTGAGTAACTGCCCATCTCCTCTCGCGTGCTCACCGTTGTCCGCGACGCGTCATTTTCCTCTAAAATAACATCTATACTGACGCGCTTCACAGGCGGAAAAGGTGGCAAGGGTCTCGGAAAGGGAGGAGCCAAGCGTCACCGCAAGATTCTTCGTGACAACATCCAAGGTATCACAAAGCCTGCGATCAGACGTCTCGCCCGTCGTGGTGGTGTCAAGCGTATCTCAGCCAGTATGTTCTGCTCAGGTCTCACATCTTCTTATAACTACTAAACAACTTTGCAGTGATCTACGAAGAGACTCGTGGTGTTCTGAAGACCTTCCTCGAGGGTGTCATCCGTGATGCAGTGTAAGTTGTCCCTTAGCCTTCTCTGAACAAGCTCCTATACTGACTGTCTTGTAGAACCTATACCGAACACGCTAAGATTAGTACCCCTGTCCTCTTCTTTCGGCGTCTGACTAACCTTTACCACAGAAAGACTGTTACATCCCTCGACGTTGTTTATGCACTCAAGAGACAAGGTCGTACTCTTTACGGTTTCGGCGGTTAGGTTTTCATAGGGTTTCTGGGCTGGACTGGTTGGGATTGTATTATGCGGCGGGGATAATGACATGGCGTTTATGGGTTTACTTGTATGGAATACAAACTTCAATTTCAAACTTTTATAAACCGAAATTCTGGTTCTCTTTAACGTGTCTTAATTATGATATATTCTTTGTCTTATATGTATTTGTTTCTCTCTCGTGACGCGAAGCAGAGCAAGCAGGTAGTTTGAATACTTAGAATATTAAGGTGTAGAACTAGAAGAGTTCTGCGAGAGGCTATATACACTAGAATAGGGGGGTAACGGCCTAAGGCACTTAAGTACTTTAGCCGAAGCGTTGTACCACTTTTCTCTCCGAGGAAAGCTTATCCTTAAGTATATAACTTATATATCTCTTTATACTTTATTTATAATTCTTTACTAGTTATATTACTTAGTTAAAGATATCTTAAACTACTATAAGTATCTATTAAATAGCTTTAAAATCAAAGGAAGTAAAAGAAAAAAAAGCTTTTAAAATAAATAGTTAATAAAAGATAAAAGAGATAAAGGTAATAAGCTTAACTTAATAGGTCTTTTTTATTAAGAAATATATAAGTAATATACTTAAAAGATTCTAAGTTATTTACTAAATAAATTACTTATCGTGTACTGTAGGGAGGAGCTTTATATAATATGAAAGTCTTGATTTATTAAGGTATTCTAGAGCTCCCCTATAAGAGGAAGCTCTAGGAGTTCTAGTTATATAAGTAGCCTCTAGTTAGCTAGAGCACCTTAGGGAGTGCCTTAGGTATATCAGGTATATAATATACTCCCTTACTTAGCTTTATAATAGTAAGTGAAGCGATATAAATAGTATAGATAATATTACCTGAACTATAATAGGAGTTAATACTAACTAATAGCGTTAGGTCTTAAGCGCCTAGTAGCTCTAAATATATAAACTAAGTAGATCCCTCTAAATACTTTTTCCTTAAATAATAACTTTAATATAATATTAGTAAATATAGTTAAAAGCTCCCGCGCTACCTGCGCTTTACACGCCTTTAACCTTACTACTACTCGTGTAGTAAAGAAGAAGACTATAAGTTATTAATTTAAAGATTCCGATATAGTTAATATTATAAGAAATTATTAGAACTATACTAATACTTATAAAATAGGCCTATAGCTACTATAGCTCCCTTACCGCCGCTACTCTACTACTACTACTATTACTATTACTACTATTAGTACTAGTATTAACTCTTACCTACTACCCTGCTATAGTAAAAGCTATCTGTACTATATCTTATAGCTACTATATTCGTAGTAGTTTATAAGGTACACTAAGCGACTCTTATCGCGATAAAAAGATAATTTCGCGCTATTTTTATTATTATAAAAATAATAAATTAAGTTATATTACTACTCTTACTCGCGCTACTAAACTCTTCGCCGGCTACTTAGTAGCCTAGGCCCTCTTAGAGAGTACACGTGTAAGTATTTCCTTATATTATAGTATTAGAATAATAAAGTATTAAGGTATTAATATTAAAGTACTAAGTGAGACTAACTTTATAATATATATAAGCTCTTATAGTCCGCCGGGCTACTATTCGGAAGGCCTTAGAAGCTAAGGAGAATAAGAATAAGAATAAGGATAAGATTTGTATTACTATCTATAAGTTATAATAGTAGTCTTACAGATTTCAGATATTATTTAACTATTAATATCAGCTACTACTTCTACCCTCGCCTTTACTCTTTATAAAGAGACTGCTATTCCCCCCCTCTTCGCCCTGTTTTTAGCGCTATAGGAATAAGCTCTAGCTCTATAGGAGCTACTATTATTACTCCCGCGATATATTTAGCTTTACGTGCCTCTACTTTAGTAGAGGTTAATATTATAGCTAGCGCTGCCTAGTAGTTAATTAACTTTCTTCTCCCTCCTTAGTAAGTAGTATAAGCTTTATAACCTTTAAGTAGTAGCTTAGAAATATTACTCTTTTATTATTATAGTTTAAGTTAGCGTATTAGTATAGCTTTATAACTTAGAAGTTATAGCTTAAGATTAAGTCCCTTACTCTTCGTGTTATTTTAGCGCGGCTTTATAACCCTAAAGTAGTAGCTTAAGATTAAGTCTTATAATTCTACCTCTTCTCTTCTCTCTAATAGTATTTAAGAACTATAAATATAAAGTAAAGGAAATATAATAAAAGAAAGTATCTATATAGATTATATAGCTTAAGTAAGCTTCTTAATATTAGTTTAAGAGTCTTAAAAGTTTAAAAGAGTAATAAACACTTTAAACTTCTGCTTTAGTAGGTTTTTAGTTAAGCTATTAGCTAGTATATTATTTATTAGGAGATATATTACCTGAAAACTCCCCTTTTTATACTCTTATTATAGCTATATATTCTATATATTAATATACTAAAGCTTCGTTAATATTCACTAGTTCTCTTTAACTATTAGCTAAATCGTCTATTTATTATTATAGAATATATTCCACGGAGCTCCTATATTAAGCCTTAGCTCTTTAAAGAACCTTTAAAGCGCTATTACCTCCTTAGTAGTCCGTTTTATACTAAGAAGCTCTGCCTTAGTTATTAAAGTAGTAATAGTATCTTATTAGGAGGCTTTTTAAATAATAGCTCCTTTAAATAGTATAATTAAGAATCCTTAGGAGAAATAATACGATTTAGCGTTATTTATAAAAGATATATCTAAGGTAATAAGAAGATATATTTCTCTGTCCTTCTAACTATAGATAATAGCTAGGAATCTTAAGCTAAACAGATATTATATAGTCTAATTAACTACCTCTAAGTATAGTATACTTAAGTTAGTAAGGAAGTATAATAGTTAAGAGGCTATAAAGGCGATATCTAACTAGAGTATAATAGCTATATATAGTACTAACTTAACTTTCTCTTAATATTCCTTGATTTACTTAAAAGTTACTATACTAAGGTTCTTAACTAGCTTATAGTATAAGAGAGGCGTACTAGGGTACTTCCTATCTATTATATTAAACTTCTAAGCTATCTTCTTAATATAGATATTATATAGGAGAGATACTATCTTCTTTTCCTTATTCTATACTACTTATACTCCTAAGAACTATTCTATATCTCTTAGGACTATTAGCTCGTACGCTTTATATAATTCGTTTATAATTATCTAGCTCTCTTTAGTATATCTAATATAATATAAGACCTGAATATTATTAATATAGAACACTATAAAGATAGTCCTATACTAGTTTATAAAGATATATAGCTTCTCTACAAGTAAAGATAAGTCTAGCTTACTAAGTATCTTTATAAAGTCGCTATACTAGAGTATAGGTAAGTCCCTTAAGCTATAAAGCGTTTAATTAATTTCTATTACTATTCCTAGTTTTTTCTAGCTTTCCGAAGAGAAATATAAGACTAAGGTACTTCTCTTATCTCTCTTTATATTAATAAAAGTATTAATTATATTAAACTACTTTACTTCTAAGTTAAATTAAGCTACTAGTACTATTATAACTTAGAACGACCTTATTATAAGTATAGCTACGTAGGTTAAGAATATTATAAAGTTATCTTATATATTACCTTATATTATAATCTAAGACTTATAACACTTAAGCTATCCTATAGAATTTACCTTATAAGTAAATACCTACTTTAAGGGAATCGGTAAGGTAGCTACGTCTTCCCTGGGAATTAGTCTCTAATAGTCTTAAGCTTCTAAGTTTAATATCTCCCTTTCTATATTAGCTTTAAACTGCTCGCTATATAAGTGACTCTCTAGCTCCCTTTAGTTCTTAGGTAGCTTCGGGAGCTTCTTTTAATATTAGTTTTATAAGTTAAAGGCTCTTACCTTTACTTAGATATCTGATATAGCGCTTAAAACTATTATATGAAGTATAATAGTATTATAGCTATTAGCTCGCGTTAGAGTCTTATTATAAAAGGTCGTAATAAACTCTTAAAAGCGCGAGTAACTATCTTATCTTAGAGCTATTACTATAGAGTAATAGTTATATATAGTAAGCTTTTTATATTCTCTCTAGGCTTCCTAAGTTACTTAAATTCAATTATACTTTATTACTCGCTACTATTAGTAGCTATTTCTAACTACTTATAGAAACTTAGTCCCTATTACTTTAGAAGAAGCTTCTAGAAGCTTAGTAACCTGTTACTTAAGGTCTTATAGCTATTAGCTAAGTAATATAACTTAAGGGTATATTTATTAGTATACTTCCTTAATACTTAGACTAGTATTATTACTACTTATAGCGTTCCTCTAGTGCTAAGGTAAGAGATAATTAATCTTTATAGCTTTAGTATCTCTTAGGGCGCCTTAACTTAATTTCTTATAAGGAGTTAGATCTCTATTACTATTAGTGAAGTTATTATTATAAAGGACTATATTATTACTCTCTACTCCTGAGGTCTAACTCTTATAAGGGAGTAATTCAGAGGTCTAAGGGAGCTCTAGTAAGTTAACCTTTATTAGCTCTTATATTTCTAATACTACCCCTAAGCTTCGTAGAAGCTCTATCAGAGTAATATCTATTAGTTCTAGTACCTCCTTAGTAACTAGTATAGTAGTCTTAATACTAATATTAGCTTTAAATATAGTTTTATTTAGTTTAGCTGTATATTCTACTATAACTACGTTAGTAATATTACTAATACTATATTTTATATTTAGAGTAATAATATTCTCTTCTAGGTCCTTAATAAGCTTCCTTAGAGTAGAAGTAAGTTAACTAACCTTCCTCTCTTTCTTAGGGGAATAGAATATTATCTTATTAAACTGGATATTACGCGTAATTATTATATAGTATAGTTAGGGCACTTAGATCTTATATAAGTTAGAAGTAATATAACTAACTAAGTATCTAATATATACCTTAGGGCTAACTTTAAAGCCTCTGTGATTCCTTCTAGCCTCTCTATTAGTTATAACTAGATATATACACGCCTTATATATATATACTCTACTCTAGTTAGGTCTTAAGTTAATTT